TGACCATTTTGATGTTATATACAGGGTGTTTCAAAAATGACGCAATGTAAAAACACTTCATCTAAAAAGTTTATAGTTTTTTCTGCTCTAAAAAGTGTAATATTTTTATCATCAAAATTGTTATTTATTCCGGCGCATTCGCCATTTTTGCAACTTTGTGATCCGCTAAGTTTTTAATATTTTTTCTATGGCAATTAAATAAGTATGCACAAACATGTTTTAATGTATGTCAGTTTTTAAGATTTTTAGGAACCCATATTGGCAATTTAAAAAAAATACAAAAAATGAAATCTTACTGAATGATTATTATATTATTATAATCAGCGTAAAAATTTGAAATACGTTTTTTTTTCGGGAAAAAATTGACTTTCGCATTTTGTTTGCAACACCTTTTAAATAAAATGAAACAAATGCAAAAGTTAATTTTTCTGAAAATTTTCCAATTTTAATGTTTTTTCCAGGAAAAAAACGGTTTTTTTCCGCCGGCTCAATTTTTCCGGAAATTTTAAAACCCTACTTGACAGAATACATTTTTGTAAATAGTACCTATTGTGCATACTTAATTTAGCTACAAAATCGTTTCCACTTCAAATTTTTCAATAAAATTTACAAGGTGTGTTCAGAAAATATCGGAAATTTTAGTTTTTTGAAACAAATATTTATTTATTCGTCTACATTAATGTTGTCGCCTTCAAAATAGTCCCCATTGGATATTATGCACATGTGCCAGCTCTTCTTCCAATACTCGATCTTTGGGATAGCCTTTAGTTCTTTCAGCGATGCGCTTTTAATGTCATCTATGCTTGCAAAACGACGTCCCTTTAAGGTTCTCTTTATTTTTGGGAATAGGAAAAAGTCAGACAGAGGCATGTCTGGCGAATATGGAGGCTGGGGCATCATTACAGTATTGTTTTTGGCCAAAAATTTTGTTCAAAATTTAACAATTTTAGAACAAATTTTGCTGCCACGCGTTTCATACCCAAAACATTCGAAAAAATATCATGGGATGAGCCAATAGAAATACCAACATCATCAGCGACTTCTCTGATGGTTTATAACCATTTCTTCTTAAAAGCTAAAGTTTTTATCACACTTCGGGGGCATGTATACCAACATAATAAAGAAAATTTTATGACAACCCGCGAAATTTAACAATTCCCGTTATTTTCTGAACACACCTCGTATGTCTTGTAGTTTTTTATATCCATGTTATTAATGAAATTGGGGCAAAACATAAAACGTTTCTTCCTAAAAAAATATTTTATTAAATGATAATATATATTTTCTTGTAAACTGGTAATATTATCCGACATATCTATAAAGAGTCGTGTTACGTGCATTGTAAGTTAATTTCGTGTCGAGGTGTCCCGGGAAAAACAATCCTCGTATTTTCTATTCTGCGCCGTTACTCCTATTAAGTTTCCATAGCATCGAAAACCCTTTCTGCGTAACGCTTACCTAACGAAAACTTAAGATATCACGGGTAAACTTTTAAATAAAATAATCGATTTTTTCAAGTGTGGCTTTGCCACTAATAATAAAATAAAATAATATTTCGTGAAAGGATTTCCTTTAAATTGCCTTTTATACTTATCTCCAGAAAAAGTAAGCACTAAAAATGAGTTTAAACGGTTGTCAAAGGATTTATTCTTATTAAGAAAACCGGAAAATGAAATTTTGTTTTATTTCCTCGTGTATGCTTAAATGTCATACGAGTTCCAAAAATAAATAAAACTTTGGAGATTACGTATAAAGTTTAATTTGGAAGATTTAATCTTTCCTAGAGAAAATAAATTGCTTGGGCAAAACGCTATGTAGAAAATGTCTACAACCATTGCCACTATTTATTTACCTGTTGATTGCAACATAAATAATCTATTAACGCTTATTAGCATCTTAGATTATCAGGTTGGCATGTTTTGTTACGTTGTGCTTTTTTTCACTATACCCTGTAGTAACAGGTTGATTAGAAGTAATGGTTAAATTTTCGGGACCCTTTAATACAAAAAACATTGACAAAACAAATGGCAAATGGGAAAAGACCGTGTTTACGTATACATACAGAGCTGGTTTTGTTAATTAAAAAATGGATTTAATTTCAAAATATAAGACGAAAAACTTGAAATTAAACGAAAGGGACGTCATTCATTTATTAGATAATAATAATTTAATGATGTTTTAACAGAAATTAACAAATCTTTTTAAACTCAAAACAATTGATAGTCAAAAATATTTTGAATATAAAATACAGCCGTAAAACTTTAAGCTGAAAAACATTGATTTTTAAAAATTTTAGTTCAAATTCTAAATTCCATCAAATTATATATTGGAATGCCTATTGTACGCAAAACGGAACTACTTATAACACATATAAAGCCCACAGAGATATTCACGATTACAATACTCGCAACAAAAATAACTTGATCGTGGATCATCTTAGATTAAATAAATCTCGAAATTCTTCCCAATACTCTATGCACCTAAATTATAATAAACTGTCTAGTATGTACGAGGTGTGTTCAGAAAATATCGGGAATTTTCGTTTTTTGAAACAAATATTTATTTATTCGTCTAAATTAATGTTGTCACCTTCAAAATAGTCCTCATTGGATTTTATGCACATGTGCCAGCTCTTTTTCCAATACTCGAAACACTTCTAAAACTCGATCTTTGGGATAGCCTTTAGTTCTTCAAACGATGCGCTTTTAATGTCATCTATGCTTGCAAAACGACGGCCCTTTAAGGTTCTCTTTATTTTTGGGAATAGGAAAAAGTCAGACAGAGGCATGTCTGGCGAATATGGAGGCTGGGGAATAATTACAGTATTGTTTTTGGCCAAAAATTTTGTTCAAAATTTAACAATTTTAGAACAAATTTTGCTGCCACGCGTTTCATACCCAAAACATTCGAAAAAATTTCATGGGATGAGCCAATCAATATATCAACATCATCAGCGACTTCTCTGATGGTTTATAACCATTTCTTCCACTTTTTCCATGTTTTTATCGGTTGTTAATGTGCTTGTGCGTTCGGGGCGTTTATCATCTTCAATGTCTTTACGGCCATCTTGGAAAATCCTATACCACTTGGAAACTCTTGTTTTACTTATAGCAGACTCACTATAGGCCTTTGTTAACATTTCACAGAATTTATTTCATTTTTTAAGCAAAATTGGATACAAATTCTTTGATCCATTTCTTTTAACGAACGAAAAATCGCCGAGCTCATAAAACACGTCTAACCTTAGCGGCTGCCACAGACAAAGTAAACAATGAAAACAGCTAAAGTTTTTATCATACTTCGGGGGCATGTATACCAACATAATAAAGAAAATTGTGTGACAACCGGACCCTCCGAATTTGCGAAATTTAACAATTTCCGTTATTTTCTTAACACACCTCGTAGTTTAGCATTATTTAATCAATTTAGTTCGAAGATTAATGTGCAAACAAAACGACCTCCTTTCGTTAAGCAGTTATTCATAATGGATTTTTTAACAGTGGAAGAAAAAATACAAATGATTTTGATTTATGGAGAAGCAGGCAGGAATCTTGATGATGCTGTTAATATCTACGCTCAGCGTTTTCCGGAAAAAATTCGATCACATGCTTCATTTCACCGTACAGTCAAGCAGTTTACTACAAACGGGAGTGTTCAACCGAATAAAAGAGCTCGTCGAGCAACAGTCACAGGTGGAAATAAAAAATAAATAAATAAATTTAAAAAATAAAACCAAGTATTTTATTCAAAAATTATTGGAGAATCCTATACAATTTTAAATTGATACATTTTTAACACAATATTTATAACTTTTAACGTTTAAATTTAAGTCGATAATTTTTAATTTGCAAAGTGTAAACGTAGCTTTACCACTTAAAATTTAAAACATTTTTGTATTAAAAATGTATCGACTATCATTTAAATGACTCTCTACAAATTTAAACCAATTATGTTGTGGAATAAATTATTAAAACTAAAACTTTTAAACAAATTTTGATTATCAATGGTTTTGAGTTTAAAAAAAATTAACTTTTTAAACTATTTTCTTAGAAAATGTTATATTATACTCAAGAAATTATTTTTATTAAAAAATGATGGATAGAAATTTTTTCAAAAATTGATTGGAAATATTATTGTTTAATACTTCTGTAAACTGTTAGTAGATTTTGTATTTGAATACATGATAGATAATAGTATATTATGTATCAAGTTTTATATTTTATACACGAATTTAATTATAGAAAAGTTTATAAACGAGGTGCATACTATACTTTTTCTACGACAAATACTTATTATTATCTTAAAATTATTTAAATCAAAAATTTGTATAGAGCGCCATCTATGAAACAATAGGGGAATCTGTGTGTCACCGTCAAATGTCAAATTTGTAAACAAAGATTATAAAGGTTATAAATCGAAATGTATTTCTTGAAAATTGACAGTTTTTCACAGTGAAAGTAAAGAAAATGTTTTATGAGCACTTTACAGTGGAGTCCGTGCCCGAATTTAAGTTCATTAATTAAAAGGTAAGTACAATGTTCATATAAACTTTTCAAATATTGGCGTTGAGAAACTATTTAATACTTTTGTATTTTTGTATTGAGATAATAAAATAATTTTCACATTTAGTATTATTTTACAAGAAAGGCACTTTATTTTAAAAATTTGTGCCATAGTTCTTTTTGGAAAGTTAAAATTTCAAAAATAATAGTGTGTTAAGACACATGCGATCTTGGGCGATTGCTAGGTTATCTACGGGTGGTTTATTGGTAGGGTGCAAGGGGTTGTGGTCAACTTAAAGTAGGGACATGCAGTGTGTTTTTCAGTTAAGTTTTCGCGGGATAAAAGGCATAAATTGCGTATATATAGAGAGAGTAAGTTTAAAGGTGGAAGGTATCGATAGGTATAACGCTGATGAGTGCGGCCGGCGCCTGCGCAGATCGATGTGCACCCGGTTCACCAAAGTCCCCGTCCCTTTACCGCCGTCAGACTAAATTCAGCTACGAGCAACGTAGCATCGTTTGAGCCGCCTCCAGACACGTGCGTGCTACGATACGAAACAGTGCAGGTAAAAATTATTTTATTTTTTATAGCGTCGGAAATTTTTCGAATTTTGCCTTGCCGCCCAAACCGAGTCGAACTATTTTTATCGGAATTCCTTAAATCTCAAAAGTAAATATTTACATTTTAACAAAACGTTTAAAATCCTACGACCTTATAAATTTATAGACGCCAACCAATATTTATTTGTTTGAATTAGGAATATCATGCGTATGTACATATTTGCGGAATTATATTATATTTCACTAACAACTTACATATATTTATAGAAATTTCTGTTATGCGGTTTTATAAAATTTTATGCGATTTTAAGTTTCTTAGCACCACTTAAATACTTTTTAATTTATTTATTACTTTTTAGCGATATATGATTTTAATTTAACTTTTATTTGTTTAAACATTGATTGTACCCTAAAGACCGTACAAAATATTATGGAACGGCCTTATATGTATGTTAATATTAAAGTAAAAAACACTATTTAGTAATGTTCTACAATTAAAAAACAGTTTGATGATTAATTGATTTTAACCAACAAAAAAAATTAAAAAAACATTAAAATTTTCAATGGACTTGGCAGGGACATATTTTTACAAACTTCTAATAAATATTTTTTCAACTTTAAAACGGCCATGACACTAAGTGATCTTTGACATTGAAAAGCTGGGACCTTAGTCACGGGCTGAAGTTAGCTCTAAGTTAGTTGACAGTTGTTAAATGTTTACAAAATATATAATTTATAAAAAATAGCAGTAAAATTTTACTATGCCAACACGAGAAACAAAAGATTTCACGTTTGCGGAGTCATGTCAAATTTTTTATATAATTTTTTCTGTTAAAAAGTACGTAAAAAACTTTAAAAAATCCAATCATGCACTTTAATTAGGTTTCCATTAAAAAATAAACATATTACGAAATAAAAGAAAAAAAATAAAATAAAAATCGTCAAAAAGCTAAATTTTGGTCTTCCACTAAAAAAATTATGACTTCGCCATTTTTTCATGTATTTTTATCAACATTAGCTTGTTTTTTTTTGTAAAAATGTCAGCTTCACTAAAAACCCGATATCAAAAGTATGTAAAATAAAGTTTTAGAGAGCTCAAAATTAAAAATTCATATTTCAAAAACGCTTCCATAAAAAATATATTTTTTTGGATTTTCGTGTTTAGTGGGTCAAAATACATGGAAAAATTATAATGGGATATGGTGGGCAGAATTTTTTTTCGATTTTATATACTAGTGTTATTAAATAGTTTCTTCAGATTCCTGACACCATTTTTGGTTACTCTATTTTTATATAGAAGTCGCTGTATACAAATATTTAAATTAATTAGTAATACATTATTTTTTATTTAATATTTGTCGTAGAAAAAGTATAGTAACAGTTTTCACATATCTTTTTATTTGATAACACAATAATCTGGTTAAAGAAGATTTTAAGAAACGTCTCACGAAAGTCCCATAAAAATTGAAATATCTGCAAATATTAGATTTGGGTTAAAGAAAATGTAATCCTAAACGAAAAAGCATTAAATTTTAAAGTGTTTTTAGGTATCAAAAACGTTTTTGTTTGTTAAACAAAAAACAATTTTCTATTACCCAACGGATTACTTTATTTTATTATATTTAAGGAGAAATACTTCTTTGCAGTAATGTTTATTTAGCATAACATATAAAAATATAATTTTTTTAAATTGCATTTTACATGTAAAAATTTATAAATTAATAGTATATTATGTATCAAGTTTGATATACACGAATTTAATTTAGGCACGAGCGAGCTTGCGAGCGAGTGCTTAAATTAATGAGTGTATAGAAAAGTTTATAAACGAGGTGCATACTATACTTTTTCTACGACAAATACTTTATTATTATCTTAAAATGATTTAAATCAAAAATTTGTATAGAGCGCCATCTATGAAACAATAGGGGAATCTGTGTGTCACCGTCAAATGTCAAATTTTTTTATTTTATAAACACAATTATAAAGGTTATAAATCAAAAAGTATTTCTTAAAAATGGACAGTTTTTCACAGTGAAAGTAAATAATGTTTTATTAGCACTTTACAGTGGAGTCCGTGCCCGAATTTAAGTTATAGTTTACTGCCGGCGAAATTAAAAGGTCATATAAACTTTTTAAATATTGGCGTTGAGAAACTATTTAATACTTTTGTATTTTTGTATTGAGATAATAAAATAATTTTCACATTTAATATTATTTTACAAGAAAGGCAAATTATTTTAACGATTGTATGACATTTGACAACTGTCAACTAACTTAAAACTAACTTCAGCCCGTGACTAAAGCGCCATAAAGCCACAACTTGTCAATGTGTATTTAAAAGGTCACTTAGTGTCATGGAAACATGTACGATAAAGGGCGTTTTAAAGGTGGGTGTAGATAAAAACATTTTTAAATTAAAAAAAAGTTGCACGCAATGTTAATTTTATTACTAAGCAAGAATTCGATTTAAAATATAAATGAAAATGATATTGAGAAAAAGTTATTTTAATGCATTGAATTCTAGATATTTCCAATAAAAATATATATTATAATATATATTTGCAGTTTGCTCAAAAACAATTTCACATCAATAACATTCATTTGGTTTTAAGTCATAGCGACATGGCAATTTTTATATATTTAGCGTTCTTCGCAACAATGTACAATTTAATACTGTGGCAGTATAAAATATAATGGAATAATTTGCCACACTTTACTGGTTATTTTTAATGGTATATTATGTATGAAGTTTATGTTAGTCGCCCATTTTAATTAGGCACGAGAAATAGTTACATCTATACAAAAATGTAGAAGTCTGTTTTTCCTGCTTTTAAAATGTCAGTATCGAAATTGTCAGTGGGAGTAGAAATGCGATTTCATCATTGTGATATTTAAATTATTTTGGATAACATATGCGTTAAAAAACTATGGCAACATTAATAGATAAGTGATAAGGCACAAATGTAATTGTTTAATATTTATATTGTTTTAATGAAATAATGCGCACAACGAAGGTTCATTAAATTTAAACAAATAGTTAACGTGTTCGTTAATTTGTTAATGTAGGTTATTTTATGGTAAAAGACTAAAAGCCATATTATTCATTTCCGGAACAATAATTTTAAATACCCTCCTTTAGGGGGATAATTATGTATAATTAATTACGTGACATTAACAGGAGAAAATCAATATTTCAAATGTTTAAAAGTAATTATTTCTCAAACGGGACAAATGTTGGACACTAATTTGGCTCAAGTTTTGTAAACGGTACTAAAATAGGCCTCTATTTAACATGCTCAAGTTAAAATTCAAGATTTGAGCCTCTGCATGGCTTTATAAAAATTAAAATAACAAAACTTCTACAAAAGCAAGAGTAAATAAACATCATTGTAAAAATCAATAAATACAGACCCACAAAAATATGTTTGTACTGGTTTTTTATAATAATTTGACTGTTGAAGTTGGAGTTCTTCTTTTTAACAAGAAACATCAAATTTGGTAAATGTGTTAAATATATAATATGTATTTTAAGGACATTTTTCTGTACTTTAATTAAAATATTTCATAAAAAAATATTAAATTAAAGAACTAATGTCATAAGATGTCATTTTGCTCCTTCGTCGCTCGTTTTATAAATTGTCCGCGTGCGACAAAAGGTCTTATGACATGAGTTATTTATGCTATTTGATCTATTTTGCGAAAATTCTATAAAAAAATTAATTTTGTACCTCAAATTTAATTTGGTTGAATTTTACTTTAGATAGTTGGTATCACAGTCATTGGTTTGACAGTTAATGTAAAAATCGATTCGCCATGCCGTCCTTAATTTACTTATTTACAATAAGCGGTTGTTAATATTAAAGAAGAAAAAAGGATTTTCTTTGGTGTTAAACAAAATTTATTGCCAGAAAAGTCTCGTAAGTACTAGAAAAATCATACAAATATTATGACCAATATGCAAAATATTATGCTTATGTTTAAAGTATGGCCAAATTAAAATTTTGGGTGGGATAAAGTATTTCATTAGTGCACCGAATGCGGTGTTATAATGAAGTCATTATGAACGCAAAATAGATAAAGTATATTTATTAGTTTTTTAGGTAAAATTTCATAAAAAATTAGTATTTAAAGTAAAAATTGTATTTTAAAACTCTCATGGGATATACTTTTTTGGATTTTTTTTAACTCCACCTTCTTTTGTTTTTATATGGCTGCCATATTGGAATTTTACATGGTTAGATAGAAAAAAATCAGCTACATAAGTTATGGCGGCCATTATAAAAACAAAAGATGGTGATGGTAACTCAAAATATAGAAATTGGATGAAAATGTAGAATAAAGTGAATGTACACTTATTATTTTCAAAATTCCCAGAAATAAAGAAGTAATAACGAGATTTTTAGTATATTTCAAATATTTTGAAAACCTCTGGCTTTTTAAGCGATCTTATAGCTTTTCCAATAAAAAAATACCCATAAAAGTATCTATTGCATACTATAAACATCGAACGGTATTTAGTTTTTTTAATGATTGCGGAAAAAAATTCGTTTTAATTAAAGAAATTAAAACAGTTAGTTTTGTTTGCGATCCAAGTTGTTTTTTGTTGTTTGAAAAAGGACAAAATCAATCTTCGGAGTCCGTGAGAAATTATTCGGGATATAAAGAACTTTTGACATGAATTTAAAAATCGTAGTTGTTAAACTTTAAATTTTAAATTTTAAAGTTGACTAACTAAGAAACATACGTTGGCCTTTCGACAAACTTTGAAAGATTTTTAAAAGAATATAACGTAAAGACAAATTAATACATCGGCAGTAAAGTAGTCAACAATCGGCAGTAAAGTAAAAGAAATCGGCAGTAAAATAGAATTTTACTGCCGATTTAATACGAGTATTGTATGCAACCCATTATACATTTTAAGATGTGTCTACTGCTCCTCAGCAGCAACTAAATAATATTTAAAAAAAAAGCACTGTCGCGGAGGTTGATTGGACCCTTTCTTAAAATGTTGTTTAATAAAAATAATAAGTTAATTTTATTAATTAGATTAAAAAATCGCCGCGGCGGGCAAATATGTAATAACCGTCGCAACAAACAATATACGTAGACACTTCCTACATTCAAATGACATTTGATTTGAACATCAATATTAATTATTAGTATTATTAAATGTGATTTCGGATAAAATTTAATGCACCTCGGCATTCACCTCTGCAAATAATTTCCACATTCATGATAAAAAATACGACTTTACTGCCTTGATACATAAATAACTATTTAAAGCAGTAAATTTTTTACCTGTATCATCTTTTGAGTCAAAAACAGACGAGCACTTTTCTGAAATTAAATTTCAATCATCCAGTTGATTTTTAATTTCTTAGTTGAAGTTCATTTAAGTAATGCCCAAGATGGCAATGTCAAAAAACTGGCTATGCAACTGACAGCTTCAATATTTTCAAATTAAAATTTTATCGATAAAAATATTAGACACACTTTTAATTAAAGAATCTCAATTGATAACCATTATGCGTTTTTAAAATTACAAAGTAAAGTATTATTATTAATAATTATTATTTATATTTTGACATCTAAAATTAAAACATAATGTTTCGAATGCTTTTATTTTTATCCCAACAAACCAAGCCTAAACATTTTTTTAATAAGGCAGTAAAAATAATATTGATTTTTAATAATCTTTTTTTACCTTATAATATACAAAGAACTCGCAATTTTTCCGGAATAAGTTTTACTAATTGTCTGTATTTTATTTTGCTCCTCATTTTCGTAAACTCTACATTTTTGCCTCATCTCCTATCAATTGTGGGCCATTTTCATGTAATGAGACACCTGTCCGCTCCAGCAATTTTTTTATTGGAAATATATTTTTTGTTTTTAAACTGATATTTCGTTACGAGTGCGTTTTAGCTATAAACCACTACGGTAAAAAATTATTGCTCTCTATAGAGATAAAAAAATTATAACATATTTTTTCTACTTCCACTTTTAAAACGCCCTTTATCGTACATGTTTCCATGACACTAAGTGACCTTTTAAATACACATTGACAAGTTGTGGCTTTATGGCGTTTTAGTCACGGGCTGAAGTTAGCAACAGGTTTTTAGTCACGGACTGAAGTTAGTTTTAAGTTAGTTGATAGTTGTCAAATGTCATACAATCGTTAAAATAAAGAGCCTTTCTTGTAAAATATTACTAAATGTGAAAATTATTTTATTATCTCAATACAAAAATACAAAAGTATTAAATAGTTTCTCAACGCCAATATTTGAAAAGTTTATATGAACATTGACTGACCTTTTAATTTCGCCGGCAGTAAACTATAACTTACATTCGGGCACGGACTCCACTGTAAAGTGCTCATAAAACATTTTCTTTACTTTCACTGTGAACAACTGTCAATTTTCAAGAAATACATTTCGATTTATAACCTTTATAATTGTGTTTATAAAGTGTAAAAATTTGACATTTGACGGTGACACACAGATTCCTTTATTGTTTCATAGATGGCGCTCTATACAAATTTTTGATTTAAATCATTTTAAGATAATAATAAGTATTTGTCGTAGAAAAAGTATAGTATGCACCTCGTTTATAAACTTTTCTATACACTCATTAATTTAAATTAAATTCGTGTATAAAATGGCGTTTATCAAACTTGATACATAATATACTATTAACTTTTTATTTTCAGAAAATTGTTTTTTATCCTTGAATTTTTAATTTAATAGTCAAAACATAAAAAGTAGGAAAAATTACTTTACAATAATTATTGTTCTGTTAAGTCCATTAAAGTCAGCCTTATAACGATCGCCGAAAAATTGATCATTATTGTGTTTAGGAAAATGGAGCTTTAATCCAGTTAAATGGGAGCTTAGTTTCATAATACCACCTTTGTTACAGCATGATAGATTATTCCACGGTAATAAAGCTAAACTGTATGGGCAGTAGGGTATACAATAAGTTAATTACAATATTGATTTATTTATATTTTAACACCTTTAACATAAAAACAGTTGTAATGGTTATTTATGTGCTTAAGCTGAGCTTAAAGCTTAAATTATAATTATAATAACAATCATTAACAGTATAAAGTTAGGTTAGGTAGATCTGACAAACTATGAGGTAAAAGTGGATTCGTCTAAATTTTGTTTATTCTAGGCGATGTTATGTATTTTAATGTTAATATTAACTGTTGTTTAATAGCTTTAGCTAAATAAACGTATTATTTATTTATTTATTATTTAGTAGATGTGTTAACAATAATAAAGTTTAAATTTTAAAACGATTAAAAAAATAAAATAGTTTTATAATTTATTGTAATAGAAAAATATATATGGCGTATATAAGAAGGAAATGTTTATAATATTAATAACTAAGTTTTAACTGTAGGTTTCAATATTTTAAACGTATACTTAGTTGGAACATGGAAGTGCAAAATCACTATTTTATGCAGTAAGAAAGGACTGCGTAATTTGGGTTGACAGGATTCAGGTCATATTATTGTACTTTCGGGTAATTAATCCTATATAAACCCGGAAAGCCTTTTCCAGTAAAACTCAAGACAATTTTTGAACATCTACAGACTTGGTACATAATGAATAAATACCATCACAAAATTAAAAAATATTTCGATATAACGATCGTAACTGAAATGACGATTAAAAAATAAAATTATTTTTGTATTAAACAAGGGGTTTAGATGCAAACAAAACTCGACATTTGCATCAATATTAATAATTAATAATTGCAATTAATATACCTACAGAGTGTCTATTTAAAACGATTTTAATGATTTTTTTATTGAAAAACCATTTTATTGTCGTAAAAACAGGGAAAACACAAAATAATTCTTACAGAAGTATTATAAACCAAAAAAGCATAAATAAACAAATTTTTTCATCAATAATCAAAACTGAATAAAAAAATTGACACCCTGTGTGAATAATGTAAATTAATTTTTATTAAAATATGAATAAACGTTTATTTTGTTTCAGGGCAGTTTATAAAGTAAAAAGCCAAATAACAACTGTGATAATATCTATTATTCAACTATATTTGTCTGATATTGGGGTAAGTTTAACTCAATTTGAAAAGTGTTTGGATTGTATGGGAAGGAATTATCCTTACCATCCAATCATGTCAATTTTTTTCTACTAATGGTTTAATAATATTATATTAAAGAACTAATGTCATAAGACGTAATTTTGTCGCACGTGACATGAGTTCTTTATGCTATTTTATCTATTTTGCAAAAATTCTATAAAAAAAATTATTTTATACCTTAAATTTAATTTGGTCGAATTTTACTTTAGATAGTTGGTATCACAGTCATTGATTTGACAGTTAATGTCAAAATCGATTCGCCATGCCGTCCTTAATTTACTTATTTACAATAAGCGGCTGTTAATGTTAAATAATAATAATAATATATTAACCAATATGCAAAATATTATGCTGTTTAAAGTATAGCCAACCTATTAAATTTTGGATGGGATAAAGTATCTCATTACAGCACCGAAAGCGGTGTTATAATGAAGTCATTATGAACGCAAAGTAGATAAAATATATATGTCGATCTTTTAAAATTTCTGGGACGCCAACGTAAACTATACAATATTTGTTAAAGCACGAAATGAAACTGAATATATTTTAAGGGTGTAGGTAGTATATTATACCTTGATAAAGGATAAAGGATGACGGAACAATCGAAAAAATCTTTATTTGATCAGCTAATACATTTGTTGACTTTATGAGAGTTATAGAGTGGTAAAACTCGATCGAGGCAAAAAAGTTTTTGCTGGTAGGTTTTTAATGCAGATGTAAATTTGAAATTTTATAAGAGGGGCATAACAACCGTTTAATAAATAAAGTTTGCAATACTTTTTCAATAACTTTATATTAGGTTGAGTAAAAGGTTGCGTTAACGAGGGTTTCTTTGTTTTCCGATTTTCAAGACTCACTTTACAAATAAAGAAAAGCTTTTTCAGCAAAATAAATCTTTCTTTTGTTGGCAGAAACTACCCTAAATAAATTTCAATTAAAACATTAGAAATAACAATAGCAATAGCACATAGTTTTATTGTGTTGTAAATTGATATCATTAAATTTATATTATCAATAAGATAGCTGATTGAAATCATAAAAATAGTCGTTGGTGAAATTCCAAGATCGTATTAATAACTGTTTCTCAAGGCCATAATTTAATAACAATATTCAACCCCAAATTTAATTTCAGAAAAACTTTAACCCTCCAATAAATTATAACAGCCCCTCTATATGATCGATAACCTATAAAATCTTTATATAACTATTAATATTTATTAGAATGGCACACCCAAAAAATCTTCATCCCAACATTTTAGTGCCAGAGGTCGACAAAATGAATTTTTTATGACACAGGATGGCCATTAACTTTTTAGGGTTATTTTGCTCAATTACCTCATTTTTTACATTTGTCTTACTCATGCAAGAATGTTGTGTTTTTTCAATTAAAAACTAGCCACCCTTAATAACTTTTAAGTTATAGTAAATATGATCTTATACGAGGTGTGTATAGAAAATAACGGGAATTGTTAAATTTCGCGGGTTCAGAGGGTCCGGTTGTCATAAAATTTTCTTTATTATGTTGCTTTACATGCCCCCGAAGTATGATAAAAACTTTAGCTGTTTTCATTGTTTACTTTGTCTGTGGCAGCCGCTAAGGTTAGACGTGTTTTATGAGCTCGGCGATTTTTCGTTCGTTAAAAGAAATGGATCAAAGAATTTGTATCCAATTTTGCTTCAAAAATGAAATAAATTCTGTGAAATGTTAACAAAGGCCTATGTGAGTCTGCTATAAGTAAAACAAGAGTTTACAAGTGGTATAAGAGTTTCCAAGGTGGCCGTGAAGACGTTGAAGATGACGAACGCCCCGAACGCACAAGCACATTAACAACCGATAAAAACATGGAAAAAGTGGAAGAAATGGTTATAAACCATCAGAGAAGTCGCTGATGATGTTGGTATATCGATTGGCTCATCCCATGAAATTTTTTCGAATGTTTTGGGTATGAAACGCGTGGCAGCAAAATTTGTTCTAAAATTGTTAAATTTTGAACAAAATTTTTGGCCAAAAACAATACTGTAATGATGCCCCAGCCTCCATATTCGCCCGACATGCCTCTGTCTGACTTTTTCCTATTCCCAAAAATAAAGAGAACCTTAAAGGGCTGTCGTTTTGCAAGCATAGATGACATTAAAAGCGCATCGCTGAAAGAACTAAAGGCTATCCCAAAGATCGAGTTTTAGAAGTGTTTCGAGTATTGGAAGAAGAGCTGGCACATGTGCATAATATCCAATGGGGACTATTTTGAAGGCGACAACATTAATGTAGACGAATAAATAAATATTTGTTTCAAAAAACGAAAATTCCCGATTTTTCTGAACACACCTCGTATCTCAAAAACTGTTATACTTTTTTAACTTTTGACGAAATTTTCGGATTCAAGGGACAATTTTACATAAGAATTGGCTGTTAAATTTTGGGATACAAGGGAAAAAGCAGCCACCAATAACTATTAAATTAGTCATTTTTGACTAATTCATTTTTAGAGAGATATTTTTCTTTGGTTAAAAAAGTTTTAACTTGTTCTGTATAATTATTATTATTATTTTCGGCTTTTGCAGTTTATTAATTAAATGTTACTATAATTCTGTAATTAAATTAGAAAACTCAATTGTTAAACAAAATAAATATTATGCAAAAAATGGATATGTATAATCATTTTTATTTGAACCACGTAACAAAACAGTTTAATTATTAATTAATAATTTCTACCTCGATTTTACACTATCAATGGTTTTAACATATAATTGATTGGTTACCGATTATAACAAATTGGCAGTATCTGTTGAACCGACATTTACTAATGATTGGAAATCTGAAACCTGAACCATCACAAGCGAATTTTAGAAAATCTAACATATCTCAAATGCATAGCCTCAATAATATTCTTTGTTGTTTGTGCAACGAAATAAAAAACTTTTTGGTTCTTTTAATCTAATATACAGGGTTATTCAAGTATGGTTAAGACACATAAATGATATTTTTTCTACAAAAACTTTTTGTACAGGGTGTAGCATTACCCAATACCAACTTTCTTATTTAAAATCCATCACCCTATATATTATTACACGTTACAAAAATGACTTAAATTACTTACATACTAAATGTGGATTTTCGTGAGAATAGCCTATACAAAGTTTGCAGATTCACATTGATTTTAGGGTGAAAGACCTTCAATTTTGTATATTTTAACATCCCCATGTTTTTATTTTTTATTCACAGTTTTATGTTCTGCTATATACATCATTCCTAAAACAAGGAGTGTCTTTATAAAATACAGAACGAAATTTACATTTCGAATAACTTTACAACACACAACAAAGCAAACAAATCGCTTTTCAGATAAAACTTTACGATAAAACTTAAGTTTGGTTGGGCACATATTTTTGATAATTAATGATTTGTTTTATTAAGGTCCGAAAACAATATAGGGTTTTAAACAAAGTTAACACCTAAGTAAACACCTAAACTGTACATTTTAAGGCTCATTTATCTTAAAACCACTAGGCAGGAGAATTTTAATAAACTCTTCAATGTTAATCTCAAAAGGAATTCTCCATACAAGTGATATTTTTATTTATAGCATATTTCGAAACATTTTAACCGGGATAATGAATTAATTAAATTTAGAGTTGACATAATTTTAATCGAATAACCAATATTAAATAAAATTCTCCAAAATTATTTTATTATCTATGGTTTAAATTGACAAATAATTAAGTATTAAGTGTTCAGGTAAAATTAAAAATTGATACGTCTTTACTACAGTTGTATTCAATAAAAAAGCGTACAAGAATTAGAATGAACTGTCAAAATAATATTATTGCTTAAAACCGGCTTATCACTGACATAAGTCATTAAAATAATTACTATAGGTTATAAAGAGCATTGACGTCGTAGGTTAATTAAATAATATTACAAAAATTATTACCTTTTAGAAATGAAAAAAAAACAAACATTAAAAAAAATTTAATATTTAGTCATGCATCCCTGTTTTTCTATTACTTGAGGCAATCTATTTGGGATGAACTGAATTAAATTTAATACAATATTTGGATTTATATCTTCTCAGCAGTATAGTAGTAGTAGTAGTAGTAGTTGTATAGTTTCCCATAAATCCTCAGATATCCCAAAAAAGCAGCATCCTGTTCAGGGGTGGACATTTTGGGACGACCTGAACCAACTTTTTGGTTTAAGTAGTAAATCTTCCTGTTCCCAGCGTTGCTTAATTTTTAATATAGATTTTTATTTCTATTATACCACAGTACGAATTGACCATTCTTCTTCGATTCTTGATACTATTTGAGACTTTTTAACTGACGAGACATTTTTATTTTCTACTGTCAGTTATAGTGACTTAAGTCAGTGGAAAGCCGGTTTTACGCAATAATGTTGACAGTTTTCTCTCATTCTAATTCTTGTACGCTTTTTTAATGAATACAACTGTACATTGGACATTATTGAAGGAATATTGAATTATTGAAGCAAACATCAGTCTAATGACTTATAGCTTATAAACTTAGTTGATCTACCTTATTACACAAGCCTCACAAATTATTTTATATTCTTTATATTATTTTATATTTATATTTATATTTATTCTTTTAAAACTGTAAAAAACTAAGAATTGTAAAGAACTCTAAAAATTCATTATTTAATCCAAATAAAGAAATACCGTGTTTATTGAAGTCTAACAAAAGCCAAGTTTATTCTGCTCGACCCACCAAACATTTTTTCTGCAATCTTGCATTATTTGTATTGCCATTGTTAGTTTTTATTTATTTCGCTTATAGAAATGTAACCAACAATAGGTTTTTTTTTGTAAAAAGTGATAATAAACGCTATAAAATTTAACTGTCTTTAATAAAATATGTTAGGGCATATTAGGAAATTGATGTTTCACTACATTTTATGACTGAATATTTAATGAGGCACCTTTATCGTAAAAAAGTATTCTGGAATAAATTAAAGTACAAACTGTAGGAAGGGCATTTGAATAAAATTTTAATACGCTTTTTTTACAGGTTATCATGCATACAAAAGCAATACAAAATAGAGGAAATATCTACTAAATACATACATATATGCGTATTATTTAGATAATTATATACTCGAAAAAATTGACAATCGACTAGATTATTAAGAGAACTATATTTAGAAATATGAAAAATAACGACGAAACTATTTTGGAAATCATTCAGGGCCATAAAACTGCAAAATGGCCCACAGCGAAGCTGGTAAAAATTTTCATAGCCAGCACCAAACCAGGTAAGAAAACTTTTTAAGTATTATGCAGTCACAGCCCCTAAAACTTGAATACCCCATTTGAAAGGCTTATATCATGAAAAAATAGTCAAATTCTATTCATGCCTATTAAAATTGTAGGTGTGACTACTAAGCGATTTGCAAATACAAAAATCTATTAAAAAAGATGTCTTCGTCAAAAACTGAAGTTGACGTGATTTTGCTTACTACTAGTGCAAAAACAAACAAATAATATTTAAAACTTGTTAAATGTGTATAATCCTGTTCCTTGTAATAATAATAATTCAACCCTTTTTTTGTATGCGTCCCAAGGGGTTGTCACATAATAAATCCCTTTTGTTTTATGTGTCATAAAAAGATATTTTTCGCTCTTTTATGTACCAAAGAATTGCATTACATTAAGAAAATTGCATTCTTTTAAATGTGGAAACATTTAAAATAAAAATAAATCAAAGATGTGCTTCTAAAAAAAAGATTTCTTAAGCGAGTGAAATCTCCTAACCAGTGGCGGCTCGTGACCATTCATTAAGATGCCATATGGCGCCGCAGGCAATTTTTTTTGAAATTTTCAAGGTCTCGCGTTTTTGGAGCACTTCAGAATCTAAGTAATAAAAATATATTATTTAAAAATATGTTCTTTCACGAGAAGAATTTTCAAAATTTAGCTAGAATAATAAAAAAAGTGCGGGACGAGGTGGGATTTTTATTTATTCCTTCAGCAGGTTTCCACATTACCCAGGAGGTACTGCTCATTTTTACCTATCTTACAATAAGTATTTTAAGATTAATAAAGGCACAACCGCACAACAACAAAATAATAATGTACAAGCACAGTAGGTATATAAAACTGAATAACACTGAACTATAAAAAAACATGAATATTTTTATTTATTTTTTTTTTGTGATTTTTACTATGGTATTTGTGTGTTAATATAATAGTATATTAAAATAAAAATGATCTTTTATAATTATTTGATTTATTTTTACATGAATTCACAACACAATAATGTATTTTACGCTTGCATTTTTATCAAAACTTTCCATTTTAACGCTAAGGCAAAGACTAAACAGAAATAAGAAACTATAAACACGCATAGATCTAATTAATAAGCTTTGTTTACTAAAACATTCCACGCCCCGCCCAGTCTTTTACAACGGCTGATAAGCGAGCCGCACAGATCTCGGGACTGACTCTGCTGTCTTCCATATACTGTGGTACAAGCCCAACTGTGTGGGCCTCAATGTCTAAAAAAATTCGCGTATTATCGTAACTTCTGTGATTACTATTTCCCTATTATGCTGTCGGGCAATGATTTAAGCGTTTAGAATTAAAGTTGGAAGGGGTGCGCGCTAAATTTAAAGGAAATATTTTAAACTTTGATGGTTATTCGATGTTTTGATACTTTTAATGACTGGAAATTAGTTTAAAAACCTTTTATATTTAAATAAGTAATGTATTCAACATTTCAAATTATATTATAATTTTAACATGTGAGGCTCGGCCACTGCTCCTAACACAATATTTTCTTCAACTACCTCAAGGAATTTATTCTATCTGACAACGGTTTTTATTTTATTTTTTTCCAATTTTAACAATCAAGAAACTCATTATTTTGCCCACTTTCAAAAGAATACATTCATACATCCTCACAAAATAGAGACAATACGTATTTATTATTCTGATGTTTCGTAAAATATAATATTTTTAATGGTAAAGTTTTTCCTTCAATTTAATAAAGGGATTTACCATATTCTATTCAAACCTTTTGTTTTAATATAGACTCACGGTCCTCCATATTTTACAACATTTTAGATATACAATTCTTTTTGCCCATTTTAATATTTATGACTTGATGCAGTGGCATAATATTATGTTGTTTTATCCCAGAAATAAACTTTATCGGGGAGAAGTCATATTTAATGTATAAAGTCTAAAGGTCAGATGCAATGCACTTTAGTAATGTAATTAATAAAACGGAGTTTTTCCATAAATATTTCTATGTACCAGCTTTCTTGAAATTTGCGACCCAACAATACATAGAAAATGATCTCGATAAAAAAAACAATAAACCAATGCTACAATTAAGCAAAGCATAACATAAAACGTACAATTATAATAATTATTATTAAAAGTAGAAAGTGGGGTTAGGTCTGACAATTTTTTGATTGGTCCAAACGGTTTTTTACCTTGTTAAACTTTAAAATTTGCTTTATTAAAATAACAGTTTTTTAACCTATTAGAAAAGCAGGGATTCTTGCCCCATTTCCAGCAAGGGTGTAGACAGGATTTTATTCAGGGCGGCAGGCAAGGGTAAACTATATGCATGCTAAAAAAAGTTTCGAGACTCCACCTCCCACCCATTTTCTACCACAATTTTTCTGGACATGCAATTTTTGAGTATAGCTCACTCCTTTTGATTAAAAAAGTTTATTCTGAAGCCATAATTTATGTATATCAGCATTAACTAACATATCTTATCCTCTAGAGTTTGTTTCTTATTTTTTTTATATTCTTGTCACAAATGTCTCTCGATGTCTTCGGCATCATTGCATTTATATTTCAAAACATTTGTCTTTTAGAAATAGGTCTAGTATTCCTATAACTAATATAATTATTATAATTATAATATAATTAATTAATCTTTTACAAGAACAAACACTTTAATAAAATCTCCACCAATTTCAACAAAATTTCTTTGCTCTTTTCAGAGGCTTTAAGCCGTAATTTTCGTTTTTCATACCTTCTAATGCAAATTTACATATACCAGAACACATTGCAAACAGCGAACATAACCCTATTGTGTATGTTTTATATTGCCGCAATCCTCTTCAAACCCAGTGTTTGTCAGTTATAAATATATTTATGTGTATATTTAATAATATATTTTAAAAATCTATTACCCTTATAATGTAATAAAAACATATTAAAGTATTTGTAAGATAACCTATAAATCTTTACTGTCATTTAAAAGTTGTAGTACAATATTACCTAAATAAATAAACCAGTTATAACGTAAATTTAACGTTAATTTAACCAGTCGTGCCACTAGGGTATTGTCAATAATAAAGTTTAAATTAAAGAACTCTTAAAGATAAAAGTAATTTATGTTATTGTTATGAAATGTTAAAATAATAAACCTCCATGTATGTTTATTAAAATCGTAGATATAAAAACAAACCTGTATGTATTTTACATTTAGGAATCCATTATTTAACTGTAAAGTAAACGTTTTTTCAACGTGATTAAAACCATTTGTTTGGCAATGGGACCAATTCGAGGAATCTTATAATCGAATTAGAGAAGTAACATGCGAATTCGATATTCATTAGAGCTTTACGGTCTCGCTTTATGTTATTAATTGAAACATCAATATGCCCAAATTAGATGCGTAAAGTTGCTACGGCGCGACGAAGAACAAAGAATAACATAACTCAAAGAGAATCTCAATTAACCCGGGTAATCGAATAAAATCCAGGAGGCGTTTAATTCTTTTAAAACTAGTCAATTGGGCCCGAACGTGTTGCTAAATCTTTTCCTTACAACCACAAACTGGACTTAATTTAATAAAGTTCTTATTAACGCGAAATATTTGTTCATTTTATAATGCAGGTAGATATATTTTACTTTGCACTTAATTTTAATTTAATTATTTAACCATTTTTCGTAGAAAAATTATAGTATGCAACTCGTTTATAAAATTTTGTCACTCGTTTAATTAAGCACTCGCCCTTGCACAATTAATTTTATGTCTAAAATGGCGTTTATCAAACTAGATACATAATAAACTATTAGGTCTATTTCATTTTAAATAAATCATGAAATGAAATTTCATAATATATTGTAAAATTGTTTTTACTAATAAATATTATTGGATTGATTTAGAAATTAATTGTGATGTTTATTTTAATTCAATTTTATTAATTCAATCTTCTACAAACATATACTAAAAAATATTCCAACATAATTTTTTTATGTCGGGATATCTGAATAAAATTTTAATTTATCACTCGCCCCATTTTTATAAAAATTTATGAACATGCAAATATTTATTTTTTCTTTCGTTTACTTTAATTTATTTGATTTCATTTCATACATTTTTATTTCTAAAGTATTAATCCCGGCGCATCCGCCATTTTTGACACTCTTCAGTATATAATTGCAAAAAATATAATAAAATTTATCCGAAATCGGCAGTATAGTAGAACTTAACTGCCGATTTAATACGAGTATTGTATGCAACCCATTATACATTCAATCTTCTACAAACATATACTAAAAATGTTTCGAACGTATTTTTTTTATGACGGGATATCTGAATAAAATTTTAATTTATCACTCGCCCCATTTTTATGAAAATGTATGAACATTTAAATATATTTTTTTCTTTATTTCGTTTACTTTAATTTATTTGATTTCATTTCATACATTTTTATTCCCAAAGTATTAATCCCGGCGCATCCGCCATTTTTGAAACTCTTCAGTAAATAATTGCAAAAAATATAATAAAATGTATCCGAAATCGGATAATTTAATACGAGTATTGTATGCAACCCATTATACATTTTAAGATGTGTCTACTGCTCCTCAGCAGCAACTAAATAATATTTTTTTAAAAGCACCGTCGCGGTGGTCGATTGGACCCTTTCATAAAATGTTCTTTAATAAAAATAATAAGTTAATTTTACTAATTAGATTAAAAAATCGCCGCGGCGGGCAAATATATAATAACCGTCGCAACAAACAGTATACGTAGACACTTCCTACATTCAAATGACATTTGATTTGATCATCAAATGACATTTATGTAAGAGCAAGATACCGATGTAGTTGGATTTCAGAATGTAATTACGCAAGTATTGTTTTAACAGTCAAAGTGTATATTACGAGCAACTTCGCATGAAATGCATCATAATATGTAGTTTCCTAATAATTAGCGACAAAGGAACAGTATACAATGGAAATTAATTATCAATCACAAATTTTAATGTTACGATTTTGTATTCATTTTAATGAAACTTCTATGTATTATATAAAGTTTAACTAAAACCTTTTTTGGAGGCCATAAATTATCGCCTATCTAGCCGAGATTTCTGACAGCTCTGTTGTATCTTACTTTACTCGCATAATAAAACGGTAATTCACAGTAAGAAATCAATGATTTAAACATCTATATTATACAAAATTTCGGGGTGCTATATTGGCAATCCTGAACTCATATTTATTTCATGAATATTGCTTTATATACAAATATTAGAAGGCTTTTAGCAATTCATGCAGAAATTTACTTCTATTGTTGAATGTTGTGAATGCAGATTCAACTACATGACTACACACTTAATTATAATTATTGAGACCGATTTTGATTGTCCATTGTATAGCAAATTAAAACTTATCCGATCAACATTATAGATGCTTTGCGTTCAAATCGTCTAATAGAGAATTTTATACCATAAGTGGGAACCACTAAATCAGTTTCCTAAGATATCAAAATGTATGTCGTAGTTTTTGATTTTAGTGTAAATGTAAACTTCATGTTGTGGTAAATTAGGTGGAAACAATTTAAAAAGTAAATTTATGTGGTCCAAAAAGTTTACATCCAATTTGGAGTTTTGGTATCAGTAAATATTACATGATTAAACTTCAGCTTAACAAACAGTTTGCTGCGGATTTCAATTTAGATATTGTTCATTCTCTCTGCTTGGGTCTGCTAAATTACATGTACATCATATTCTGTAAAATCTAACTTAATTTAAAGATAATGTTTAACAAAAATTTTATTTGTTGAATTTCCCGCTCACTGTTTGACCAATATTAATTAAGGTATTGCCTATCCACTATTTATCAAACTTAAACAGGATTGGGTTTCCTATTACCTTATGTAAATAGCCTATTGGATCTATTATTTAATTTCAGATTTTATCGAAGAAAGAAGATATCTTTTGGAATTTGTTGGGCCCGAATTGCAAGCGGTTTTCGAAGACAATCAGATCGAGGTGAAACTTCAAAATTAAATATTTCTCGACGAAACTCTAACGGATCTTTATTTTACAGATTGAATTGGTTGACATGCATTTTGGTGCTTCTGAAAGAGACTACTACGATCCTTATTTATTCGAAGACCACTTGAATGAAATACGTTTGTGTCACAAGTTGTCTAGAGGCTGTTTTTTCGTGGTAAGTCGCAATTTCGTTGCACGAAGCTCATGCTCCAATAAATTTATATTACAACGGTCAACAAAAACTGCGGAGCAAAGTACTAACACAGTATAGAATAAAGCAGTAAATACAGTACAGCAATCTAAGCGGTTTGTGTTTCATAAATAGCGCGAGTGACTGTACTGCTTTTTATACTGTGGAAGTAATTTTTAGCTCTGTGTGTATTAATAAAGTTTATTAAATAAACGTTAAAATATATATTGGCTTTAGAGCCTAGTGGGAAATAAATACGAGCCCCTCATGGTTCCACCTCGTTTAGATGTAGATAAGTACATGACAATTAAAAATAAGGCTGAAGAGATGGGATTAGAACATGATATTTTAATCAATTGGTACAAAAAAGTTCACGACGAATACGTTTTGAAGGAGTATAGGTAATGTTTAACATAGTATTTACGTACAAAAAAAAACCGTACGTTAGCTATATTATAAGCCTTGATAACAAATTTTAAAACTCGTTTAATTAAGCACTCGCCCTTGCCTAAATTAAATTCATGTCTAAAATGGCGTTAATCAAACTAAATACATAATAAACTATTAGGTCTATTTCATTTTAAATAAATCATGAAATAATTTCATAATATATTGTAAAATTGTTTTTACTAATAAATATTATTGGATTAATTTAGAAATTAATTGTGATGTTCATTTTAATTCAATTTTATTAATTCAATCTTCTACAAACATATACTAAAAATGTTTCCAACATAATTTTTTTATGTCGGGATATCTGAATAAAATTTTAATTTATCACTCGCCCCATTTTTATAAAAATTTATGAACATGCAAATATTTTTTTTTTCTTTCGTTTACTTTATTTGATTTCATTTCATACATTTTTATTCCTAAAGTATTAATCCCGGCGCATCCGCCATTTTTAAAACTCTTTAGTAAATAATTGCAAAAAATATAATAAAATTTATCCGAGTATTGTATGCAACCCATTATACATTTTAAGATGTGTCTACTGCTCCTCATAAGCACCGTTGCGGAGGTCGATTGGACCCTTTCATAAAATGTTGTTTAATAAAAGTAATGAGTTAATTTTATTAATTAAATTAAAAAATCGCCGCGGCGGGCAAATATATAATAACCGTCGCAACAAACAGTTTACGAGGTGTGTTCAGAAAATATCGGAAATTTTCGTTTTTTGAAACAAATATTTATTTATTCGTCTACATTAATGTTGTCGCCTTCAAGATAGTCTCCATTGGATATTATGCACATGTGCCAGCTCTTCTTCCAATACTCAAAACACTTCTAAAACTCGATCTTTGGGATAGCCTTTAGTTCTTTCAGCGATGCGCTTTTAATGTCATCTATGCTTGCAAAACGACGGCCCTTTAAGGTTCTCTTTATTTTTGAGAATAGGAAAAAGTCAGACAGAGGCATGTCTGGCGAATATGGAGGCTGGAGCATCATTACAGTATTGTTTTTGGCCAAAAATTTTGTTTAAAATTTAACAATTTTAGAACAAATTTTGCTGCCACGCGTTTCATACCCAAAGCATTCGAAAAAATTGCATGGGATGAGCCAATCGATATACAAACATCATGTGCTTGTGCGTTCGGGGCGTTCGTCATCTTCAACGGCCATCTTGGAAACTCTTATATCACTTGTAAACTCTTTTTTACTTATAACAGACTCACTATAGGCCTTTGTTAACATTACACAAAATTTATTACATTTTTTAAGCAAAATTGGATACAAATTCTTTGATCCATTTCTTTTAACGAACGAAAAATCGCCGAGCTCATAAAACACGTCTAACCTTAGCAGCTGCCACAGACAAAGTAAACAATGAAAACAGCTAAAGTTTTTATCATACTTCGGGCATGTATACCAACATAAAAAAGAAAATTTTATGACAACCGGACCCTCCGAACCCGCAAAATTTAACAATTGCCGTTATTTTCTGAACACACCTCGTACGTAGACACTTCCTACATTTGATTTGATCATCAATATTAATTATTAGTATTATTAAATGCAATTTCGGATAAAATACAATATGCACCTCGACATTAAAGTCATTTTTTATAAAATATACGACTTTATTGCCTTTATACATAAATAACTATTATTAAAATCATTTTTTTAAATTTTCTATATTTCAAACTTTTGAGCCACCCTGTATATAAGTTGCATGGAATAAATTACTCGCTCGCTAGCTTCGCACATGCCTAATTAAAACTCGTGACTAAAATGCCATTTAACAAACTAGATATTTCAAGCTTTCCGGCATTTTAAATATTTTACATTTAAATAAATTATTTTTTTGATGCTGCAAAGCATTTATCAAGCAGATTTGACATAAGCCCTTGAAATATTTTTTAAATCCCTTTTTATCAGGTAAAAGTAGGGAGAAAATGGAAAAGTAGAATCACAAAATTACATAAAAAAGGTATAAATCGTATAAAACATTTGTTTTTTAGGTTTCACACGGTTCGCTTGAGAATTAACTTTTCAGGACCTTTTTTTAATCAATTCAAAACTTAATGAATAATTATGCATTAATTTGCAGTGTCCAATTTATCCATTTATTATTTGATTTTGCGAAATTTTTAAATCATACACAGTGCAGAATTGACCTATTAAACAATGTCTCTAAAAATATGTCGTCAGGATTTTCATTGATTCTATCAATTTTTAAACACGAGTAAAAGTACATTTAGAAGCGGAAACCATGGGAGAATAAGGTTTTAGCAAGGAATAGAGATCCCACTTTATACCAACTTGGAAAATTGCTTCGAATTCAAGAGGAAATTGCTTATGAAATATTTAAAAAGATCGTAATTTTCTGCTTCTTTGTGTACAATAATTTTTACCTATTCTATTGATTCGAAATCTAAATTTATTTGTATGAAATTTTTTTGCCATTACGCTGGTCGACAGAAATTTTGCCACATGTTATCAGCGCACCAAAATTATTGTGGCAAACAAATATTTTTATTTTGGTCGACCAGTGTAAGTTTAATTATGATTGCAAAACCAAATGGACACGATATATCCAATAGATATTATCTATGGCACTTAATTGCAGCATACTATAATTTGATCAAGATGTTAGTAATTGATTTTGGGCGTTCATAAGTCAGCTCATATTCAATTATAGAAACCTAAAAAAATTGGTGTTTCATTTAATTAAAACTTTTAGTTGGCAAAAGTTTTCAAGCTTTCTAATTGCATGTATACACAATTATTATACATTATTTATTCTCCTAAAAAACACTCTTAATTATGAATTAAATAAAATTTGCATTCATTATAATGAATAAAAAAGGCGAATTATTTTCGTTGTTAAAAAATAAGATATCTATAAATATTTAGCTTAAGCTTTAGAATCAATTCTAATAATTCTTAATTTTTGATAAAAAAGGAAATACAGGCAAAAATGTATAACTAACGTACGTGGTTTGTAAAATAAACTTTATATACCCAAATAATCGTAATACTTTTATAGAAAACTTCCATTTGAGGAATGGAAGCAAATTTGTTCGAAAATATTAAACCTTATAAACGAATGCACCTTACAAATGCCGGACACTTCGCGAAAAAAAATACAAAAATATTTGAGATCAACGGTGGAGCAACAGTTCAATTATGCTTTAGGTGAGTGCCATTCATTTGTTTTTTTCTTCTACTATTTGAGTTTAAAATGAAAGCTATTCAGCCAATTTAAACCTTAAATCTCTTGAAGCTGGAGAGGGAGGGAGACCATGATTTTTGATTTTTGATGATCCTCCATGACTGTTACCCTTTCTAGGTTAACCTATATGTTTTCAAATATCTGAGGTAGTAAAAGCATACTCAAAATATCAGTTCACTAAGTAAATATAAAATATTATTAAAAATTAAAATAAATAATTTTTATAACCATTTATGTAGGTGTAAAAAAAGTTTATTCTATCCTCCGTGAATCTGTTTTTGCTTTAAATTTTATGCAACGGATGGCGCTTTAATTATTTTAAATAAGCAAAAACCTCTGTTTACGACATTATAGATGCATGTGATTCCTGAAGGTCAGTTAGAATTTATATGCAGATGAGAGTGTTGCTGTTTTATAATTCAAAAGTTTAAGTTCATTAATTTGCTATTTAAAAACCTATCCACCGTGAAGTGTAATATCTCAGTGAGTAGATTTTTTTTTTAAATATTTTATGTATGTACAATTGTATTTTTTTTTAAATATTAACAATAACTTATTTCATATATACAAAGGGATGTTTAAAAAAAACCGAAATCCTAACCTCCGTGAAGCTATCTAAATAACCAAAAATAAAACATCTCAATATATTCACCCATCTGTGACTGTGTATATTTTTTTAAATTAAGATCCATAGCTACATTATCAAATATCCTGGGTATCCTGAGTATTTGATTAACAAAATATACGAATATTAATGTTTAATTTAAAAAAAAAAAAACAATTTTTTTGCAATATCTTGAAAATATGATCCAATTAAACAAAATGATCATTTTACCCTAGAAAAGTTGTTGTTTACCAACCAAATTCCTGTGGACCAGTGTAATTGGCGTTAATTAAGTGTGATTTGGGGTTTGCAATTATTTTAAATACTAAGCCAAGATAAACCAAGAGATCACCTGAAATGTTGGGTTGCCAACGGAATTTCGTGTGCGGAATATGTTGAATATCGTATAATTAAAATAAAAAAGTAAATAAATTTTGGTTGGAAACAAGGTGTATTTAAAAAAGTTTTGCATTAACCGCCCAATTAAAAAACGCCATTTTTGTTGAATACGAAAAGGGGGATTAAAAAACACATATTTTACCTTACCTTGCCTGACTAAACCAAAACGTTTTAATTGCTCGTAAATAAGGCTTTTAAGTTACACAGCTAAACAAAGTGTTTTTAGTATGTTCTTAAAAGAAAATGCCATTCAACATGTTTACTTTTATCTGAGCATTAAACAGATTACTTTTCTTTAGAGAATATTATGGCGGTCCACATTTGTCTGGAGAAAAAAACTCCACATAAGTAATTTTTGTATGTTATTATGTAATAATATTCCCTCTAAATTGCCATTTACTGTTTGCCCAGAAGGTAATAAACCACTAATGTCACCAATTTTTTTTTTTTAATTTTTATATGGACTGGGTAAGCAAAATTTGTCTTTTTAGAATAACATATTCCGGTGCCAATAGTTAAGATAAAAATTGTGAAATCATAAATTCAAAGCTAGTGATTTTGTTTACCTGTAAGTGTTTTTTGGACCACCCCTCGTAAATACAAGTTGTGTATCAAAGTGTGTACAGTATCAACTTATCAACTATTTTTTTTTTAAAGTATATCGAAAATATGGTTTAGGGTGACAAAAAAAAATTATTGTGAAAGTTTGAGTCCATAATATTAATAGAGTAGCGGAGGGTAATATGGAATACTGTTTTCTATTATAGTAATAAATTCCTCTAGGTGCAGTACAGTGCATTAGAAAAGTCATTAAATATTGTGATAACTATCCATCTAGGCAAATAAAACTCTGGAATTTCAAAAACTTTATGAATTAAAAAAAAAAATAAGGTTAAATAAAATAAGTACATTCTGACATTACAAAAAAATGGTCGGGTAATATGGAATACCACTATGGGGTAATATGAAATACTAAATGAACTAGAAAATATATGCTTATAGGGAAATTTTAGCGACAAAAATCACAAATGTAAACATCCTTTGGCGTGTCGGCGCATAACTCATGAGCCCAAAGTTCACATCTTGCACACTGAATCCAGATTTCTCCCCTTGTATCAGCCGAATATAATCCCGAACAAAACAAACACTCAGCCTCTTCAGATGGACGATCATAAACAGGAAATTCTTCATCGTCGTTGGATGATGAGTCATGTAAAGATGCAGAACTGTTGGAATCTTCTGATGAATATTTACCTTCTTTTGATTTCTTTATTGCCTTTTTTTGAAATTTTTGTACGCCACTTGGTCCAGCTACCTCTGCATCTGCATGTTTAGGTTTTTTATTCTCTTTGTTTTTGTTAGTTATTTCTATTTTTCTTTTAACTTTATCCCTTTCTTTAACTGACGCTATTTCTATTGATTGCTCCAACTCTTCTTTGTTTGGGGTCGACGTCAAAACTTTGGCTTGACCTGCTTTCCGACCTCTCGTGCCCTCTTTCTTCCTCAAAGTTGGCTTGGGAATTATATCCCGTGGTAAAACTATGGTGGCATTCTGAGCCGTGTTTTCTGGTTGAGGTTTCTCCCGGAGCACATCATCTTCTGAATTTACTTGGACCTCATTTCTTTGTGCCTCCTGAATAAAGTCTTCTTCGGAGAATACGTTCCGGTTAACTGGAAACAATCCAGTTTGTCGAAATCCGTTAACAGATCTTTCACCACTTTGAATTTTCAGATACGCGTTACCAAAAAGTTCACTTAAATCAAAATGATTGACAGGCCGATTATTAGTTCTTAAAAATAGTCTTACTTCCTCACTGTAATATGTCTTTAATGCTCCCATAACAGTTTTATCCAATGGCTGCATCTTATGAGTTGTATGTGGCGGTAAGCAAAGTAAAGTCACATGGTTTTCTCTGGCAGCCAAAATAACGTCCAAATTTTTAGTGTGAGTATGGTGACCATCTAGAATCAGTAGAATGGGATTTTCTGCACTCGGTTTAGCATGTTTTAGAAAATGTTTGAACCATTGTGTGAAGATATCCATCTGAATCCAGCCTGACGGATGAAAGGAAAAAATGGTTCCTGGCGGGGCACCCTTCTTTAGAAGTTCACTGGCATTTTTTCTGGGAAAAATCAGAAGGGGGGGTACAAAATTGCCACTTGCGCTAATGCAAAGGACTGAGGTTATAAGTGAACCTCGTTCGGCTGACGTCATTGCCCCAACTTGCCTTTTTCCCCTTAGAGAAAAAACTTCTGGATTTCTTGATTGAACAATGGTTAAACCAGTTTCATCCACGTTATAAACTTGGCTTGCCGAATAATTATGCGTCTCCATTAGGGTCTCTAACAGGTCGAAAAATGTGTCTACATTTTCTTTATTAAATCCTAAGGCGCGAGCGTACGAAGTTCCAGTAGGTCTTCTCAAACTTAAAACATTTTTATGCCTCATTCTGAAGTGATGAAGCCAATCCTTGCCAGCTGATTTTCTTAGTAATGAAAATGGATGAGGAATATTGTTTTTTCTTGCTAATTGAAAAGCAACATTACAAACATCGCGACGCGTCAAGCCAAAGAACGATTTCTCCATCTCTAGACAGTGCTTAACTAATTCTTTTTCCAAAAAATCAGGTAAAACGGGCTTACGGCCTAATTTGGTACGGCACACAACTTCAGGTTCCATGTTCTTTTTGCACAGCCTGAAAAGTGTAGCTCGAGGAACATTGTATGTTTTACAAGCCTTCAAATAACCCATTTGTTTGGACCTGACTGCTATCACTGCTTTCCTCATATTTTCTTCATTCCACTTTTTGCGTTTTTTATCTACGACCCTAGTTTTAGGCATTGTTGATAACCTGGTGCTCGAATAAGACTTCTTAAACAAAAGAAATTAATTTTTAGATGGCACTTTTATGGGGAAACTTTTGCGGGTAATATGGAATAGTATTCCATATTAGCCGCTCTTAGTTATGTTGAGGTTATAATTTTTTTAAGATGTCTAGACGAGTATAGACCCGCAATAACTACATCTTATATTAATCTACAGTCCTTACTTGCTCTCTGATGAGAATATGAATAAAAAATCACCAACTAAATGATAATAAACTAAATTTTCACGAAACTCAACAAAAATTCTGCATGACTGAAAAACAGGTGTTGACGAATAACTATTTAACGAACGATTACAGAGTTACGCGCGTGTTTGGGTATAAATCCGTACTTAAGATAAGCATATTTTTGCTACCGCCTTGTAGATGGCAGCATAAGTTTAGCCAATTATATGGTATTCCATATTAGCCGATGTATTTCATATTACCCGCCGCTACTCTATTAAGAGGTCTATCATCGCAATTTTAATTTTTTGTAGAACATTCAATTTTCTTCAAAAAATATTCTAAAGTCAATTTTGTTAAACTCAATGGTTTGGGAGTTCTGAGACAAAAACTCGCTCAGGAAAAAAAAATCTAAAATTGCGATGATAGACCTCTTAATATTAATATTATGGACTCAAACTTTCACCATAATTTTTCACCCCAAACAATATTTTCGATATACTTTACAAAAAAAGTCTAGTGTACAGTTAAGGAAAATAGTAATGTCCATTTGAATGCTCCATTGTAATTGTTCGGAGACATTTTTGGTAATAAAATTAACATACTTATTTTTCAACTAAATAATTCTACCTACCTGCTATTTATCATTTTTTATACTCACATTTCATTTGACTTAAATATTTAAGGAATAAAATGGATTTTGAAATAATTTAAATATAATATATGTTGTATAATTTATTTAATAAAGTACATGTATTTAATTAGTTGTTAATAATAAAATAATATATTTCAATAAAATATATAGACATTTAGTACTAAAATAATTATAAACTAAAATATTTATTCCTACTATGTAAATTAAAGCCATTAAAATTTTAAACTAAAAGGAATTTTGTGCTTATAAAAAGAAATTCACTTTTAATACGTTTATCAACATTTTAGTTTTCATTAAAAAGAAATGTTAAATAATTATTAATGTTATTATTTACCATTTTGTTTTTAAATAAAAATGTCGTTTTCTTTGCACATTGTTTTTTTGCAGAATATTTTTTTAAGTAAAGGGCAGTACTAAATTTTACCATAAATTTAGTTTTGCTGAAAAAGTAGGAATTCTAAATATATTTTTATATATGTTTAGCCTAAAAAGTTCTTTTTAAAGTTTTTCATAGAATAAATGTCTAAACTATTACTATTCATTACTATTTTCCGTAGCTGTACCTCATACTCAATATGATCGAAAATGAGATATTAAAAAAAAATCAGTGATGCGTTATCTACCAGTCAAGTAATCATAGATATTAGTTAGAGGTTTAAAACTGCTTTGGCTTCTCCCGCACAATTTACATTATGTGACTTAATACACTTTACCTCTGAGGTGTACAAAGATGCCTGTATATATTAATAACTACAATTTACTTAGAGTGTTTACAATCCCAAAACAGCGAAAAGACTACTTTAATTACATTCTGTAAAATTGGTTGAATAAAATTAGTTGGAATAGTTAAATTAAGCAAACTTTGGAATGAATAAAAACAATTTTGAAACTGTGTTTGTTGAACCTAAATTAAATTAAAAATCCATATGTACGTACGTGCATAAAACCGTTCTAGCAACATTTATAAAAGTGAGTATTTGTATAACAGTGTAAAAATGTTAGTAGTATTAATATTCCAACACTAATTAAAAATGTATGCTCTCAGCTTAAAATTATTCATTACACTGATACAATTTATTTATAATTATAAAAAGCTTAGTAAGAAATCCATTTTGGCACATTCTTTTTAGATTTTTGTTAAAAGGGTGCAAAATAAATTATTTCTATTTTTCTTAGAAACCTTGTGCAATTTAACACTATTATTAAGCAGCGAGAAAAGTGTTAAGAATAAGCATTTGGGCTTGCGTTCTGATAAATCTTTCACGTAACTGAATCAGTTCTTTTCTTCGTCAAATTTCAGCTTTATTTTGCTTTTTTACTTGACTCTACGACAAACGTATATAGTTTGCAGTCCAATTTAATGTCTATTTTAAGTTTCCCCATTCGAACACAAAATAAAATCTTTTTTTTTTAAAAAGCAGATATGCAAACATTCAAATTCGTATATATATTTTTTTAATCCAATACTATGTAGCTATGTTTTTTGAAATCTTGAAAAGAAGAGCTGAATGAGAGAAATGATGGTCGGACGCGTTGTTAATTGTTAAAGTGCCTTTGTCCAAACTGAAAGTATAAACAAAAAGCAAATGTTTTTTCACAGGATTGGCTCCAGGCACGGCACACCACGTTATAAATGTTACAAGGGAATGGGACAATACTGAGGAATCCAACGATTATTTTAGGGTATGATTTTTTAAATATTTTAATATATGTACATATAAAATATTTCAAAAGCTTTTTATGTTGTGTTACTGTGTCATATGTTAAATTTTAGCATTTAAACTTGTCAATTTAAATAAAAATGAATAATTTCCCATAATAAAATGATTTAATAAACAATAATAGCAAGAAAAATTCCATTTTTAGTATTTATATTAACATGTATATTAAACGATGCCTTGAGGAATCCCGTTGAAAAAAAAAATTAATAATATTTTGTCGAGTAAAGATTTGAAAGAAATTTTGTTTGTAAAATTCATTTTATCAGTCGAGTTAAAGCAGTTGAACTTGTTGAAAGTACAGAAAATAAAAATATTTTGATTTTGCCTCCAGCCGTCTGAAATAAGTTTTATTGGACTGTATGTATAAAGGAAATAATATTTATAATAATATTTTTCTATTGAAACATTTTAGAGATGTACGTTTTTCTAATAGTTGTTTAAGGGGAAGGATTTATTAAATTAAATTTATTTAACGTTTTGATGTGTTTATTTAATTAATGGATCAATTTTTACGCAAAATAGCTAAAATAAGTAGATGGCTATGATTTGGTTGCATAGGGTTTTTGAAAAATTTTCAAAACATGTGTAGGGATTTTAATGCTCTTAATGTATAGTAAACAAATGTATAATACAACAAAATAATGTATTTTTAGGACGTAGAGTATAGCCCAGAATTACAAAGTACTTTTGTGGAGAGAATTAACGAATTTAAAGTTTCAATAAAAAACCAAATTCCAGACGAAAATATTCTTAATTTTACGTAAGTGAATTTTAGCTAGATTATAATGATATTAACATTAACATTAACACATTAACACATTAACACATTAACACATTAACACATTAACACATTTACACATTTACACATTTACACATTAACACATTCACACATTAACATTAATAATAATATTATTACTATTGTTATTATTATTATTATTAGAGTGCCTTGGGTGGAAGGAGGTGTAAGTAACGAGATTGAAGAACACGAAACATATCTAAATAAGTTTAAAAATAACATTTTTCATAAGATTAAGGCTATGGTGCAAAAGAGCTTGGACGATGAGCCTGTCTTAAAGTCCAGGAAGAAAATAGTCGAGGTTTGTAGGGTCAATTTCATTGCATATTTTTTGGTCTTGATATTTAACTTGCTTATTTGTACGGATATGACCTCAGGTCAACAATAAAAATTTATACGCGTGGTGATATGATAATGAATAAAATCAATACAATTTTGATAAAAAAATATCTTGCTGATTATTTGAAAATATACCCATTTTAAATAATCAGTCCTATAAGACCCTATTTCTTAATCAAACAAAATTGTATTAATTTGTTCATCATCAATTTTTCTTGATGATATGTTGGAGTAAATTGCTTGTAGGAAAATTTTCAAGAGAACATAACTCATTTGACGACTTGCTACGGCGACATCGAAAAAGATTTCACGAACTCTGAAATATTTGAAAAGATAAAGCAAGTGGTGGAGAATAACAATAAGACGCGTCACAACCCAATATTAATATATGGAAATCAGGGATCCGGGAAAAGTTCTTTACTCCAATTGCTATATAGAAACTTCGAGAACTGGTTTACGTGTAGATCGTTAAGAATAGTTAGATTTGCGAACTCGACTCCGAGATCGTCCTACAATTTGGAACTCTTAAGAATCATATGCCAGCAAATATGTATAGCGCTCAAATTGCCCGAAGGGTTCCTACCCAAAGACGCCTCCTTCGACCCTTTATACATAAACAATTGGTTTCAGTCGCTTTTAAGAAATTTCGAGGAGCTTAATCAAGTGCTTGTTATATTTATCGACGACCTGCACGCACTAAACCCTCTAGACACCGATATGGTTTCCATTTTAAGCTGGCTTCCGATCACGTTGCCCAAAAATGTTCACATGATATGCACCACCGGCGTTGACCTTGACAATCTCAGATTGACCCCTGTCCAAAAGGAAAAACTCAGAAACCCCGAATCGTATTTCGAATTACCCCCCGCAGCTTCATTTAATGGTAAGTCAGTTTTTTCTTATAATTTACCATATACCAAATAAGTTGTCATCCTTTGGGGGGGTGATAGTACTCACAGGCAAAATAATCGATCCATCAAATTTTCGATGAATTTCAATCGCAAATAACTTTTTTATTTGATTTCGGATTTAAACAAATATTAAAGAATATTGTAGATACATTAATGGAGAATCGCTCACATTTTAAAAATTACTAAAAAATACACGTACGTTTATAATATAAAGGTTTAAACAAAAAGATGTTTTTAACCATAAGTTTAAGACACTCTGTAGAGTGGCAAAACCGTATATTATTCTAAATTAAGTTTTAATTATCAACTCACATCTATTTTTAACAGTTTTGTTTTTGGTTCACCTTGATATATTTACTTTTGTGGAAAAAATGAATTTTTTTTAAAAAACATTGCAATTTTCAATATTTTCCTGTATGAAGAACTAAGGTTGCTATGGTCCATCCATAGCCTATGGAGGATGACAGTGACAGTTTTGTTGAATCATCCCATACTTGGACATGTCATATACATCTTTCAAAAGCTATCAAATTGTTTTTTGTAAATTAATGTGTTAATTTTGAGGTGTCTTCTTACTTTTAAAAATGTCTCCGACTGATGTTGCCCTTTGTACTTTGTACAAAACTGTCACTGTCATTCTCCATTGCCTATGGATGGACCATAGCAACCTTAGTTCTTCATACAGAAAAATATTGGAAATTGCAATGTTTTTTTTAAAAATCCATATTTTCCACAAAAATAAATATATCGAGGTGAACCAAAAACAAAACTGTTAAGAATAGATGTGACTTGATAAATAAAACTTCATTTAGAACAATATACGGTTTTGCCACTCTACATGTAGAGTGTCTCAAACTTATGGTAAAAAACATCTTTTTGTTTATACCTATATATTATAAACGTACGTCTATTTTTTAGTAATTTTTTAAAATGTGAGCGATTGTCCATTAATTTATCTACAATATTCTTTAATATTCGTTTAAATCTGACATCAAATAAACAAGTAATTTGCGATTGAAATTCATCGAAAATTTGTGTGGATCGATTATTTTGCCTGTGAGTGAAGTAGTTACACCCTGTATAGACATATTATTTTAAAACATTTGGTTGGTTGTATTCATACAAAAAAGGTCCACTTTCACCACTTATTGTTGTTGAATTAAAAGGGTGCTATCAGAGCTGCAAGCTCTCAGAAAACTTAAATCGTTTTTTTGATTTAAATCGTTTTAATGACTTAAGTCATTTGGTAATAAGTCATTTCTCTAAAACTGACTTAAGACTTAAAATTTAAGTAATTTTCAAAATGATTTGCGACTTAAATATTTTTTTCAAAATAGAAAAAACTTAAGTCATAGTACATACGATTTCAGTCAGATAGAAACGATTTAAGTCAAAAAAAGATTTAAGTCTTTTTGAAAAAGATTTAAGTCTTTTTAGAAAATATTTAAGTCAGATTTTTCATATATTTTTTATAAATTTTTAACAGCGGCATTTTCTTTTGAACTGCCAGGGGTTCACGCGGCAGCAGATCAAAAACTCCTTTAATTTCCTACGATTTTTACCGCTAGAGGATAAAAAAACCGCCGCGTAAAGTTAGCTTTTTGGAACCGTTTGACGGCTACATTAAAAAATGTCTTGTCTAAAATGAATTAAAAAAAGTGGAGATTTATAATTTTGTTATTTTGTTTGCCAACATTCGTCATGTTCGTGCGTAGTTATGTCTAATTTGTGATTATTAGTGCAAAGTGAAAACAATCTGAGCGGTCTTGAATCGAGAGTTTGGAACTTCCCATCATTACTCCCTTAAGGAAGGAATTTTTTTTCTAGATGGATGTTGAACCAGCTAACAAAAGTTAACAAAGCAACAAATTATCAGTTTTTGAAATACAGCGATTTTAAGAAAAATGCTTTTATCTATTTTAACAGAGTTTGAATCTATTACCGTTTAGAAGTTACCCATTTATGTATATAAAAAAGTAGCCTCCCTGTATGTCTACTCGGTCTAGGACGTTCTGGCGCAACCGATTTGACGCGACCGATTTGGCGCGGCCGTACTGGCGCAGGTTCGTTGTGACGCAGACCGCTTCTGGCGCAAAGCCTATTTGGCGCAGGTACATTCTGGCGCGAAGACTTTATGGCGCAAATAATTAAAAACATATCAAAAATCGACCCTATTTTAACCATTAAAACCGCAATGTACCTGAAAAATAAATGAAACACAAACATATTATTTGAAACATACATTTATTAAAACGTAATTCAAAACATATATTTTATTACAAATTCATACAAAATAATACATCCCTACTATATTATAATTGTAAGCTAAGCCATATTATAATTGTAAGCTAAGCCTTTCAAATATTCTACCATCCCTATATTATTGAAATTTTCTACAATATTCTTAATTCTTTTATCACATTCAACATATTTTCTAAGTTTTTTAGGAGGTGCCTGTCCAGCTATTAATTGTTCTATATAAAAATTTATTTTATTATTCTTATCATCTCTATAACAACTAAATAAACGCCAACTTTCTTATATTATTATTATAGGAAGTCATTAGCGTATCATATAATATATATATATTATATAGTTATATTTATCATTCTAGCAGGGTAGGCACTAATTACTACAAAAGGTTGATAAAATAAGGTCGATTTTTAATATGTTTTAAATTATTTGCGCCATAAAGTCTTCGCGCCAGAACCAGAGATATGGATATCTCTGGCCAGAACTTATCTACGCTAAATAGGCTTTGCGCCAGAAGCGGTCTGCGTCACAACAGACCTGCGCTAGTACAGCCGCGTCAAACCAGTCGCGTCAAATCGGTTGCGCCAGAATGGATCATCTCGATGTCTACTCTACTAAAAAAGGTGGTTTAAGTTTTTATTTTTATTGTCTAATATATACTCAAAAAATGTGTTTTAAGATTTTATTTTGTTTGTAAGTGTTCTGAAAATAAATCGTTTTAAATTCTTAACATAGTGGTTTATTATCATCTGTATCTACAATAGATTAATAATATCAGTATCATTAATACAATAAAATTATTACATTAATGTAATTACATTTAAAAAATCGTTGTATTGTAATTATTTTGATTTAAATCACAATTTTTGATTCAAGTCATTTTATTGACTTAACTCTTAGATCACGATTTAAATAAAAAATATAGACTTAAGTCATAAAAACGACTTACTAAAGGAATTAAGTCATAAGATGACTTAAATCACTTTATATTGATTTAAGAATTTGCGAAAATGACTTGACTTGAAAGAAAATGATTTAATTCAAAGACTTAATACTTAAATCATTTGAACTTTATCTTAGAATTGACTTAAGATTTAAATCATTTTGATTTTAGAATTGACTTAATACTTAAGATTTAAGTCTTTTTAAAACTGACTTGTTGCAGCTCTGGGTGCTATCTGTTTTAATGTACCTAACTGTAATTTAATATTTTCTCTTGTTAAAATCAAATTCAGTTCAGCAAACACTGCTGCTACATTTTACGAATAGCGCCTTAAGATACCGTTTGTTTACTTTGATTAAATTTTATCATTAAAATTCTATTTCTGAAACTAATTAAGTTTAAGCCAATTAAATATCACTAAAGCGATCAGAGATTAGGCAACGTAAAAGTGTGGGGAAAAAATTTAATCAAGGCAATGGTACGTGAGTACACAAATGTTTTGCTATGGGAATATGGAACGTAAAAACCTTTGCATTATTCATAATTGAGATTATTGTTGCCTCTACGATTTAATTCAAATATTGAAAAGCTTTTCATTTTTCATTTAACCACTTTCAATACGAATACATCGATTTTGATGTAACCAGTGGCGTGGGCCTTTTACTTTAACAAATTTCGGTCTATACAGGGTGTCGCCTAATAAATTGTCATCAAGGAAATGATCGCCATAGAAAGCAATAAACCAATCAGAGCACGGCATTCTCCACAGGTGCATTTGTAAATCTGCGTTTGTACAAATTAAGATAATTTTCAGGCGTTGTGAATGAAATTTTTGACAAGTTGGAGCAGAACTTCAGCAAACCGGCTATTTCCAAACTGGCATCGTTAATAACCTGTTCGGAATATGGGTTGAGTGAGACTGAAGTGTTGGAAATTTTGATGCCCACAAGTAACAGCGAGGCCGTCATTTTAATCGAAGATGCTAATTTCAACTTTTCATCAATATGCGCTGTAAAAAGACAGATGGGTGAGTTAAACTGTATGTTTGTGCTTGAAGCAGCATGATTGATCATCTAAATATTAATACAAAAGGTTGCAAAATATTTCAAGAAATGAAAAGCATCTTGACCTGAAAAAACCTTTTGTACACACTACAAGTCGATTATTCATTTTTGGCATTATAAGGTCAACCTTTTGTCTATTAACTTACATGTCACATGCAACCTTACATTTTTTAATTCAAGGTGGCTATAAAATATTTAAGCCTACTGCCGTAATATAAAAACTTTTATGTATTGTCTTCCATTTCTTTGTATTCGCTTTTTTTATGACTTAATGTTTCCGGGGGAAAAATTAAAATTCCGTTTTTCATTAGATAAGTAGTTTAAAGTGTCTGAGTTTACTGGAAGGAAATCGATTTTAACGGGAAACCGTTTCTCAAACTAATGAGGTTATTTTGGTATTGTGGATGGACTTAAACCAATTAAAAAGCTGCATGGTGTTTCCAGAAATTAGCCGCTCTTAAACCTAAATGATTTTTAATAATAGCAAGAGTTCTGGCTCGTTAAGAGTTTAAATTTAGCAGTGACGTCACAGCTTAACAATGTGCCACGGAAAATATAAGACGCTCTTAAACGCCAGAAAGTATCAGGAGAGCTTGAAGTCGCAGAGGTGCAGACAAAAAATTCGAAATAAATTGGATAATTGAAAACTGCTCTAAGATATTTAATAAAACTAAATGAGTTTGACCTACACTTTTATATTTATATTTTTAACCGCAATTAATTATTTATACAATGTTTTAAAAGTCTAAAACCTATCCTCCGTGACTGTTACTCTTTCTAGGTTAACCTATATGTTTTCAAATATCTGAGGTAGTAAAAGCATGCTAAAAATATCAGTTCACTAAGTAAATTAAACACATCCAAAGCAATCGAATCAAATATAAAATATTATTAAAAATTAAAAGAAATAATTTTATAACCATTTATGTAGGTGTTTGATTGATTCTATCCTCCGTGAATCTGTTTTTTTTTTTTTGCTTTAATTTTTATGATTCTATCCTCCGTGAATCTGTTTTGCTTTAAATTTTATGATTCTATCCTCCGTGAATCTGTTTTTGCTTTAAATTTTATGCAACGGTGGCATAAAATATTTTATGGACAATTTATTTTTAAAAAATTTTATTTTTAAAAAATATTAAGGAGGACATTTCAATATATTCATCCAATTATGTATTAAATTACCATGCAAGTAAATAAGGTAAATTACATATACGAGACTTTTATTAATTTTTCATCAGAGCTAATTCAAGGCCGCATCATTAAAATTCACTGGGCTCACAGCTGAGGTTTGCATTGTGTATTTAGTTAGAGCTTAATTCGAAACTTTAACACTGAAAACTTAAATAGCAAGTTACTTACTTTTAACTTCTTTGTGTTCGAGCTATTCGCCTCCCAAGATTAATTTTTTAATTTATTCTAACGGGGTTGGTAATCCCTTTGACGAGCGGTTTTTTAAATTTGCGAGCTTGTTTTCTGTGGAACAGGGTTCTATAGAAATTATACCAATCAGAGCACAGCATCCTCTGCGACTGAAAAGACAGAAAGCATCTTTGTTTGAACAATTTTGTAGTGATGATATTTTAAAAACAACGTTTCTAGACCCAGTTTAAAAAAGATTTTCTAGATGAAAATGAAAAATCAAATAATTTTTTTTTTATTATTTGTATATTCCTTTACACGAACTCTGACTCTGACAACATGTTGTTGTTTGGGATTTCACAGAACAAAAGCAATATTTTCTCAAACCCTCATATATGTACGACTCCAACACGACCATTAAATATAAGGGTATTATTAATGGCATTATATTCCCTATGTTGAATACGGTCATACGAAGTGGTTTAAAACATTAAACTGCATATTAACATACATGCAAATAAATGTAAATCAAGTTTTTCCAATTTGTTTTCAAATTTTACCTTTCAAAAACGAACTACTACTGACAACCTGATTTTAATTTTAATTCAGAAAGTGCCTTATGCAGAAACATTGATTTATTTATATCAACTGATTTAGCATATCAGTGGATATAGGTTTTTTGGCTGCACATCGCTTTATTATAAAGTTTTGGACATTTTTATTAATTTGCTTTTCTTTTAATGCTCTTCTGTTTTCCAATCTTTAAATGGCCTGCAGATTTATTCGAATTTCGGAAAGTTTTAGTTTATAAGAAATATTCATCAATCTGATAAAACTGACCTAATAATAGTAAGTTTATTTTATTGAAGAAAAGTTTAAATGTACTTTTTAATTTTTGAAAAGTGGCCCAATTTTAGAAGCACTTTATATTCTATTATAACTTTTCTTGCGAAATCACGAAAATAATTGTTCATTATACGAGATGGCGTAGTTTGCATGAAAAAGGTGCTATGACAAGGAGTTTAACGACAAAATGGTAAATGAGTTCGACATTGTAACATAACTGTTATAGCGCCTGAGGTTTTTTTTTATTTTGTATGCATTAAAAATGATTTTGTTCACTAAAAATAAACGAGGTTTATCTTGTACTTAAACTTGAAAAGTTTCTTCAATAAAACTTGTTGGTAGATTATAGAAGGTGTTTTGCATTTTAACTAGACGGTATTGATTAAATAATCATTAAAAAATGTCGCCCCCACAAGCGAAACATCCACAATGAAACAATTAATTAATTAGAATGTGTCTACAATATAAAGGAAACCACTCAGTGCAATTCCAGCGTTCTTGGTTACCCCACTTAAACTTTGTCAATAGTATATTAAACCAAGTTTCAAACTAATTTCGGTCGTCATATACGCTCACCTAATTTACGTCATTATATCTGTTTGTACAATCGCACTAAAAAGGAGCCTCTTTTTTCTGCATAAACTGTTAAGGGGTGTTTTTTTAATTGGACCCCTGTCCCCTTAATTACCCTTAAAAATTATTTATATATCACTTCTGTACAAGAGTCTATTTATTTGCACGTATATTTATGTATTTCGTCGCGAGTACCAAAGCTGGACTGACTGCTCCATGCTGCGCTGTTCCTTATATATTCAGTGCCTACGTGCCTTCCCGAATATTCCAGCGAGCTCCGTACCGCTCTCGAACGCTCGAGCGCCGACTCACCGGCGATGAGTCATCATTCCGAGATCCAGAGCGGTACTCGCTACAGTATTGTTTTATTCAAAGTACGCAAAAGATGCAAAACATAAAACAATTAACAACAAAGTAATTAATGATAACAAAAATGTAAATTTTTAATAAATGTAGATTATTGCCCACTGTGCAAGCATATTTTGTGTCAGTTGTCATAGGTCCGGCGGCCCAAAATTTCTACTTTACTTACAAAAAAATTTGACTAATGCAAAAGTGGACGTAATATTTTTATTGACTCCCCATTTTAAGCCTGATGGAAGCCTTTGCAATTAATTTAAATCTTTTGGACAACTTTAAAATAAGACAATAAGTGACATACGTAAATTGACTTCCGCAAAGTTCCGTTCGAGATTACTATATCGTATGCCGACCAAATTGAAAACCTTTCAAACTTTTTTCAACTTTTGCAAACTAAAAAAAACTTCGACTAAGTCGACTTAATCTTTACGATGTTTCTTTTCAGTGAAATATTTTGTTTGTAGGCTCGATTTTAAAAGAAAAAGTAATGAGTGGTAAGTTGCTGATTTATTGGAAACATTCGATGATAAAAGACATCGTTTATGGTAGATATCTTACAAACCAAGATTCAATCAAAAATACGCACACAGAATTAGCAAATCTGTTTTTTAACGAGTTTCTCGAAGAAAACAGTGACTCCGAGGCTGAAGGAGAACCGGGTAAGTCCCGAACAATATTTTTTCCGGAAATTATTTAAATGGAGTAGTTTTTGAAGTGAAAATACTTTACAGACTTTGGTTTCTATAACCTTAAAGTAAATTATTTTTTAGTAAAATTTAACTAAGAAAAGAAACCTATTGGTAATATTACTATTTGGTTTATTTATAGTCAATTTAAACTCTTGAAATAACCTAAATTTACCTATAATAACCAACCAATAATAAAACATAATATTATTTCATGTTTAAAAGTATTTTAAATTATTTTTATTGATTTTAAAGTATTCCAATAAAAAATATGAAATGTTTGGGACATGTAGTCTTAGTATCTTACCTGACTGAAAGAAAAACAATTTTCAATAATTTTTATTGCGTTCTCTTTGAAATTTCGAAAGCAATATATTTTGCCGAAATCTCCATTCTCGGCTGGTTATCTTTAATTGAGGTTTCTTTTGACATAACCTACTTAAAAAAATTTAAAACAAGAGTTTTATGAAAGTAAAATTTTATGTTTACATGAGGTAATGCATGGGAAAGAAAACAAAATTTAAAATAATGTGAAATGGCACCCTTTCTTTTGTTTATCAGCTAAAAGGTTTCCTAAGTATTCTATTCTTTATTTTTATTCGAGCTTGAGTGCACATACCTATGGGGTATAATAAGTTTTCGTGGAGTATTTTTGACGAAATAAAACATTTCAGTTAGACGACTAATAAAACATTTTTGTTTGTGAAATGTTTTTAGCTCCGCTTATGTCGGAAATCAAGGAAACTCCTTTTCAATCTACTTTGCATAAAGACGTCACGTACAGTTTAAGGCATGTTGAAGAATCTTGGATTCATTTACTTAAATCTGGGGACATTATCAAATTAAAAAGTTTGTGTATGTGCAACTACGACTTCTTACTTGCAGCGGTAAGTACTTTTTATTAGTCCTAAAATCTTCATGAAATTTTAGAACTTTACTGCCGATTTAATACGAGTATTGTATGCAGCCCATTATACATTTTAAGATGTGTCTACTGCTCCTCAGCAGCAACTAAATAATATTTTTTTAAAAGCATCGTCGCGGAGGTCGATTGGACCCTTTCATCAAATGTTGTTTAATAATAATAATAATAAGTACGACTTTACTGCCTTTATAGTATCAAGTTGATACATAAATAACTATTTCGCTTGACGTGGAATGTCCATAAAATAAATACTTTAAAAGGACCTCATAAATATATTGCCATTAATTTTAATGAATTTTTCATTTAAAGTGTCGTTGATTTATTATACATGAACAATTAAATCAATCATAATGAATGTCAGAAATAGGATAGGTACCAGATTCAGTTGAGTTTTTGGGAATAAATTTTCATAAATAAACCAATTTATTCATAGCTGTTTTCAATAAAAATGGGATTGGGAGAATAATTCTGCATTTCAAAATTAAGGAGTAGATATTGAATATTAAGATGATAAATCTCATTGTAATGGTAATTTATGTAAACAATTTTTAATCAAAATTTTATTGCAAAAATTAATTTTCTATTGCTGTACAGCGAGGAGAAAGTGGCGGATTTTAGACGAATTATTTATTTTAAAAAGTAACGACGTAGCAGGATAAAAAGTAATTGATTGATCAACGAACTAAACGATTTATTTTTATAACTTATAAACTATAAACTAACTAAACACTTAACTACTGTACTAGAGTCTATTTATTTGCACGTATATTTATTTATTTCGTCGCGAGTACCAAAGCTTGACTGACCGCTCCATTCTGCGCTGTTCCTTATATATTCAGTGCCTACGTGCCTTCCCGAATATTCTAGCGATCTCCGGACCGCTCTCGATCGCTCGAGCGCTGACTCACCGGCGATGAGTCATCATTCCTTAAAATCAATTTTTAATTTGTTTAAAATCTATTTTTATTTTCACTAGATGATTGAAACAAAAAATTATATATATATTTTTTCATTTAGGTGCAAACGTTTTCTGTAAGCTATTTAAGATGTTTATTGGAACATGTCAGATGTTACCTATTAGATAGAGAAATCGAATTAGTTTATTACTCTATACGTAAATCTACTGATATATTGACAAGAGATACATTTCAACTTGGAACACAGGTATGTAGAAACCCTTTTTAGAGTAAAAATAAGTAAACTGCAATCACTTTAATTAAAATGAATACCTACTTAACGTTATTGGATACTTTGGCATCCGCTAAACCGCAGTTCTTATTTCAATTAATCAGCGAATAATTTCTTTAGCTGATTGCAATGCTGCGTCCAGTAATCGAGAGAGGTGGAGGTCTGATGAGTTCTTTAGTCACGTCGGCGATGGCTTGGTGTGACGGTTTCACGTTGCCACTGGTTGTGCCGTTAACCGATTGGTTGCAACCACCTTTGCCGCAGCAATCCAGATCTATCAACACCCCAAACGTTAAATTAATCGAATCCGCTCCGAATGGGCAGCATGTCGTAGTTGTCGTCGACACGGACCCCCAATTATGGCACATTATGACAAACCAGCTTGTTCACACCTTTATAGGTAAAATCATCAATTATATCCAATAATCCCGAAAGGATAATGCAGTTTTTTGAATTACTCACATCACAGGCCAAATTAATATTTTTTGTTACTTTTGCAAACAGTGATTCTAGTGAAAAATATTAAACAAAAGGTTTCTTGATTAAAATTATTTGGCAGTTAAGATTTTAACCAAGTTTAAACCCTATTAAAGGGTAATGCTTTGTATTAAAATACAAAATATAATTCATAATAAACTGTACAAATGCTTATAAACTATTTGAGAAAGAATCTGTTTGTGGCAGCTAAATTAAATTCCATTTCTATGCACTAATTATGTTTTTATTGCTAAAAATAACAAATATTGCAAATATTACATGATAGGATGTAAAACATATATTCTTCCTATTTATTTTATTTTGACAGTTGGTAACGAGTTTTAAATTATTAATGAAAATACAAAAAGATGTATCCTTTCGTTATATACAGTTGTTTCTACTATGAAGACATTGCATTATTCTCAGGTTAAATGAAAAAAATGTTTTTGGACTGGTAAGTATCTCCAGTCGCCCTCAAGTGAATACTGAATAAGTAGCTACAGGTGCAATGAAGCATCCAGGTTAGGGTGTCCCTTATTTTTATTTTTTTACGCATACCCTCTAATTATATTTATTACGTGTTTATATACTCCCAGTAAAAATTTCAGCTCATTCTATAAACGGGAACCCGTGCCGACTTGCATCTGAACCCTCCGTTAGCCAACGTTAGGCGCGCGGTATTTTGTAACACGGTTGGTCGCGAGGTCTTCGATCGTAAGTCATTTTGTGTTTGTTATTATGTGACCCTTATATTATAAATTATTGACAAATGTTAAAATATAGTTTTATTTATGTGTATACTTTGATAAAAATGTATACTTTCACAGGGAGTGGCTAGTTACCCGGAAGGGTCTGGTGAATAGGCCGTAAACTCTGAAATTGATAAACTTAATGGGTTTTACTCTAAATAACTAAAAGAGTCTATTGTGAGAGATGACTACCGAAAACTTATTGAACTGTCTGAAATATTTTTGGGAGGACATCAAGAAAAGAAATGCTTATAAAAAGCTGAAATTTCATATAACAGTATATTTTAACAATACTAATTAGTATATTAATATATTTAAGGGATAAAATCAACTAAATTAGTGAAACAAATGATAGAAACAAAAGCAATAATATTAATTAGTAATCATATTTAATAAAATCATTAGAAAAATTCAGTCATGAAGTATATCTTCTTTTTAAGAAGCCTAACGTTGGCTAACGGAGGGTTTAAATGCAAGTCGGCACGGGTTCCCGTTTATAGAATGAGCTGAAATTTTTACTGGGAGTATATAAACAAGTAATAAATATAATTAGAAGGTATGCGTAAAAATAATAAAAATAAGGGACACCCTAATCCAGGTGTTTGGTTTAATCCCAAGGTCGCGCGGTTTCCATACTTTCCTTATGCCAACTGAAGGCTGACCGCTGCCTCCTTGGACTTGCTCTTTCTTCAGTGTGATTCTTTGTGCAAAATTTTTGCTTCTGACCACTTGATATGGTGACCATGTGACCAGGCGTGGTCCGCTATCCCTGATCAGGATATATAGGACTGGCCACACTCACAGGGATCCGTTAGATGCAGTTCTTCCTGTAAATTTCATTGATGTATGAAATGTTGGATGAGATTATTTGTCTTTTCTACGTGGGTTCAGACGATTCCTCAGACTTAATTTCTTCTTTGAGGGTTTCTTCCGACTTTCTACTTTATTTATTCAGCTGAAGACGACTGGAAATACTTATCACCAAGTCCAAAACAAAGATCATTGTCTACAAACACAAGAAAAACAATTAAAATGATAAATAATTTTAGGCCATACATGTAAGGTTAACTGCATGGCCGTGACCAAACAATCGCAATACTTGTTGACCGGCTCCAACGACTTGAGCATCATGGTTTGGGACTTAAAATCGTTGAGCTTGAAAACAAAAATAACCGAGCACATTGCGCCAGTGTTGTGCATAACGAGCGCATTAAACAACTCGGTGATTATTAGCGGAGGTGAGGACAGCAGCATTATAGTGTCATCGTTAGCAAAGGGAAATGTGGTGATCAAAATTGATCACCATCGAGGTCCTGTCACGGCACTTAAGGTAACATACACAGATGTTTTTTGTATTGATATCTTAGGGCAAAGAAGACGTACTCAGTAGTAACCTACGAATGCGCAAAATGCTTAGCACTTTGCGCATCTGTAGTCTTCTCTGAGGACATTATTTGCCTTGTGGTGGACGTTTTTTGCTATATGACATGTTTAGGTAACATCGACGGGAGATATATTGGTGTCGGGGAGTCAGGATGGAAAAGTGTGTCTTTGGTCTCTGGAAACATTTAAACTGCTGAACATGATAAGCCTTACTTCTCCAGTGTTAATGCTGGACGTTTCGGCGGATTCTGTATTTTTGATAGCCTGTTGTCGAGATAACAACTTGTATGTGCGAACTTTGGCGACCGGCACTGAGGTTCACAGCATATCGGCGAATAAAACGAAAGTAAAATCGCTGTGCTTGACGCAAGACAGTTGCCGGATTGTTTTGGGTTGCGCCGACGGCAAAGTCTACATCCACGACATTCACAGCGCGAAACTAATGAAAACGCTTGGCGGGCAAGGCGGCGAAATAACCGCCGTCCGAATCACCGACAAAGACGACTTTTTGCTCACCGCCGGCGCTGGCCGGATTATATTTTACCCGTTCAGAAGCGACGATCACATCAAAAACGTAATCAAGCACAAGAAGAAGTCGCACCAGCAACTGACGCCGCACACCGGATGTATCACGTGCTTGGACGTTTCTCGCGACGGTCAGATGTCGGTAACGGGTGGAACTGATCACTTGATCAACATTTGGCAGCTCAACAACCAGGAACTTCTTCTCTCCTTGAACGTACATTCGTTGCCGATAACTGCAGTTAATTTCGCTCCCAGCGGTTTGTTTGTCACCTCGGGATCCGAGGATAAGACCGTCAGGGTATGGGGTCTCACTATGGGCTCCATCGTTTCCACGTTCACGGTGAGTCCCTTTTAACTATTACACCCTTTAAATAATTTATGCATAATTCATATTCAAGATTATATTATACCTAGGTATATATGTATATATATGTATATAGGGAGACGAGCTTCGAGCCCCGCTCGGTGACGAGATGGAAGGCATTTTAGTCTTTGCAATATTGGTTGCCTACTACTGGCGTAAAGTAGAAAACCTATTGTTTCTGATATATATATATGTTGGGTTGGTTGGTTTGTTTTAGTTTTATCGTAACATAACAAATCTTAAAATTATGACGTCACTCCGGACTAAACTTAAGTCCCGTCTCGGGACGGGAGCCACAGCAATGTTTTTATTAAGAAGTTTGAATTTAAAACTAGAGTTTATCAAAATTTTTACCAATTAAAATCAAAATCTTTTAACAATACCTATGTTCAAAATATCTTGCGTATCTTAAAATTAAATAATACCCCACATCAGTGGCGGCTGGTGGATTTTGGGTATACCGATATCTCAATTATTAGATATGGGACCCACACCAAATTTATATGACTTTATAATGACATTAAATAAACAAGTTCTGCGCAAGCAGAATTTAAATTGAAGTTTGCGGAAAAAAGATAACGGAAACATCGAATTATATATATATATATATATATATATATATATTATAAATTACAATGAAATATATATACAAAAATAACTACTCACCACAGTACTGAAATTTTGACTGGAACTATACGTGCATTCACCATAACTTCGCCGCTTGCATTGTTTTCAAGATGACTGTCGTGCAAAGGGCGGGCTCTGTAGGTAATTTTTTACCAACACTTAAGTTAAAACGAGGACTTGACGGTTAAACTTCAATATTTCGCAGGAATGAATTTTAACATTGGACACAAAACTGACGGGTAAAAGTGAGTACAAAGATTATCAATTTTTAAAAATTGCTATTATTCGAATCTATGATAAAATATGAAAAATACATTATTTAATGTTTTATAGTTTGTAGTGAAATTGAAAAATTTAAGATAAATTGAATATATTTTTAAATAAAATCACTCAAATATTTGATTCAGGAGTTGTGACACGCCAAGGTACTGATGTTTTGAATATTTATTGTTTTTCTACAAACGTGCTATTGAAAAAATACATTAAAATTGGGTGGACAAGTTAAAAAACCTGTATCTTTTGTAATATACTAAAATATTTACAAAAAATATTAAAATACCTACTCTATTGACTGATGACATAAAGTTGTTTAACTTTTGTAGAATCGCCCATATGTATTAATGGTTTTTCGGGATCTGCTCCGTGTTGTCGGTTTTTGGTTCTTAAAAGAACCGTATGTCTGACGACGTTTCGGTACAATCTCATGTACCATCTTCAGGTCTTATCTACTGGGCTGCTGTTGCTGCTCTGCTGCGAGTTAGACGTGGAGCAGAGCAGAGCAGCAACAGCAGCCCAGCAGATTAAACCTGAAGATGGTACATGAGATTTACATATTTAATATCATTCTTCGAACATTTGATCGTTTTTCCATTTTTTTTATTGACGCCAAAAAAGTATAATATCCAAATTCTCGTACGGACACTACGAAGAAAATGGATTTCTTTCTAAGAAATTTGATTAAAAAAAGTTATTTATTCACAAATAACGTAATATTGTATATATTAAAATAGGTGTAGTTTTAAATTTAACAAAAAAATTTTTCCCAAAAAAGGATTTTTCGTTTTCTTAAAATAAAAATACAACATAATAAATCACACCATATTTAAATACACAGTTCGAGCCTTCCACAAACTTTGTTGCTCAAAGTTATTATTGGAAACTTTTTCAAACTTGTTTTCAATGGAAATGAAAGTCTATTTAACCTGTCACGTTCTGTCATAACATTTTAAACAATAGGTAACTATTAAAATATAAATATAATAAGTTTATATAAACCCATACAAAATAAACTATTTTCAAATTATTCCACCGTTAAAAAATAAGCTTTTATTGTTTGTGAAGTTAAGTTTGTTTCGTGGAAAAATCTTTTGAGGTATGAAGATACAAGTTCGTGATTTTAGCAGGTGTCAGAGTATCAAGTTAACTTTTCTAAACTAAATAACTGATTTTAAACTTCGTAATTAAACATGTTCTGTTATATAAGTAATTTAAACTCGAATATTTTGTAAAATTTGTTAATATAAAAGTTAAATTGTGTAAAAAATCTTTATCTCATAAATCTGCAAGAGGCTCGAAAGTTTTATAAAATGTTTAGCCTATATTTTAAGAATACATCCATCCACTTGCTGTACATAAAATTTAAAGATTTTTTACTAAATACGCAATAAAAAAAGAAACATTTTATTTTCCTGTATAAAATTATGTTCTTTCAAGAAAAGGTATACTTTTCCTGTAAATAGACATTGCACGTGACATGTAAAAGGGAATTTCCATTAAAGGAGTCATGCAAAATAGACTTTAATTTCCGTCAGGGAAAACATTTTTTGTGACGCTCTGCCAACGCAATATTATATATTAATTGAATTAAGACTTTGATTAAATGCTAAATGCTACTTTAAAAAATGCTATGGCACGGTTTTTCATTTTGAAGAACTTGTTTTTTCAATACTAGCCTTCTTCAACATTTTCTCAATATTTAAACATTACACTGTTGTTTATATTAACCTTCCCACAGTTGATTTAAATAAATACTTATGGGTCAAATAAATTAATATAGTTAAATGAACTATTCCTTTTTTTCTGTGTAGGTGCACTTCTCAAATATTTTTAGATAAACACCGTTTTGGTGTTTGCTGTATATAACATTTTCAACCATAATTCATGGTATTTATATAACACCACTTGGTGTTGGATTTTGACACCATTTTAAGATTACTCTTTACACCACAGATATTTTAAACAGTGTAGTATTGAAAATTAGCTTTAATTTTCATTATATCATCTTTATTATAAATGATGGCAACTAATTTTATAAAAGTAGCACAATAATTAAGGAGTTAAAAAAATTAGCTAACTGTCATGCTATAGCCAATGGATAGCAGAGGAAGACTTTTTTGTATATATATTTCAGCGACATCAAGCAGCCATAAGTGCGGTTCAAGTGATGATGGACTCGACAAGAGTAATATCGAGTGACACGAACAACACTCTGTGTATTTGGCTTGCTGATAATGGAAATTTACTGCAAACTTATTCAGGAGCTAGCGAATGGGTTAAGGTTACAAATAACATGAAGTATGCGGTAAGATTCCCTGTATTTAGCTTTGATTTATTGCGCTGTCTATATTACAAAGTAACTTTGAAAATTAAATAATCACGGCTTTTATTTTTTTTCTTTTTAATTTTAAATGTGTAAAATGTCAATTTGTCTACACCGGAGGGCCAATAAAATATTTTTTTTACTTTTACTGTGAAAAACTGCTGTTAGTCCATTTTCAAGGGATTCATTTTGATTTACACATTATCGACATTTTTACACATATATGATATTTAATCATTATTTGCCGTAGAAAAAGTAAAGTATGTAAACTTTTCTAGCCACTCATTTAATTAAGTACTCGCTGGCCTAAATTAAATGTGTGTCTAAAATGGCGTTTATCAAATAATATACTATTATTAAATACAGTTGCAAGCGATTCATTAAGGCCTGTACTCTTTTTAAATCAACACCTAGTCAAGAGATTAATTTAAAAACTTTATCGATTTGAACGATGTCAAATAAATTTGTATGCGCGACATAAATCGAACAATATTTACTTGGCGTTTTTTTAACGTCAAAACGCGACTTTAACAAAGTAAATAACGTTGATAATTTCGCTTAATTTATTTTGAGGTATTAACCTATGATGTTTAAGGGAAAATAATAAACGGGTGCCTTAAAAGATCATCTGCAGATATCCTTGTAGTTTGTCACTGTCACATCCATGGGACAATTTATCATTTTTAATTTGTATTAAAGCTTGCAACAAATGGGGATACGTCTTTGAAAATCTGGAGTTTAATGAAAGAAGATGAAAAGTACACCATAAACCATTCGGAAGAGATAAGTTGCTTCGTATTAACCATCGATTCGCAGCACATTATAACAGGATCTAGGGACATGTCACTAAAAGTTTGGCTTGTCGCTGGCGGAAAACTCTCCCAGGTAAAACTTTACTACAGCAGATCAAACATTAAATCTAATCGTTGCCTTTAATAGTGTATTATACGAGAGATAATGCAGGCTATTAATTACAAGGGTGAGATATTCACAAAAATAAAAAAATTTATTAGAACAATTAATAGTTGCTTAATAATTGTTTATTTTTAAGTTAAGGGTAGTTATGTAATAATAATTATTCATTCCAAATTAAATTAGAAATTCATTGTCAAAATGTCAGCCCTTTAGGTCCAGCGGTTTTGTCTGGCCGTTGATGAATCAGGACATAAACAATAAAAGGTAGAAGATGGATTAAAATAGATTAACAATATAATAATAATAAAGCGCGATAGAAAAGGGATAATTAATTGATAATGACTCTTGTTACGAAGATAAATACATTTACAAACACAGGATCACTTTTTAAACATTTTCGCCAAATGAGGATAAATATTTCAAGACAAACTCTTAAAATTCAAAAACTTTTGAGCCCTCTAACCTTTCTTTTCATAAACTTTTACTTTAAAACAAAAGTTTTTCGCGAACAATACTTATTGTAATTATCATTATTTAAGTTTTAATTGATTTAAACCTCTGGACTAAATGGTGATTTCATAATTTGTTCATTATGGCCATGGTTTTAGGTTTTAATCGGCCATAATGACGCTGTGACGTGTTGCGCCGTGTCAGTGTCAGAGAAAAATCAGGTTATTTCCGGTTCCTGCGACAACAATTTGATAGTGTGGGACATTAACACGGGATCTGATTTGCACACTTTATCTGGACATTTAAGCTATGTCACATGCGTCAAGCTGTCTGGGGATGGATCCACAGCTATTTCCGGTATTTATTACGATAATATTATTTGTTACAAGACTGACGAGATGCAAGGCATTTCAGTCTTGTAACATTAGTTGCCTACTACTGGCGTAAAGTAGTAAACCTATAACTCTATAATATTATTTGTTTTTATTTCAATCCAAAATTAATCGTAGGTTCCGATGATAAAAGTATAATTATCTGGGACGCAAAGAAGGGGATAATGCTTACATCTTTGCAAATGCATCTTTCCATTGTTAATGTTGAACCGGCTTCTGATTTCTCCAGGATTTCTGTGCTCCTTAAGGATACTAAATACAGCCCGATTATATGTCTGCACAATACCCCGGCTAAATACGTTAAATTACCCACGTATTGTGCCCCCGACAAGGATATACTTGAAAGTAAGTCTATTGTCTGTTTATTAACTTTTGTGTGAGTAAACGATTTTAGATCCAAAAGCAGCACCAAAAAGGCAAATGAGGCGTTTATTGAAGAAGGAAGTTTCTTTGGACACTTACACTTGGCAGAAGAAGTACGCTCATCTGACATCGAACATTGTAATACCCTCAGTTGATGAGAGGTTCAAACGGAGATTCTCCGTGTCTGCTAGCATGGAGGAGATATCGAAAATTCCGCAAAATAAGGATTCTCAAGTAAGTCGTTTGCCACGGTTTTCATGGTAGTAATTAAATAACTGTTCCAGGGTAATTTGGCTCAAACGAAGCAGGGTTCTCTTGCCCAGTCCCAGCATTTCGATCAACTGGAGGCATTGTGGAACAAATCACCTCCGCGTAGACGACTTCAGCAGGTAAGAAATCTATTTGATTATTTGCTCAATTAAATTCATATTTAAGATGTAATATAAAGCGAACATTGGTGAATCGGAGGACATGATTTAATTAAAGTCTTGGTTCTGTTTAATTAAATTTTAATTGGATTTGCATGTTTAATTATCTATATTAATCTATTAAGCCTATTTAGTCGATTTTATACAAGGTGGCCCATCGAGAACATTCCGTACAAATATAAATATTTCAAGCAATATTTTAGCAAAATTCGTTCAGCCGTTAAATACTTTCAAAAATGGCGAATGCGCCAGGATTAATCTTAAAAAATCCCTTTACGTTTAGTGGTTTAATCTGGCCGTTATATATAATTTTGTCTCGTGCCTGTTTCCATGTCACTAAGTGATCTTTTAACTACACATTGATAAGTTGTGGCTTTATGGCGTTTTAGTCACGGGCAGCTTTAAGTTATTTAATCCTAATTGAGGTATAAAAAATGGTATTTAGTTATAAATAATAATTATTATTGAGGTATAAAGAAACTATTTATACATGGTTTAGAATTATTTAATTAATTTAGTTCGAAAATTAATTTGCAAACAAAAAGACCTCCTTTCGTTATTCATAATGGATTTTTTAACAGTGGAAGAAAAAATAGAAATGATTTTGATTTACGGAGAAGCAGGCAGGAATCTTGATGATGCTGTTAATATCTACGTTTAGCGTTTTCCGGTAAAAATTCATTTCACCGTACAGTCAAGCAGTTTATTACAAACGGGAGTGTTCAACCGAAAAAAAGAGTTCGTCGCGCAAATATTTAATATTGTTATTGATATTATTTATATCGTATATATTTTGAAATATGATTTTTTCTTTTTTTGCTTTTTTTGTACTTCCAACATGGATTATTTTTGTGTCGATTGCAATGATTACAGAGCAAATACAGTGTTGTCATATTTTACGGTATTTCCTGTTTTTACGATAAAATTTATTTTGTATTTTTCAAAAATTTAAAAGTATTTTTTTAGTACTGTTAAATAGCAATTTAGGTCTAGTCATACAGAGTATTGTTTTTGTTTTTAAATAGACACCCTGTATATATCGCCCCCATTATCACATTAAAAATACTACGTAGCACATTTTTTTGAGGATAAACTTTTCAAGCCAAAAAGTAAAAAAACTCTTAAAATATTCAAAAATTATTTTGACTGGCATTTCAATTCAAATTAATTAATCGACAACAGATAAATTTATCAGAGTAGATTAAATTCCAATATATTTAATTTGTTTTAACAATAATAGGTATTTATAAATAGTTCAGGAAATGTTTTTAATTAAGTAATAAGCTTGAAAATGTTTTTGTATTTTACTTAACTGTTTATTATATTATTGGATTTTCTTACTTACCTGTTTATTATATATTTGTGATGTCACGTAAATTACATGATGTAATACCTTTTGATGACAATAAATTTATTAATATTATTATTATTATTTTTAAAGTTGTATAGGGTCTACAAAAATAACCAAATTCCTATAAAAAATTAGACTACATGGTTGAAGGTCGGTTAAATTAGTAAAAGTTTGCCTAATTACAAGCCTATTAAAAAAGATTTTTTATATGAATTAATAGTATAGAATTTAGCTTGAGTGTCTAGAAAAGTTTATAACGACAAATACTTTTTATTATCTAAAAATGATTTAAAATAAATATTTGTTTAGAGCGACATCTATAAAACAATAGAGTAACCAACTTGGGATTAAGGTTGAGAAACTATTTAATACCTTTGTATTTTTGTATTTAGATAATAAAATAATTATTACATTTAGTATTATTTTACAAGAAGGGCACTTTATTTTAACGATTGTATGATATTTCAGCTGTGTGACTAAAGCGCCATAAAGCCACAACTTGTCAATGTGTATTTAAAAGGTCACTTACCCACTCTGTGGTCACGATTGTATTTATTGTTACCCATATTTTTATTTAGCAACTATGACAAAAGTACGTTTTTTGTAAAATCAAAATATGAGTAACAATTATTAAAAATTATAATCTTACCCACAATTACTTTTTGTACCATTTCACACAATTAAAATAGGCCTTGACCTCATTTAAATCCGCTTGTGTAGAGGGATGTTTGAAGTATTTAAAACACATAGAGATCAGGTATAAAATCCGTTTTTTAATCAGTTGGTGACAGTTCTTGTGTTGATTTTGATTGTACAACAAAAGTGCTAATATTTCGTTAACGCCGTGTTCAATTTTAACATTTCAAAATGGAAAATGTTTATGAAGGTACCTATATACAATAATATGATAAAATAACATTTTCGAAAAATAGTAATTTTTCTTTTTTAAAAGTTATGTTAATATATTATACACATATATTATATATTGTATACATATAGGCCTGATTTTTTTTTATTATTTCATGATGAATAAGTTGAGTTGTGGTCCTTTGCGAAAGATGTTGTTTACGGAAAAACTTTTATGGAACTGTCTATTATTAGGTTCTTAAAAAATCGACTGCACAAACTTGCCCGAAAATTAATAAAACCACAATATATACGATAACTAAAATAACTAAAATAAATACAGAAGCAATTCTTTTTGCAAATGATTTATTAATCTTTGCACTACATATAATTTTATTTTAAATGAACACAGTAAAAATATGTTTTAATTCAAGAAATATTAATTGTTTGATTTTTGTTTATTACATTTAAAAATAATAAATTACTTTATTTAAAAGGAAAGAGCAAATTTTTAAAACTAAACTAATTACTTTTCAAAAAAGTTGGTCCGCCATTTTGAATTTGATCATTTTGATATCAAATTCGTGATCAGCGACCCCAAAAACCCAATAATGAACATTTTCTGGTCAATAAACTAATTTGTTTTTTAAAAAGCCCGCCATTTTTGGTCTGTCATTTTGAATTTGATAATTTTAATATCAATTTTCACATTATTATATTCACTTTTCGAGAATTAGTCGATTCGGACCAGTGTGCATTTGTCTGAATTATTTATTGTATGAAATTAATCCATAGTACATAGGTAATATTATTAAAACAGCAGTTCCAGTTTTGATTGGTTTATCAGAACAATAGGAATTCCACATTTTAACGAGCGTATAAATAACTTAATAAAAAAACATTCCACGCCAAACATCCCGATGAATAAAACTTGTTTTGACCATTGCATAAATCGAGTTAGTCGGAATATGTGTTTCGAACAATTTATCTGTGATGATTTGCTTTTGACATCGAAAATCATCAAAACGAACATTTCGAATGCATTGCATGATTTGATTTTTATTTTAGTCCCTTTCAAAACAATCTTCGTTGGCTGAGTCACATGATTATTCTTCCGAGGAAGAGGTCCAAATCGATAACGGTAGAGTTACATAAAAATCTATTCTAGTTAATGTGATAAAGTTTTTGCTTGCAGCGTATTTATAATTCGCGTTGGTTTTTATTTAAATTGTATTTTTTTTAAATTTGTTACAAGCAAAATACTTTTTTGGCTCTATAGTGTCATTTTATACATTATTTATAAGAGCCACTTTAATTGCATTTATACTTCAATAAGTTCAACTTTCTATGTAGTCTCTTGATTAAGCCCTTAATGAGATTTTAATAAGTTTTAATGCAGTTATAGTTGCTCTAATGATAATTTATAAAAAAATTAAATGTTTTATTAGAAGAGCCTTTAAACTATATACAATGGATGTCGTAAATGTAGTAAAAAAACCTACCTATAAAAATTTTTTGCAAATGATAATCCAAGTGCTTTCCTTATGACTGTACTTCATCTTTTTATTAGAGTTTAATTTTATACAGGGACTCACCCAGTAAATTTAAGATAAATTGTTGTTATATTTACTATTATTGGTGCACAACTTTACCTATAAGGCATTTTCGAAGTTTTTTATTTGAAAAGGAGTATTTATTATATTTGTTGCTATATTTATAACTTCTCAGGACCAAAGATATTATTGTTAATTTTGTTATATTTGTATTTTTATATATTAATAATTTATTACAAACAAAATTTAACAGGACTGGACTAAGGGTAAAGAATTTTCAGTTTCTTAAAATTAAATTACAGAAAACTCTCAAACGGCTGTGGCCAGTCAAGTCCTGAAAAACTATTTTGTTTTATATAAAAATATTTTCTACAAAAAATATTTTATCCCTTTATTATTTTCAATTTTCAAATATATTATACAGTTTATTTCAATCAGACCTATTTACTTTTTCACAACCTTGAAATGCTCTGTATAATATTATCATTTGTGGGCTGTACTATTAAGTGTTAGACTTCTTTAACTGTGTTATCTAAAACAATTCTAAACTCGCTACTTCAGCAATAAAAGCATTTTATTGTAACCACGTATTAGACTAAAAAACACTGTGTAAAAGGCATGTTAATATGTGTTATAGAATAGTGTCCACAAATAAACGTTTTAGAACCACATAGTGTGTTTTATTCCCCCACCCTTTAAGGTTACACGTCACACCCAGATATTTTTGATTGTTTTTTTACAAATTGTATTAATTTTATTTAATATTTGTTCTAGCAGTTCATTTAGGAATATTCCTGTTAAGCATATTTAGTTCAGTTATCTATATAATAGTAAAATATACCATAAACTACGTATAAAGGTATTTTCTTATACTTAAGTACCTAATTAAAGTCTATTCAAATCCAAGCTGGACTAAACAAAAACGCCCAGACGCGTGATAACTCGTTTCTATTGGTCGATTCTGATGGTGTGACTCGGATTGTGAGTTCTTATTGGTCGATTCGAAGGATTGTGTTTACATTTAGTCCAGCTTAGATTTGAATAGACTTTAGTAATTAGTATTAAATACTAGGTAAAAAACACAATCCAAAATATTTTTTATAGTTATTTGTCAAATTAAAACAATATTCGATAACAAAAATACTTTTACTATAGATATTTTATTTTATGTTAAAAATAAATATTTATTAATTTGTTTACCGATTTTTTTATTTCTGAATTAATATTTTTATGTATAATAATCCTAACTATCTTCAACTTCAATCTAATCTGACTTATCCCACAAATTTTTCCAACTTTACTTGTTATGAAATAATGTCATACAACTTATGGGTTAGAGGTCAATATATTTAAATAAATATATTAATATGTCGCAAATTTTTTAAGGGGACGACAAATACATTTCACTGTCATATTATGACAGTGAGGCGTATTTGTCGTCTCCTGAAGAATTTTACGAATGTAGAATACAACATATTATAACGTGGGTAACTGACATATTTGGGAATATTCTCAAAAGCTTCCTAGAAGCTCCATAAGAAACCTTCTAAGAACATTCCAAAAACGTACTCTTAAAATGTTCTTGGGATACTTTTTGAGAAGGTTTTAAGAAGCTTTTAAGAATCTAATTGCATCATTAAAAGGGCATCTATTGAATGTTTTAAAAGTCCCTAAGAACATTCTTAGCAATAAGGGAAGGTTCTAAGAATATTCCATTATTCCGGGTCATATCTTCTTAGAAGATTCTTAAAATCAAATTTTGCTGTCAGGGACTCACCCTATATCTAAATATGAGTTATGTTGGTTTGTTTTGGTATGGAGTCCGAACGTCTTGTTCAGGTTGTTTTTTTCAGGTGGAATCTTGTTCAGGTTGTACTATTTATTTTTTAAAGATAAGTTATTTTATATGATACCTACTTAACAAGATATCCAATAAATTGTCAACAAAATCTTTTGTTCATAAAATGTTTGAACAAATATAAAAAAAAATAAAAGAAAATACTTGCTTAATCAAAAATTTTATAATAAAATATATAGGCACAATTGATAGTTAACAATAAACATTTTTAATAAAGTTTAATATCACAAAATATTATGTTTGGAAAAATAACCTGGCGCTATTAAAACTGTAGTATAAAAGTTGAAATTCCTGGAAAATATAATTTTATAAAACAAAACAAAAAAAATATTGATATACCTTTTCGAAAGTTTTTATACGCTTTTCAGTCAACGTCAACGTTTGTTTTAGCTTGGTATTATCATTTACAGACAAGGCTTTTTGTTCATCTATTTTAAGCCTATCGTTTTTGAATTTCCTCTGGATTGCGTGGAACCAATGCAACGAGTTTAACTGGCTTTCCTGGTCCAGTAATTCAATTATATAAGCCAGACCTAAAATGTCACTTTTTTAATTATTTTTGTTAAGTGTTAAGCGAAAATATATTACCTAAAGCGAACCCGTCGTCTGTAAAGGCGCTATCAGTTTTGTTCTTTTTGTTGAGTCTGTCCTTGTGGCTTAAAGAATGCTCAATAAAATTGATTGTCAATGGTGGAACAATGACATAAAAATTCTTCAAATGGATATTGTCCTTATTCCTCAATACAGGCACAAAAACTTTGACCAATAATTTGAAATATTCCGTTGCTTCCTCAAAATTATCCACAAAGTTTTCCAGATCGTTTTTAACCCCACTTGCAGCGCTTTTCGACAAATTCGGCAAGTCGCTTTCCTCGAAAATATTTGTCAGCTGGTCTATGCCTTTCAGGTCGGGTATAAAACAAGCCCCGTCTGCCAAGCACCTCCTCCCCCCGGATTTAATCAGCCTTATGTAACCCATAGCGTTACCTATGTGAGTGATAACTTTACGAAACAAATCCAGGTAACTTTCGCCACTTTGATTCAAGCCGAGCTTTCTGATACCAAAGTGGAACTTCTCGGCGCGTTCGTACGGGTACATCTGGTTCATCTCGTTCTTGTGCTCAGCAAAAAACCTCAAATCCTTTAGCAAACGCGACTTGATGTGCTCATCGAACATGAACTGAGAAAAAATATAAAACTGACTACGCAAAAATTGATAAGTAAAATTGACGGTTGTATTCATGATACCCAGTCCGTGGGTTCTTATGGAGTTGGCTACGTGCGATATATTTATTGTGTTTAAATATTTGTTGTTGCTGGACTCTTCTATAAATACCTGAGTGTTTAGATTGTACAAGTATTTGCTGACAAACACGTTTATATTGCGCATAATTTCCAACACGTCCAAACCTTGTTCCAAGGTTTGCATTGGCAGGTTGTCATCGACAGTATCCAGACCGTATTGGAGCAAGGCAAGCCTAAAATGATGGGCGATGTAAGTAAGTATAATTCGAGAAATTGATCTTATCACCTTCTCATTTCCCCATAGGTTTTCCAATTGTGTAGAACAACAGTGGTGAGATTGTAGAACATGCCGCTCAAATAATGTTCGGTATCGTTTTTGATATTTTTGTATTGGTCATTGATAACAGCAGGTAAGTATTTATAAAAATTTAACGAAATATAATTTTTAAGCGGATCAAACGGCGGCAATTCCAAGTGCTGGTGGGTCTGAAGCCTCAAATTTGTTTCAACTATTTGATTTAAAGGCGTTAAAACGTTCAATTTTAACTCGATATCGTTTTTTTCCTTTATTTTCTCTTGATCGCACAATGAAGAGCAATCAGATAGAGCGCTTAAAAGTAGCTACAAATTCAATTAGGTCTTTTCTATCGAGCATTTGGACGTCAGGGTCATGCGCAATAGTAAAAAGTTGCGACCATATTTTTGTATTGCGCATGCCTCTGACATCCATTCGAGAGTTGGTAGGAACATTTTTTTTAATAATTATTTCTTCCCTGATAGCACACTTTATTCTAAGAATGTTTTTTAAACCTTCCAGTGGGAATATTATTAGGATCATGCTAAATTTCTTCTAAAGAACATGCTTAAAAGACATATAGCATGATCCTAAGAACATTCTTACTGGCCTATAGGCAGGTTCTTAGAAGGTGCAAAGTTTTAGTAGTCTACTCTAAACATATGCTTAGAATGTTAAGAAAGTAATTGCTATAGAAAGTTCATTTAGGAATATTCCTGTTAAGCATATTTAGTTTAGTTAGGTACCTAAATAATAGTAAAATATACCATAAACTACATATAAAGGTATATACCTATACTTAAGTATCTAATTAGTAATTAGTATTAAATACTAAGTAAAAAACACAATCGAAAATATTTTTTTATAGTTATTTGTCAAATTATAACAATATTTGATAACAAAAATACTTTTACTATAGGTATTTTATTTTATGTTAAAAATAAATATTTATTAATTTGTATACCGATTTTTTATTTCTGAATTAACATTTTTATGTATAATAATCCTAAATATCTTCAACTTCAATCTAATCTGACTTATTCCACAAAATTTTCCAATTTTACTTTTTATGAAATAATGTCATACAACTTATGGTTCAGAGGTCAAATTGGTTATTTAATATTTTTAAATAAATATATATTACTATGTCGCAAATTTTTTTTAAGGGGACGACAAATACATTTCACTTTCATATTATGACAGAGGCGTATTTGTCGTCTCCTGAAGAATTTTACGAATGTAGAATACAACATATTAGAACGTGGGTATCTGACATATTTGGAAATATTCACAAAAGCTTCCTAGAAGCTCCATAAGAAACCTTCTAAGAACATTCCAAAAACGTATTCTTAAAATGTTCTTAGGATGCTTTTTAGGAAGGTTTTAAGAAGCTTTTAAGAATCTAATTGCATCATTAAAAGGGTATCTATTGAATGTTTTAAAAGTCCCTAAGAACATTCTTAGCAATAAGGGAAGGTTCTAAGAATATTCCATTATTCCGGTTCATATCTTCTTAGAAGATTCTTAAAATCAAATTTTGCTATCAGGGTTTGAAGACAAATTTTCTCACTCTATATATGACGCTTGATTTAAGATAAGACATTTTATATTTCCAATTTAATAAAAAACTTACGTTGTATCTGGATAAATTGGACCGGTTGGAAATAAGTTTGGAATAATAAACAGGCAACAAATAAACTTGGTGCCAGTATAAAAACGAGCAATCAGAGTTGGTTTTGATGACTTTGCTGAAATACGAAATTATTTCCAGTTGATTTATAGCCAATCTTAAAGTAAAAAGCATATCTGGAGGTAAACCACTAGCTGATAAAGCTAGATTAGCTATTGTACATCTTTGAGATGTATTTGGACCTGAAAACGACCTTACGATTTTCTACTTTGCCGAAAATATGTAATTATACCTTTTAAAGAATGTTCACAAACATTAAGGGCTGATAACACATCCAGCTGATGTTCTTTGTAGAATTTTTCCTGAGTAAAATTTTTCTACAAAACATCAAACTTTATTTGGGTTATATAGGTAAATAAGACGTACGTACCTTTATATTTCCTAAAATACTCAAAGCTTTATAGGAAAGTTGATGAGATAAAATCAAAGTTAAATTTAATAATGTATCACTATATTTGTTGAGAATGATTTTCATTGCCTTCAAAAGTTCCAAAAATTTACATAGGGCCGACAATACAGATTTAGTCATTGTTATATCTTTTTCTGTATGTATGTTTATCAACAGTTTTATTTGAACATTTAACCTGTATATGAATTTTAATGCATTCATAAATAGGTTGCAAATTTCTTGCAAGTAGGTTGATTTTATAGTTGAATTGGTTGATAGTTTTTGTATGTCTATCATTAGAGAGCAAGCCTGAAATATTAATTATGTAATTTTAAATACATATATTTATACATAAAGCAAGAAAAATTACCTGTGATAGAACCAGCTGTGACTCTTTTGGAAGCATTTGATATTTACTTGTTATGTGTGTTATTCTTTGCGATTCAATTGTTTTTATGTCAATAAACTTTACCATAACTTGTACATGTTTTAGAAAAAATATTTCCGGATACCACATGATATTACCAATTAGGGTACAAGCAGATATCTTTAATGAAAATAATAAAATATTATGTGTATACAAATATATAAATGCATTCAACACACTTTAAATTCTTTGCGGTAGTTGAATAAAATATTGTTTGCGACTATTGGTCAAAAGAAGTGATTCCTCTACGCTCGAGAAATCTCCTATTTTTCCCACTAGTCACGCATTATACTACTCTTACCCTTTTATTTAATTCAAACAGTTTTCTAATAACTTTCTTGTCAATATTACCAAAAATATATATTGAAAAAACAGTTGTAACATTTAATTGCATCCAAAGTTGCACATTATTAATATTTTCATCTTCTTTTTCTAACTCTGATAATAAAGAATTTATGTATAAGGCAAATTCGATGTTTAAACTACAATTTTTTAGCGCTGTTATTAGTTTGTCCTCCAAAAATTTATCGAGGGTATCCTATAATATAAAAAATTATTTTGCGTTAATATTTTAATAAATGTAAAAATTTACTTTAAATATTCTACCCGATAATAACTTATTTTGCATTGTTACAATAATTTTTTCAAATAATTTGACATTTTCCCGTGATATGTTGTATTTTGAGTTATGCATAGTGTTTCTCAAACATTTTCTATAAAGAACCATGTGTTCTTGTAATAGTGGATTTTCTAATAATGCTTCTAATGTTACCAAACACACTAATAACTGGGAAAATTTATTTAACATTTCCTGTAAGTATGTTTATTATGTTTATGTAACTAAAAATACGTTAATTTACTTACACTAAAAGTTGATGTGGACGTACTTGTATAAAACCCTTTTCCAAGTATACAACTTAATTGTTTTACTAACAAAGTTAAAACTTGTTGTGATCTAACTATGAAGTTATGAACTTTCTGTAAGGTTTCCAAAAATTGGCTTACAATTTCTATATTTTCAATATTATTGCTATTCTCTAGAACCATTTATTATTCACAAAAAACTGTCACAATATATTATAATTAAAAATTTACCTTCTCCCCCATACATAACAAACTCCTTGTATAACCCATCACTCTCCTTGACCAAAAAATTGATTTCTTCACATATTGAAGCTAAACTTGCCAAAATTTTGCTGAGAATTTTGTTATCTGAATGAACAAGATGCAGTATCGAAACATTTTCAAATGGCTCTGTATTTAAAACTAAAGGTTTAACAACTACGTTATTTGTATTTTCGAACTTTTTCTCGCAACTATTTGTATCCTCGACGAATTTAACGAGGAACGACCCGTATTTACGCAGCTGAGCCTCGGCAATGATTTCTGGAAAGGTTTTAATCAACAATCCACAGATTATGGGTGAATTTTAGTTTACTTACTGTGTGTTTCATTGTTAAGGTTTTTCTCCGTTATATTTGCTGGTTCCCACATTTTAACAACTTGGATTAAACAAGGTAAAAATTAAAAACATTGTAATTATTTACTTCTCGATTTTTGACGTTTATTTTGAGGTTATGTTTCGTGGTGGTCAATCTGTGTTTAGACTATTTAGTCATAGATGGCGCGAAGTTATTTGGGTAAAAAACAGCGTTGCCATGTCTAAGGTAAATTTCGCGACCTTTAGGCCTGATTTATAGATTGCCTTCCTTCCCTCTTCCCGTAAAACAATACGAAAATACGAAATTACATTTTTCTTGCTGGTGATCTATGGATTGGTAAAACCATGAAGGTAGAAAGTACAAAATGTTAATTAATAACACTTTTATTAAAACAATAAATACATATATAAAATGAATCACTGATAAAATATTACACTGCAATTAATTAAACATACATATATACAATTGTTAACTAATTTAGATTAGGACTGGCTTTATACATAGAAATATACAATAAATAAATGAGTTGACAGGGTCGATGTCTTAATACATATATAAAAATAGTTATAATATAAAAATAATATTGCAAAAAATGTAATACATACATACATAAATAGTATTGGATGGATTATTCCTTATTTTAAACCCTGTGCATAATTTAATGGCAACCAATTTCAGATTAAATTCAAAGTTGGTAATTTCTTTGAATTAAATTTGCACTATAAAAAATTGTAAAAACAAACAAATTTATTTTAGTAAATTAGCAATTTGAGCTATAGTGTGTTCTTGAGCAAGAGCGGCTAATTCTTTCACCCACTCGTCCAATAGTATGGCATATAGAGCGACTTTTTGGCCTTCATTAAATTTGGGGTAAACCAAATGGAAATTACTGTTAAAACTCTCTGGCGTGGTAACCAAAGAAGTGCTTTCTACATGGCTCGGCCTACGTCCAAACATACTTGTAATCGAGGGCATGTTTAGACTTCTTCTTTTGGGTCCATTTCGATGAAAAGTGGTGGAGTTCGAATTATGGTTGATCTCCTGTAAAGGCGCCTCGGTTTTTATCGTTTGCGCGTCCGTGTGAATTCGTCTTACATTCACCAACATTATTTCTCGCTCAATGAGACATTCCTTGCTGTATTTTATCAACAACGCGTAGTCTTGCTGATGAGTCATGTACTCGTCGATTTGTTGCTTCAATAAGCCAATAATCTGAAAAATAAGTATCGCGGGAATAATCAAAGATGTGTTCCGTTGAAATGCTATACTTACTTCAAATAGAGATGGCACATTTGGTTGTAGAACTAGACTGTGATCCAAGAGATAGGCCCTTAGAAGTGGCTGTGGATAAGCGGCCAGTCTAGATATTAATCCGGTTAGATGAAGATTGACGTAGAAGGAGTTGGTGAGGTAGTTCTTCAGTTTTTCCATGAGGACCGTAAGAAAGGGTCCTGCACTTCCCGACGAGTTGAATTGTTCGTTGTTGTTGTCCAAGGATGCGGCCCTATCGGACTTCTGGTAAGTTTTGTTCGACGACACTTGCCAGATTTCCTTGGACTCGTCGGATATGAAGTTAAGGCTTTCGTAGCCGCTGCTTTTTTCCAAGGAGAGCGGCTCGTTGGTGAAGTCGTCCTGGTAGTCGCTTTCCTCCGAACCTGTGTAGGCGTTGTTCCACAGCAAACATGCCATTTGACAGCGGGTTATTTTGCTCCTTGCGTCGCACAAATACGCGTAGTATTTGCCGTACAAAGTCTGCCGACTTTTGCTGTGCGTAACCTGATTTTCAGAGGGCTCCAACGGCAGCAAAACCTCGCAGCACTTCGGCGCTAAGCCAAGCAATTTCTCGAAACTTTGACATAACGGGTCTAAGGGTAACAAAATGTGTCTTTGCGACAGCATTAGGTGTAAACAGGGCTGTAAAAACTTGAACACCAACTCCAACATAATATCCTCGCAGTTTAGGTCCACCAAAGACTCGAAAACCGCCAACGATACCAACGATAATTGACTGTGGTTCGAACTGACCCGCTGAATTAAAATATTCAACAATCTCTCCCCATCGTAATCCATCTTTAGTAAGAATTGCAGTAGAGAGTGCAGCAAACCAGGCTCCGTCAACGTCCGCAAAATCAACTCCAGATAAGCGGAAGGCGCCACTTGCTCCTGCTCGCTGGCCTGCAACAAAGCCGGACCCAGTACGGGTATCAAAAACCCTCTATACAAAAACTCCTGCAGTTGTTTTCTTATAATTGGATGCGCGACCTGCGCAACAGCGTTACTGAACTCCAAAGACGTCACAAAAGTCAATAAACCTTTTATTTCATTCACATCGTCAGGCGTAAATCTATGCCAGTCAGGTACAAGAATGTCGTCTATTATATTTGGTAGAACCGAGTATAAACCACTTAAACCTGAGGCTACTAGAACCGAAAAATTTGAGTGATCCGCTATGTACAACGCCACTGATTTGTTTTTCTTTGATAGCGACATGCACAGCAATAGGGCATCTCTCGCGCGCATGCCTATTGAGTCTTCTCTGTGTACAAAAGGCATTAATAACGCAAAAATAATAAACCTAAAATAAAAATCATAAAATTATTGCAATTAAGATTACTAAAAGTACTACCTTTGGGATTTTTGGTCAGCACTATAAAAAAATAGGTCGATAAAGTCTGGATGTTGCATTAGAAGAGCACTTAATTGGTTCAGCAAGTCGACTAATAGTTTTTCGATTTCTTTGGAAAAAACTTGTCCTAGGCAAGAGTTTAGTAACTTAATAAGGGGGCTATAAAATGGTTCATGGACTAGAAGAACGTGTCTAGATTGCGTTATAAGCATGTCAAATAATTTTAATTGTTCACATCTTACTGCATTGGTGTATCTAAAATGGTTTATATTAGAAGTATATAAAATAATTGTACTAACACTTACTTTCCAGATTTGTTACTCCATTCAAATATTTTATGCAATATGTTTTCTTTTAATAAATATTCTAGACATTTAGATGAGATAGGTGTCGCACATATATTTCCATCCTGTTTTTTTATATCATACAATAATAAAGTCGCCATTTGTTCTAAATGATTTACAACTCCTAGTACATCATCGTGAGTTGGTATATGCTATTAATAAAAAAATTACACAAAAAAGCCAAAGACCAAAAAAAAGGGTAACTTGCTATGTATGCGCAAAATGCTTGTGCGCACACTCTGTGTCTTATTAAAGGTTCGTTTTATCAAGCAGTAGGGGAAAGTCAACCCTGGCCTAGGCAGTTGGCAAAATCTACCTTCCCTACCAACCTACCCATCACCCAGTATTGAAAAAATAAAATAAAATATAATTTTCAAACTACACATTTTACAAAATTATATTTTGTAACCTATTTTAACTTTCTATAGTCACTACCGTGAATAAATTATTATTAGTAAACCTTGTTTCTATTTTGTTAGTCTTTTGGTTCTTTTGACCCACCGTAATTTTCGGCATCTTATGTTAAAGCTAATCTAAGCTAAGTAAAACTAGTATTAATAACCAGGTTTTTTTAATGGAAAAGAAAGCTAGATCGGGCAGGGTTCTAGTAAAATGCCCATATTGTGAATTTGTGTTTAACAAGGACTATAATAAAATGCATGAAAAAAATTTTCAGTGGCAATTTGGTTAAAATTAAACTTGTTGCTTTAAAGCAACAAGTTTAATTAAAAGTATTGTTGGTTTCACTTAATAGCATTTTTATATTTATAGCGTATACTTCATTTGTATTAAAAAAAATCAGTTGTTTTTTTATCGTGTCCCCCCCCCCCCCCAAGTGTGCCTCGGTAGGGCCCTGATTGGATTACATATATGCGCAGTGAGCACTTTGCGCATTTGTAGTCTTCTATTTGGCGTTACATATTAAGCCTTGTGGTCTATAGTTACTCCCCCTTTATTTGGTCTTCCTGAACAAGCTAAGTTTACCCTTAGACCATATAACAAATGTTATAAGGTCTAAGGTTGTACTCTAATTTTTAATAAAGAGTTATAACGGTTTTATAAGACTTCTCTCAACAGATGTCACTAGTATTTTAAACTGGTGGTTGAAATGTCAAATATAAATGTTAAAATACTTTCTTTATAATTAAATTTTATTTTTAAATCATGGCAAAAACAGTACACATTATGATATTAATAAAAACATTCCATGCCAAGTTTAAATACCAATTAAGGTATTTTTAAATATAGTGTATATGGAAATAATTTTAATAGAATCAAAACGTATTTTATTTAGTAAGTCGTAATAAAAAATATTGTTTACTTACTTGTGCCCTATGTATTATTTTTAAAGCTTGCTGCCAATGTTGTTTAAAACTATCATAACAAGCTTGAGGATCACATTCTGCCCCTCTATTTTCTTCAGAACTTCCTATAGCCCTCGCATTTCTAGGCAAAAAATTATAACTTTTAATCCAATCCATTTTTAACGCTTTTCTTGTTATTTTATGAGCTTCATCTTATTGACAAACAGCCTCGACTTATTATTTGATAGCTTAATTTTTGACAGACAAATGACAGATTAAAATACAAAGACGTCATATTTCGCGACCCTCACTAACTACGATAGAGTACACCTACATTTTATTTTTAAAAAAACTTGTTTATCTGCAGGGTTTAATACAAATAAATTGTAATTAAATAATAAATTATTAATGTTATTGTACTGTTTTTTCTATAAATATACTGTTTTTCTACAAAAATGTACTACTTGACGGGCAAACTAATCTGACAACGCTGCTTTCATTGTTGTATTTCTGAACGCACTAAGCGTTAAAATTGACAGAATGAACATGACAGGGCATTATAATTTTCTGGCGATGCAATGATCAAAACCGAATAGACTTTAAAACGCAAATTCAATAGTTTTTACGTGAATTCGTGCAAATATTTAGAAGTAAGTCGATAAATCCAAGTCTTGTGCATCTTCTAACGTGAATTTTGTCGAGCAATTTGTTGTAAAAACATAAATTTTAAGGTTTATCAACAATATAAAAATGAGTGAGACAAAGTCAGAAACACCGAAAATAGAGTCCAAAAAGGAGACCGAGGACGATAAGAATGATTTGGTGAGTGAATGTAAAAATGTTTTTTTAATAAAGTGGGTATATGATTTTGAGGTTACGGTGACAACGGCTTTTTTGTTTTTCTATATAATTTTTCCTAATTTCTTTCAGTCTGAAGAGGACAAACAGCTTCAGGATGAGTTGAATTTGTGCGTTGAGAGGCTTCAGGTACTAAAACAACATTTACATGTAGAATAAAGAACTAATAATTTTTTTATAGGAGAATAATGCTGGTCTTTATATGGCGGCCCTTCAGGCTTTGTCTAGTCATATCAAAGCCTCCACAACCTCAATGACTTCAGTACCAAAACCCCTTAAATTCATGAAGCCTCACTATGACACCATGAAAGCTATTTATGAAAAAATAACTGATGCTGAAGTAAAAAAAGTATGTGCCGATATCATATCAGTGCTTGCTATGACAATGGGGGAGAATAGGGAGTGCCTTAAATTCCGCCTGAAGTCAGAAATGAATAAAATCGGCGAGTGGGGTCATGAGTATGTCAGACATTTGGCAGGAGAAATTGCTAGTGAATGGGCTGAAACTGATTTAACTTTCGATAAAGGTTTAAGGGAGAATTTAATTTTACTAGCAAAGCAAATTGTGCCTTACAATATGGCGCATAATGCTGAGGCTGAAGCATGTGATTTGCTGATGGAAATTGAACGTTTAGATCTTCTCGACGAATATGTTGATGATAATATCTATCCTAGAGTTTGCTTGTATTTAACTAGGTAAGTTTAATATTTTTTTTTAGTGAAATATTTGTTTATAAATGTTTTTTATTTATAGTTGTGTCCCCTATGTGGCTGATCCAGAAAATACAACTTTATTACAAACTGCATTGTTATTGTTCCGTAAATTTAAACAATATCCACAAGCTTTAAGATTGGCTATGCAGTTAAATGATCATTCTTTGATTGAAGACATCTTTATTACCTGTCCTGATACGTAAGTTATTAAACATTTATTTATTATTAGGAATACCTAATTATAAAAATAAATAATTATATTTTGTAAAATAGTCAATATCTTATATTTTTTAACTATAAAACTAATTTTATGAATAGAATCGCGTTGAAAACGCCTTTTAGGACAAAAACAAATTAATAAAATAAAAAAAATATCTGACAAAACTTTTTAAAATAAATAATAAATGAATTTAAAAAATCTTTATTGGTTTCCCAAAATCTATGGTCTTTCTGCCCAGTGTAATACAATATTAGTTTATAACTTATACTTTAATTGTTATTTATACATATTTTATTATTAAAAAATATACACTGCGCGTCAAAATTAACGCATAATAAGTATATCTTCATGAAATTTTGTATAAAAATACTTCAACTTATATCTCAGTATACGCGTTTGAGGGTTTTTTGAGAAAATATTTTTAAAGGCCATTTTTTTTTTAATTAAAAAAGCGTTCGAAAAATAACTTTTAGGAAATTTTTTTTTCAAGTAAATAAAAAATATGCTATTAAAGACCGTATTTTTGTTAGTATACTCTGAAAATTTTGTACAAATCAAATGAACAGTAACGAAGATACAGCGATTCAAAGTCGTCAAAAATGACCACTTTTCAGCAAAATAATTTAAAAGGGGGTGACTTTGAAGCGCTGTATCTTCGTTACTGTTCGTTTGATTTGTACAAAATTTTTAGGGTATACTAATGAAACTACGGTCTTTATAACATATTTTTTATTTACTTAAAAAGTCTCCCTAAAAGTTATTTTTCAAACGTTTTTTTAATATTAAAAAAATGGTCTTTAAAAATATTTTCTCAAAAAACCCTCAAACACGTAAACTGAAATATAAGTTGAAGTATTTTTATCCAAAATCTCTTAAAGATTAATAAAGGCGTTTTGGAGTTAGATTTTTTTACAGTGGTTGCTCTAATTATGGCCACTACTGTACATATATTGATATTTATAAAACTGTTACAATTAAATATTTAACAGCTTCTTTTTCCACGCTACTCGGGAATTTTTGTAGCGTCCGTTACAAAAAAAATTGTGAGTAAAACCACCGTAAATATTATGCTTATAAGTTTAAGCCTAATTATTACAAGCATAATAAACATATTTGCAATATTAACTATTGTAACAGTATTTAATTTAATTACGGTATCTTTTAATCACAATTTTTGATTGTAACTGACGCTACAAAAGTTTCTTAATAGATGGTGCTACAGTTCCATTCTACGAATTTAATAAATATTTGTAGATTTTATTAAACACAAATCTTACAGTTAATTATTTAAAAATTTGATTAATTCGTTCGTTTAATCCTGCGCATTTTATAAAAGACGATCGTAGCGCTATCTATTTTCACAATTGTATACTGGCCGCGAAATCGTCTTTTTATTCTTAATCTATGGTTGCAGTGATAAAAGTAATATAAATAAAATGCCAAAGCAAAAAGATATGATGATGAACCTTTAATTAATATTTTTTGAAATTAAAATTTAATGTTATACCTATTTTTTTAAGAATTTATTTTTTGTTTACTTTTTTAAATAAATTTATTAAAAACATTTTTATTCCGTTTAATATAATTAATTTTTGAGCTGAAATAAATATGATATTTGCAAACCCTGGCTTAATTGAAAAAATGTAGAAAATAAATTATTTTCCAGTGCTGTCCAAAAGCAGTTGGCCTACATGCTGGGCAGACAGCAAATCTACATCGAAATCCCCGATACCACTCCCGAATACGAGGACCTTATCGAAATAATGGCGAATTGTCACTTGAACAATCATTTCCTGAATCTGGCCAGAGAGCTGGACATAATGGAGCCGAAAACTCCCGAGGACGTGTACAAGTCGCACCTGGAGAACAGCCGACCGCAATTCGGCGGCAGTCAAGTGGACTCGGCCCGGCAAAACTTGGCGGCCAGTTTCGTGAATGGTTTCGTGAACGCTGCCTTCGGTCAGGATAAATTGTTGATGGAGGACGGTAACAAGTGGTTGTACAAGAACAAAGAGCACGGCATGTTGAGTGCCACAGCCTCCTTGGGTTTGGTTTTGTTGTGGGATGTCGATGGTGGTTTAACCCCCATCGATAAATACCTGTACTCTTCCGAGGACCACATCAAATCCGGTGCCCTGTTGGCCTGCGGTATCGTCAACTGCGGGGTTAGAAATGAATGCGACCCGGCATTGGCTCTACTATCCGACTATGTTCTTCACCAAACGAACATCATGAGGATTGGAGCTATAGTCGGTTTGGGTTTGGCTTACGTCGGCTCGAACCGCGAGGCCGTTTTGAGTTTGCTGTTCCCAGTATTCAGCGACCCGAAATCCAACATGGAGGTCATCGGTATGGCTGCCTTGGCTTGCGGCATGATAGCAGTCGGTTCTGCCAACGCTCAAGTCACCACCACCATAATGCAGACTTTGATGGAGAAATCCGAGACTGAATTGAAGGACACTTACGCGAGATTTTTGCCGTTGGGCCTCGGTTTGTGCCACTTGGGCAAACAGGAGGGAGTCGACACCATCATAGCCGCTTTGGAGGTGATCCCAGAGCCGTTCAGATCCATGGCGACCACCATGGTGGATATTTGCGCGTACGCCGGCACCGGCAACGTACTGAAAGTGCAGCACTTGCTGCACATTTGCTCGGAGCATTACGAAGCCGGGGACAAAGAGGAAGCCAGAGGTAACCAGGATAAGAACAAGGATAAAACGAAGGAGAAGGAGGAGAAGGATAAGGATCTATCGTCCAGGCAGGCCATAGCGGTGCTCGGTATCGCTCTAATAAGCATGGGAGAAGACATCGGGGGCGAGATGGCCTACCGCACGTTCGGGCATTTGCTCAGGTACTGCGAGCCTGTGATCAGAAGAGCCGTACCGCTAGCGCTCGGCCTCATCTCGGTCTCGAACCCCAAGTTGAGCATTCTGGACACCCTGTCGAAATTCTCGCACGATTCCGACGCCGAGGTTGCGCACAACGCCATCTTCGCCATGGGCTTGGTGGGCGCCGGCACTAACAACGCCCGCTTGGCCGCCATGCTCAGGCAGCTGGCGCAGTTCCACGCCAAGGATCCCAACAACCTGTTCATGGTCAGGATTGCGCAAGGATTGACGCACTTGGGAAAAGGCACGTTAACCTTGAGCCCTTACCACAGCGACAGACAGCTGATGAGCCCCGTAGCCGTGGCTGGACTTATGGCCACTTTGGTCGGATTTTTGGACGTCAAAAATAGTAAGTTACCCTTAACACCAATGTTATACCTACTTTTAATGTATTTTCTAATTACCGATTACAGAGTTAATTAAAATTATTATCCCAAAGAAACTGCATTTTTTCGGGATAAAAAGTAATTTTATGACCCAAAATTAAAACTAATATTCAAAAAAACAATATTTGATAGTTCCAAATCTTTGAACAAATCATATACAATTTAGAAGATTTTAGATTATTCTTGTGCAGTTAAAGGATATTTTTGATAATTATAATTTAAATGGTATAATAAATCCAAGACATTCATAGACATTATAGGAAATTTTAGATCATTGTTAGACCGTTTTAAGATTTTTGGACCGTTTTAATGGTTTGATAGTTCTAAGACAGTTTTAGAATATATTTAGACGTTTCACAGACAATTTAGATCATTCTTATATACAGTGTGTCCATGGATAGAAAAATTGAAAATAAATATTTTAACAAGTATAGTTAAGTCCATCCGTGGACGCACTGTATGTATATTTTTAGATAATTTTAATGGTTTGATTATTTTAAGATAGTTTTAGAATATATTTAGACAATTGTAACAGATCATAAACAATTTATGGCATTTTATATCATTTTTAAACTGTTTTAAAATATTTTTAGACAATTAGGAGATTTTAGATTATTCTTGGGCAGTTTTAGGAGAGTTTAGGACACTTAGATCATTCTTAGATAGATTTAGGATGTATATTAGATAATTTTTAGTTTAAGTACATTTTTAACAGACGGTGCCGGGATAATTTTAGACAATTTTTAATGGTTTCATAGTTCTAAGACGGTTATAAAATATATCTAGTTATTAAGAAACATATCATAAACAGTTTTAGGATATTTTTAGACAATTGTAACAGATCATAAATTTATGGCATTTTATATCATTTTTAAACAGTTTTAAAATATTTTTAGACAATTAGGAGATTTTAGATTATTCTTAGACAGTTTTAGGACACTTTTAGAAGAATTTAGGATACTTAGATCATTCTTAGATAGATTTTTAGACAGTTTAAGTACATTTTTAACAGACAGTGCTGGGATAATTTTAGACAATTTTTAATGGTTTTATAGTTCTAATACGGTTATAAAATTTATCTAGTTATTAAGAAACATATCATAAACAGTTTTAGGATATTTTTAGACATAATAGTTTTATAGTCTTAAGACATTTTGAAGAAATCATTGATAGAGATTTTAGATTATTCTTAGACAGTTTAGGACACTTAGATCATTCTTAGACCGTTTTTTAACGGTTTTATTCTTCCAATACATTTTTAGAATATTTAAACATTTCAAACAGATTATACACAATTTAGGAGATTTTAGATCATACTTAGATAGCTTTTGGATATATATTAGATCATTTTTAGACAGTTTAAGTACATTTTTAACAGATCATAGATGATTTAAGATATTTAAGATCATTGGACAGTTTTAGGAAATTTTAGATTATTCTAAGACAGTGCTGAGATATTCTTGAACAATTTTAATGGTTTGTTAGTTTCAAGACAAATATTTTAGATCCTTTTAGTACATTTGTAGACAATTAGGATATTTTAGATCATTTTTAGGCAGTTTTAGGATATTTTTAGACAATTTTAACGGTTTGATAGTTCCAAGACAGTTTTATAATATATTAAAACATTTTGAACAGATCATAGACATTTTAGAAGAAGTTAGATTATTCTTAGACAGTTTTAGGACACTTAGATCATTCTTAGACCGTTTTAAGATATTTTTTAACAATTTTAACCATTTGGTAGTTCCAAGAAATTTTTAGAATATTTAATCATTGAACAGATTATACACAATTTAGGAGATTTTAGGTCATACTTAGATAGCTTTTGGATATATATTAGATCATTTTTAGACAGTTTAAGTACATTTTTAACAGATCATAGATATTTAAGATCATTGGACAGTTTTAGGAAATTTTAGATTACTCTAAGACAGTGCTGAGATATTCTTAGACAATTTTAATGGATTGGTAGTTTCAAGACAAACATTTTAGATCATTTTAGTACATTTGTAGACAATTAGGAGATTTTAGATCATTCTTAGTCAGTTTTTGGATATTTTTAGACAATTTTAACTGTTTGATAGTTCCAAGACAGTTTTAGAATATTTTAAAACATTTTGAACGGATCATAGACAATTTAGAAGATTTTGGATTATTCTTAGCCAGTTTTAGGACACTTAGATCATTCTTAGACCGTTTTAGGATATTTTTTTTACAATTTTAACCGTTTGGTAGTTCCAAGAAATTTTTAAAATATTTAATCATTTTGAACAGATTATACACAATTCAGCTTTGGGATATATATTAGATCATTTTTAGACAGTTTAAGTTAATTTTTAACAGATCATAAATGATGAAGACATTTAAGATCATTCTTGGACCGTTTTAGGAAATTTTTGATCACTCTAAGACAGTGCTGAGATATTCTTAGATAATTTTAATGGTTTGATAGTTCCACAAACATTTTATATAATTTTTAGACAATTTTAGTACATTTGTAGACAATTAGGAGATTTAGATAATTCTCAAGCAGTTTTAGGGTATTTTTAGACAATTTTAATGGTTTGAAAGTTCTAAGACGGTTATAGAATACATCTAGTCATTTAGAAACATATCATAGACAATTTAGGAGATTTTAGATTATTCTTAGACAGTTTTAGGACACTTTAGATCATTCTTAGGCTGTTTTAGAATATACTTAGACATTTAAAACAGATCGAAATCCGTTGCCCTGTTGCTGCATGAAAGAAAAACAAAAAGGCCGTAAAAACAAACAGATAAGGATTTATATTTGTATATTAGTTTAGACGGCGATTTTGAAGGTCTCAAGTAAAATATTAATTTCTCTTCCAGTTATATTGGGACGTTCCCACTACCTTTTGTACACATTGGCTGCTGCGATGCAACCTAGGATGCTTGTTACTTTTGATGAAGATCTCAACCCATTGCCAGTGCCTGTAAGAGTAGGTTTGGCTGTGGATGTAGTTGGCCAGGCTGGCAAACCTAAAACGATTACAGGCTTCCAAACTCACACCACACCAGTTTTACTAGCATTTGGTGAGAGAGCAGAGCTGGCAACTGAGGAATACCTAGCATTAACTCCGATTATGGAAGGATTCGTTATCCTTCGAAAAAATCCAGACTTTAATCCTTAATTTAGTTATTTATGTGTAATGAATTCACCTTATACACTTTATTTTCTGTTTTCTTAAATTAATAAATAACATACTTTTTAACTTATTTTTTATTAGTACCTAAGTAGTTTAAAAGCAAGAAATAAAAAAGTATTAAGTGGAGAATATATTATATATTTTTTCACACATATCTAACAATAATGCAATGTGTTTACAGTCTTATATTTTGTATTTACATTTAACAATTAAACATTTAAAAATATTTATCACAAAATAATTAAGTACGTATAAACCCTTTTACCACATTATTCTTTGAGGGTAATCATAATTGCTCCAGGTTAATTCCTTGCTAAAGAAGGTATAAAACGTTAAAATATTAACGAGTACATGGCTTAAAAACTCTAAAGTAATACTTTCTTGTGTGACATTTTTTAACTTCAGTCTGAATAGTATGTAAGGAACCAAAAAGTAGCGAAATTCGATTAATTTCTGCATAATCAACACTACAATTACGCAAAAAGTGTACGGAAATGCATAAGTTACGTCATTTTTGTACCATAATTTCTTCATAACAACATAAATAGCAAAAATATAAACTATAACTATTAGGTAACGGAATGACTCGTACTTGGCATAAAACCTATGCCATATATAAAATATGTAATGCCTGTTATCAGCAAGCATGTAAGGATGGACCAACGTATTGTGATGCACAATTAAAACACACAAAACTAGAGTGGTAATAATGGTGGACAAATATTTTTGCGCGAATTTTATAAAGTTAAAAATCTCTGTCGCGAATATTGGCCATCCGAAAAAACCGCTAAACAGAGCAAAATAAAACAATTGGGGAGCGTGTATTGTGGCTTTATGCGCAGACTTATCCCCTACCACTATACTTCCGTTTAAAACAACAAATACCACAAAAGAAATTAAAATACTTATATAAGAAAATAGTCCCAACCAAAATTTCAGTGTTGATTTTTTAAAGAAATTGCCTACTATTCCCATACAGGTATCTTTTATTGATGTAAAATTCTAAAAAATTAAAAGTTAGATGCTTATGTATATATTACATTTTATGATTTTTACCTTTGTAAAATTAATCAAGCTAATATTTTCATTTTTGATTGAACATTCATAAATTTCATTTAAAACTAGCCTGCCCATAATCATGATCACCCATATTATATTTGTTTGCCTCATAATAACAGAACAAAAACCTAAAACAAAAAAATTAGGTACACAAGATATCGCCAAAAATTATATGAAAAATCGTCAAAAATCTAAAATGTAATACCTTGGTCAATACAAGTACACTTCGTTATTTTTTTATTCGGAATTTGATATTTTTTTATTGAGAATTTGATATTTGTTGTTATGTTATAATAATAATACGTTTATAAAATTTGAAATGTCAAATATAATATGACAGTTAAATGACAAATGTCAAAGTATTAATGGGCTTGAACACGAGTACCAATTTTAAATATTAGAAATACCTACTTAAGTATATTAACATATAATACCAACATAATCAAATTTGTCAAATTCCAATAAAAAAAACAACTTAAAGTACTGTGTTAAAAATGGTTATTAACAAAATTGTTAATTGGCAAATTTCCAACAACTTTTGTTGAAGTTTTATTTAGTATGGTATTAAAAAAACTTTTTAAATATATACGCTACAAAAAAAAAGTTGTTGGAAACACGTCAATAAACAATTTTTGTAATACCCTAGGATCTAAGATAATCATAGATAGTAGTAACTCACCAAATATTGAAGCAACATAATTATTTTTCTTTTCATGGAATAATAACATTAACAAAATAAATGTAACAGATAACACATCAGTGTAATAAATGTGTGTGAAAAAATATAGGGGCGGCAAAAGTGCAATATTAATGGCAGAAAATATATTTTTCCATGCAGGCTAAAAACCAACAGTTAATAAAAAATGAACGATAAATACACATCATACCTCATTATTATATTTCTTTAACAGAAAGTAGAATAAATAAAAATTAAGCACTGAAGCTCCTATATTTATCGACCTTAAATAGTATATGGAACACTTTTTCAATGGGCCTAATATAAACGAACTCAATAAATACAACCCTGGCAGAGTGGTTATTTTAGGATCCCACTATAAAAAAAATAATTATTACGTTATTAATTAAAAAACATTTACTACCTTATCATATTCGTATTTGCAATAGGCCTGTCCTATGGCCAAATGAAATTCCTCATCCACAACGACTTTGGAGGTTAGAAATATGTTATCAAATACTATTTTAGTACAGAGAAAGTAGATTATTGAAGTAACTAGTAGGTAGATTGTTGACATTGACACATCCCGCAGCATTATTGTGTTTTTGCTTGTTAAATTCTTTTTGGATGTAGATTTAGATGCAATGTCACTTAGAAAGTGAGGTTAGGATTGTAATGACACTGTCATTATGACAGATGACAGGTGGGAAAAAACAATAAAATAATGCGCATACCTATACGAAAATTATTATTGATGTAATTTATAGTTTTCTATGGAGATTTTTTGGTTTAAGGGTTTATTATTTATTTATTTTGTGAGATGCTCATTATAGACAATAGGTTCGTTCCAACTGGAAATTACCTAGGTACACCATAACTTCCCCTATTGAGACCGATAGCAAATAAAACAAGGAAGGATATATAGGGATATATAGAGCAACCATAAAACATTTTATGGTTAGTATACTTATGGGGTCCTATGGGAGGAAAACTAATTTCTACATTTATGTGTATTTTCCCTATTGAGACCAATAGCAAATAAATCAAGGAAGGATATCCCTAAAGAACAACCATAAATCCCAACTATGGGTCCTATTAACCGATAAACCTATAGAAACACCATACAATCCGATAGAATAATATATCGGTTTGAACAGGGTCTCATTTTAACCAGGGAAGTGACAGTCATCATGACTGTCACCTGGTTAAAATGTCACATAGACACCCTGACTGACTGAGTCATGCGCAACATCCAAAAAACAGTTGCCTTTGGCAACAACTCTTTTAAGTAGGTATCGTCAACTATTATCATTAAGCCCAATGTTGCTAAATATTTATTTATAGTTTCGTGAATCTATAAAATTTATATAATTTTAAATTTATATTTCACTCTGTGTGACTAGTGCAAAATTTGTATTTTTTATAGCATAAATAAAATATTATTGTTATTATAAACATAAAGGGGAATATATTGAACAAAACAATATTATAAGGTTTTAAAGGTAGTATAATTCAACACAATTGAACGATATTTCTTAGTGCCACAATGTATCAAGTTAATTTTTTTCCAAAATAAAGTATTTCTGAAAAAATATATAAGGCTACCGGGAATGTCAGTAGTAAATTTTTGCGGAAGCGGATGCGAAATTATTAATGCCATAAAAGATTCAGAACTTCCGCAGTTGCGAAAGCAGAAGTCTGTTGCAACGCTTTTTTTTATTAAACAAAAATTACACTAATCTACTTATCAAACTTAATAATTAGTTTTGTTCAATATAAAAACGCGGCGTGCCAATAAGTTTATAGTTATGACGCGTTTTAAAAATGGTAAGAATTAAAACAAAAATATTAAAAAAATAACTTTTTTCTTTAATTCGTTTAAAATTGATTTAAAATACTTTTTTTACCTAAAATAATAGGTTCATTCCAACCAGCAGTAATATTACCGTAATATTATCGTCCGTAACAGCGTTAATGCGACTGCGCGAACAAAAATAGTAAAATTATTTTGAATAATGTATAAACTGGTTGGAACCTTTTTGGAACTGGTAGTACTCACAATCAGAAGAAAAAGAATATAACCCAAAACCCACAATTGTATTGTGCTAAAAACTAAGTAAAGCGCATTTAGGTATATCTATTTCAATAAAGTAATAAATATGGCAGGTTTTTTAAATAATTACTTGTATGATTCTTCGGATGACAAGGAATTTAGATTTTATTGGGGACATTGCTACTAGAAATAAATATAACCCAGGTTTGTTGAGTTTATAAATATATATAAAAGTATATTTTAATAACATCACACATTGATAATAAATTGTTCCATTCCTGCTCACAAATGACAAAAATTAGATGTATTAACATTAAAAATTAATAAAATCACCTTGTATAGCAGTCATTTTTAAATAATATGTCCAGAAAACAAACTTACAATATTACAAACGTTAATAAATAAACAAAAAGATGAGGTTATGTGCCCCTTCTACGCATGCGTCTAATTTTATTATCAACAGTTCTTGCTCTCGAGCAAGAATCGTTTGAACCGTAATTTAACTGTTCGTAACTCTGGTTGGAACGACGAACTGACAGTAATTGCCAGTTCTAAACTAGTAATTTTAGTTGGTTGGAACGACATTTTACAAACGCGCATGTGTATCAGTAATATTACTGGAAATTATTGTAGTAATATTAGTAATATTACTGGAAATTATTGCTGGTTGGAATGAACCTTAGGTTTAATTAATTAATTAATTAATTAAATTAGGTTTAATTAATGCGCATGTGGGTCAGTAATATTACTCCGGTTGGAACAAACCTAATGAAACTTTGTTGTTTTGAGCTCTGACACATGAATGCGGGGTTGTACGATTTCAAAATAATGAGTGGATTGCAATGTTTTAAATAAAGATAACTTGTATGTTTATTGGATAAATGTTTTCCGAAATGTATAAAATGTTTGTTTTGTCCATTTTATTTTGTTATAAGATTTTTTTGGTGGTGTTTTTGTTGTGACATTTGCTAATTGGAAAGCAAAGAACTTTGTTGGAAAGTCGGCTTGGCAACGTTTTTCTATTATGTGATTTGTGCAATAGAAAAGTAGGGCCTTCGCGCTTCATCCATGTTGATTTTTTGACTTTTTATGTTTGGAAATGGGATTTTAAAAATTATTGGTGTTATGATACAACAATCAATTAAACTTGATGTTATGTTATGCTTAAAACATCAATGTAAAGCACAATAATTGACTAAAGGATGTTTCGAAAAAAAAGTAAGCTCAATTGTCATAAATGTTATTAAAAGTAGTGAGTTGTGAATTAAATTTATTTATTTGTGAATGGTATAGGTCACAATAGAAAGAAGTATCCAAATTAACAATTGAGTTATGGATCAGGAACTATGTGAAATTGAAAATGACACACCTATGCTTATTGATAGTGAAACAGACAATTTTTATGAATGTCTCAGTGTTGAGGAAACAATTAATTCTTTAACTTGCGACACAGAAACTGGTAAGTACACTGTGTCTCAAAATTATGTATATAATACTAAAGAAGTAAAATTACAATACTTACGTACTTTATTTAGAAACTTCTACCAAAGAAATATACCCCAGAAACTTAAGCTTGCTAGACAAAGCATATTCTATTGATGATGCTATTCTGGCAACCCCCTTGGAACCCACCCCAGTGCAAATCTTCAAAACCATTGAAAAATCATCGACTGATGAAAGTACATCAGAGGAGGATTTTGTAGTTATTGTAGAAACTGCCGAAATTATCAGCCATGAAAACAACAACTGTGAAGTTAAAATCATGCCTGATGATTTTGATGTTTTTTTGGAAAGCGGAGATTCAAATTTAATTGACATTTCTCAAGCATGTTGTCTAAGAAAACACACTCCGTACACTTCTATTTTGAGAAGGCCTTCTTTTTTTGATAATGATTCTGTACCTGATCCCAGTGATAAACCAAGAGTTTCATTTCCTAATGCGGAAATTATGGTGTCTTATAAGGAACCAGATGATCTTCCTCCATGGAATATTGGTAAGTTTATCTATTTTTTCATTTTCAAGGTTTTTTCTACCGAGTTGTCAAATGGACGTCAGGGACATGCGCAATACGAAAGTATGGTCGCGATTTTACTATTGCGCATGTCCCTGACAGTCGGTAGAAACAAACACCCAGTGGGCTGTGGAAAATGCCGTGCTCTGATTGGTTTATTGCTTTCTACAGTAGAAAGTAAAATCCCAAATTTCATGAGATTTCTCAGATGACAACAAACCTTTGAGCCAGTATTATAAAATACATTATTTATTATTTTGTTTATATTTTTAACGGATATGGATAAAAAAAATTGCACAAAACGAATTTTTATCAGCCGTCGTTAAAATATATTGGTTCTAATATTGCCTATTATGTAATTTTGCGCATGGTGTAAATAGGTCATTGAAATAATAAAATTTGTTATTATGATAATGAATTTTAATCAATGTTTGCATGTGGTCAAGGTTACAGGGGAGCACTAAAGAGGGTCGAAAATATTTAACTGAAAAATAACAATACGATTTAAAAAAAAAATGACTTTTTTCAGATTCTGGCATGTCTTCTGAAAAAATTTTACAAGTATATCAAAATTCCTGTAAAAAATATAATACTATTGAATTAGATTCTATAAAAGAACAAATTCAGGTAAGTTATATTTTTTGAACCCACACTTTTAGTCCATTTAAACCGGAAACCTAATACCTACCCAACCAACATAAGATACTTTTTATATTGGACAGAAAGTATCTTTAACTTAGTTACTTTGGAAAAGTATCTTGTAACTTGTATCTTAAAAAGTATCTAAGTTACTCAGTAAAGTTACATTCAAGTAACTTAGATACTTTAAAGTAACTAAAATACTTTTTAAAGTAACTAAGATACTTTTCAGTGTAACTTACATACTTTCTTAGAAAAAATTGGGGGAATTCCAGAATAATTACCTAAACTACAACTTGTTGAATTTTTATAATTTTATAGTTTTTATTCAAACTTAAAAGTAACTTAGTTACTCAAAAGTATCTTAGATACTTTCATATAGTAACTTGTAACTAAAGATAGGTACTTTTAACTCAAAGTATTTGTTTAAAGTATCTTAGAAAAGTAACTAGATACTTTTCAGAAGTAACTTTCCCATCTCTGCAAACACCATCCTATTGTTTTAAATGATTAAAAGACTGACGGTATTTGTTGTTTAGGAAATAAAAAATAACACCAACCATTCAGCAACGTTAAATTTAGCATCAGTAAACATAACTTCCGAGGTGAATGAAACCTTGGAGGAGCTGCTCCAGGTGTCAAATTTTAACACGCTTATTCTAAACGATTGCAAATTTACTCCTGCCACGATAACGGAATTCCTCAACATGTTGGAGTTCTACGAATCGGTGTGCAACATCGAGGTGCGCATGAAATTCGACGAAGAAACGTGGAAATGTTTTTGCAACGCGTGCGGTAACATCGAGGTTTTGGAGTCGATTAGCTTCAAGGAGATCACAGTGAACGACAGCTACATGCGACCTCTTATACACACCGTCAACAGAAACAAGAATATCACCATACTCAAATTTGACACTTGCCTGCTGGACAAACTGCCCAGCTTCTATTTAGTCGAGTGTTTGATCAGCAATAAATCCATACAAGAACTCTACATACCCTCCACTGGCTTGTACACTAAAGAAGCAGACGTCCTGGGCCGTTTCCTCATCCTGAACACCTATCTTAAAGTGCTAGACATAAGCAATAATTTTATTGGCGACCGAGGCCTGGAAGTGCTGGCCAAAGGACTTTGCAAACAGGACGTTTTCGGTTGCGGCCTATCGGTTTTGGTCGTTTTTAACAACCAGATCACCGAAAAGAGCGGACCATGCATCAGTAACATCATTGTAAGTACCGAGTACGATTGGGTGCACACTGGTAAAATATTTGTTTGTTGCAGAAAACTTGCAAAAACCTGCACACACTTAACTTGGGATTCAACAACTTAACCGACGAAGTACTTATCCACATTAGCGATGGTTTGCCGGATACGAGTTCGTTGGAAGGTTTGGGTTTGCAAAGCACTTTGTTAACTTGCAAGGGGATCCAGGTGTTGGCTGAAGCATTGCAAAAAAATTCAACCCTCAGGGTAAATATCTCGAAAATGCGTATTTTGGTGATTATTTTTCGTGTTTCAGAAAATTAATTTAAAAGGCAATAAGGCGATTCAAATAACGGGCGTTGAACGGTTGTGTCAAGTGCTGGCCTTTACAAAAATAACGAAAATCGAAATCGATGAAACCAACAGATCCTGCAATGTAAGTCTTTAGTACTCTTTATAAGCGATTATCAATCCTTATGAACCTTTCAACTCCAATTTATTGAACACTGTAAAACGACACGGAATTGTTTTCACAGTCGCTCAAATCTGTCAAACTTACCTTGAGAACTTCTCGCTAAAACAATTGAATGAGTGATTTTGTGGTTATGTTTTTTCATTTAATCTGAAGCGCAGATACGAACGCCATCTATTCAAATTAATCCAAAGTTGTACGAATTTTGATTTTCCGGATGTTCCTTTCGGTTTTTCCTAATGTTTTTTATATTAGACTGGGCCAAAAAAATCAACAATTTTTTTTTTTTTGAAAATTATATCGAAAATATGGTTTGGGGCGACAAAAAAAATTATTGTGAAAGTTTGAGTCCATAATATTAATGTAAAGAGGTCTATCATAGCAATTTTAATTTTTTTTCCCTCATCAAGTTTTTGTCTCAGAACTCCCAAACCATTGAGTTTAACAAAATTTATCAAAAAATATTTTTTTAAGAAAATTAAATGCTCTACAAAAAAGGTTAAAATAAAAATTTCCGTCAGATGAACCGTTTCCTTAAAATCATGACCTAAACATAGTTTTACATTTTGATCTTTTAACCTTGGAATTTTGAAATTTATGTATAATTCAGTACCAATAAAAAAACCGATAAATATTCTTATGTGAAATCAAATGCTTTAACATTTTTGGCTAAATTCACTCAATCAAAAGTTATTCAAGGTTAAAGTTAAAGTTAAAACGAAATTCTTGTCAAATTTAACCTTGAATAACTTTTGATGGAGTGAATTTAGCCAAAAATGTTAGAAGACTTTTTTTGTAGAGCATTTAATTTCCTATAAGAATATTCATCGGTTTTTTGCTGGGTACTGATTTTTACATGAATTACAAAATTCCAAAGTTAAAAAATCAAATTGTAAAACTATACCAATTTTTAAGGCATGATTGTAAGAAAACGGTTCATCTCACGGGAAATTCCAATCAAACCTTTTTTCATTCAATTTTCTTCAAAAAATATTCTTAAGTCAATTTCGTTAAACTCAATAATTTGGGAGTTCTGAGACAAAAACTTTATGAGGGAAAAAAAATTAAAATTGCGATGATAGACTATTAATATTATGGACTCAAACTTTCACAATAATTTTTTTTGTCGCCCCAAACCATATTTTCGATATACTTTAAAAAAAAAATCGATTTTTTTGGCCCAATCTAATATATATAGATACTATATACGCTCGAGTGAACCCGAACGCCTCTCCCCAGATACATTGTAAGCGGGTCGCCGTAGGCGACGATTCAGTTATGTTTTGCATTTACTAGTGTGTATATTTCAAGCGTTTTAACAAAAATTAATTTCTTTTATTTAAAATTATAACTTATAAGGTCCGACGATTCAGTTATGTTTTGCATTTGCTAGTGTGTGTATTTCGAGCGTTTTAACAAAAATTAAATTCTTTTATTTAAAATTATAACTTATAATGTCCTAAACATTGCAATAGAAAATTGACATGATAAGCTGGTCTTTAATGGGCAATTCTTTACGTCAAACAAGAGACCTATTCTCAGTTAAATCCGTTATATTCCCAGCAAACACATAAGTCTGATTATGTAATGGCCCATTACATAGTTTCATAGCTTAATAATGGCATTTTTAGCCAAAGCTTTCCTTTACAGGAATGTTTTAATAAAAATATTAATTTTGATAAAAAGCTGTATATTTTACCATAAAAGACACATACATGGCAATTTTCAGTATCAAGTAAATGCGACTTTAAAAAACCATTAAAGTGCCAAATGTTTTCTGTATATAAAACTTAATTATGCTTTGGTTAACGCAATATTTAAAACGTACGCCCAGTGTAATTCCTATGGTTTTAAGTGTTATACCACATAAAAAATAATAATAATACCTTATGGTTGTTAAATTTAAATGAGTAAGTAGGTGCATTTTTAATTTTACAAATTTAAGAACTCTTATTACAGACAAAACACCGCCAAAGAATGTAGTAGAAAGTAGGAAGAATTTTTTAGTTAAAAGCAAAACAAATAATGTTTCCACCTTTAATTAATAATTTACTGTTAGAAGTAAATTAACTTAATAATGCGTAATTCGTATTAATAATCCAGAGCAAACTTCGACTATCACTCAACGCCGGTGAAGGGTCTACTGCTGAATTACTTAAAACGTCTCTAGACGTCTCCCACTTTTAAAAATTATCCTCCCACTCCTAAAAATCTAAAGTCTACAAGTAAAATGAAAGTACTGTATAGTAGGTTCTATAGTTTGTACTTTGTTTTTCCAGGAGGACGATTATAAGGAGCTGGTGAAACAGATAAATGAAATTTGCACAATAAACCGAAGTTTACCGACGAACGACGAGGTCGAGGTGGCGAACAATATATCGAAAATGATTTCCCGCAAAGTGTCTTTAAGCTGCGACCTACGTCACGTGGAAGTGATGCAGGCCAGCCTTCTGCAAACGTCCTCGCCTGCGCCGAAAACCCGGTTTTCAATTAGCAAAGTGTCCGAAAGCTCGCGATCGCCAAAAAATAGGTGAGTTAAATATTGAGGTGGAGTGTTCCCACTGTTTTAAGCGGAGGCGTGTCTTTTCAGGTTTAAAGTAAGTAGAGTCCCTCCATCTCCAGAGGAAGACGAGCCGTGCGGTTCGGGTAAGTTCGCGAACGTCCGCAGCAGCGTGTCTTCGAACGACAGTATGGATTCTTTGACAGCGTTACCTCTAGACACAGACAGTGATGAGCATTAACTTAACTTGTTTTCAATTTTCGCGGCAAAAACAATTATCGCGATCATTTTCTTAGGAAGCACCACAAGTACTTATTTTTATTGGTATTAGTTCTGTGATAGAATGTGTTAAAGCTATTTTAAATTTTATTTCCAATGCCATGTGATGTTCTGGAAAACTTATTACGTATTACTGCCTGATTAGCAGCTATTTTTTTTTTGTTATTGTTTTAGTTTTTTTTGTGATGTGGGAACAAATCTCGGCGACAAATACCTCTGTATTTTTTAAGTCCATTAAATGAATATACACTTTTAATGAAAAGCACACAATGCTGGGCATTAGAAGATCTCATTCAATCATAAACACTTAATTCCAGTTTTTAAGTCGAACATTTTCCATGTATAGTAGATGAGTACAATTAATGAAACACTAACGTAACTAACATTATTAACATAGTTTTTAGTACTTATAATATAGGGTGTCAAAATAACTGGTTGCATTTTACTTACCTGCGAATGACAATAAATCCGGTTCATAATTTTACAAACATTATATAACCAGTTGTTTTGATGTGTTCCTGCATTCACCGGTTTTTTACATTAAGATACTAATAATTTTGTTTTTTGTTCTGGGACAGTAAGGCGCGATTTTTTTAAAACTCTTTATACTGTAATATGAATGCATATGTGATATCAACGTTTGGTTTAGACAAAAAAACTTACAAGTTTAAGTTATACAAATTAGGCTAAGATTTATTAACTAATGATAGACAGTGTATATATAAATTTATATATGCAGATACGGGATAATAGTTTTAACCAGTTGTATAATAAATATATTTTTATATTGATGTTGTTAGTTGGGATTAATATGTAGGATTTTGATAGTTAGTAACTTTGGTACAAAAAATAAAAACTGTTGTTGTAATGTTATGTAATATAATAACCATTTACGCATGCACTATGCATTCTGTTATTATAGTTTATTTATATTTATGTGTATGTGATAAATGGATGTGATACATGATATCTTAAGAATATAACAAATAACCTTATTGTCAAAATTATTTGTGTTTATAATAAAAAGATTTCAACTATTTAAATATTTTTTTAATTCATAAAATCATTTACAAATAAACAACGCAATATTATATTAACATACAAAAATATATGGGCCATTCCATAATGGACCACTTTATAATATAATTATACCCTTGAAACATCTTGCATGGACAATTGCACAAAATTTGTTCAAAGCATTTACGCACAAAGTTGCATTTCGAATGTGCAAAAATTCGCGCGCGCGGAATTGTGCGCACCTGAGCAGTGTCGCCAACCACAAAAACATCTCCGAATATCTGTCAAATTCTCCGCATCCTACAATCAGTAGGTGATACTTGAAAAAGTACAACTTTGGTGGTATGTTAAACAAATATTAGAGATATTCCCCAACACCAAAACAAAAAAACATAATAGAAATTATATTGTGACTTATAATAGGGCAAAGTGTATACAAACTTACTTTCTGTAAAAAACTGTAAATTTTCAAGAAATACAATTCGATTTATAACCTTTATAATCTGTGTTTAAAAAATAAAAAATTTGACATTTGACGTTGACACACAGATTTCCCTATTGTTTCATAGATGGCGCTCTATACAAATTTTTGATTTAAATCATTTTAAGGTAATAATAAGTATTTGTCGTAGAAAAAGTATAATATGCACCTCGTTTATAAACTTTTCTATAAACTCATTAATTTAAGCACTCGCTAGCAAGCTCGCCTTAATTAAATTCGTGTATAAAATGGCGTTTATTAAACTTGATACATAATATACTATAATTTTGTTTAAAAGTATAGTCTGATTGGATTTTGATTTCTAATGTTTCCTTTTTATTTTGACATGTTTCTTTTCGGTACATACTGTGTTTTTTCCCTTTGTAATTACACTGTGTATGCAAATTTTTGAAATAAAGATTATTATTAATATTATTAAACACAAATTGCTTAAAGTACTTTTCGCCAACGAAAGCGAAGTGTTTTGTTTTTGTGTTGGGGAATATTTCTAATTTTTGTTTAATCAGTAGGTGGTTAACTTAAATATACATAAGTATGTTTATATAAAAAAAAAATTTCTTCCAAATATTGGGAAACATGTTCTCCGCCAAAATTAATTATCCGCAACCTTAAAATACTCAGAAAAGCGGAGAATTCTTCGCTGATTGGCAACACTGCGCCTGAGATACTTATAAACCCTTAATAAAAAGTTTGGTTAAAATAAAGTATATCCCGCATGTTCTGGTAGTTAAAATAAGATAAGATCTCGCCAACAGAATACTTTTTAGTTGTTTCTCTCTTACTCCGTTTTAGTAATGGTGTTTTTTATTGCCAAATTATGAAATGTGGTACTTTTTTTTCTGAAAGAATTTGCGTATTCCCAAATTGCTGTGTTTTAAGGGATAACTTCGTATTAAAACTCTGCGTGTTGATTTATTTCATCTTTGTACTTGGCATAAAATTTATCAAGTTTGTTAAAGTACGTGTTTAAATCATCATCATCATTATGTTGTATGGAATGTAATACCTAAAAAAACATCATAGAAAAAAATAATTGTATCACTCTACATCACTTACATTGGGTTTATAAGCAACAATCCAATGTAAAATTAAATAAAACAACTTCTTCCTAAAGCTAACATTCCTATGTTCCTCCTCATTAAAGAAAAATGTAATCATTAAGGTCTGAATAACTTTAATTATTTTATTATGTGTGTCAGGGTTTATATTTAATTCAGCAGTTGCGTTTTCCGTGTCATTCTTCCTCCATTCCTTTTTTATTATTTTAATTCCCCTCTTAAAAACCTCACTTATTGTACAATCTTCAACATAAGAACTGATTTTGTAGATGAAAAGTAAGTCTTCCAGTAAAAGTATCAATTTGTTTGTATGTTGAAGCTTCAAATTGACATACTGCACTACAAATTTATAGAACATGATTAAAACATTTTTTTGTGAATTTTACCTCACTTTGTGATTTCTCAACGCATGCTGTAGCTTAAATGCGCATGGGCCTTGAGTAATACACAAATGAGCAAAATGCGTGAGGTAAACTGAAAAAATCTGAACCCATGGTTATATAGAACTTACTGAGAATTTCGTTTAGCTCCGTCAAAATGTTCATTTTATACTTCACAGGCAAATAAACAAACATAAAGTTATAACAATCCTGTCTATCTTCAGCGATGTTGGGCCTTAATTTTTTGATAACTTTCTTGAAGTCGTCTGTAATTGGGTGGCTTTCATGTTTATATACGTTCATGTAAAGTATAAAACTGACAAAGTGCCGCGCTATTACCGACGCTTGGGAAAATACGAATCTTTTCGTTAGCAAATCTTTGACGAAATACCGACCGTCTGGGTGAGTTATAGGTATGACGAAAAGAAAATATTGTTCGGATGTTAGTTTTAAGTATTCTTTTTCTACGAGTTCTTCTACGAACGTTGATACTAATTTTTTTAGAGCCATATCTTCGTCGGCCAGCTCTTGGAATGAGTACAATATTAAATCCTCAAAATCACGAGTTATTCTGAAACAAACACAATTAATTAAAACATGATTTGTGGTGTGTAATGTAACTTACTCTTCGGATAGGGTGTGGAGGACTTTAAGCAAATAAATTTTATGAGTTGTGGTGTATTTTCCAGATCTCATACTCATGTTAATTGTTCTTAAGATGTGCTCCAAATTGCCTGATTTTTTCATCATTGTTAAAGTTTCAGCTAGGTGTAGTAAAGGAAACCACAGTTCAGGCTCATTTTCTTTAACTATAATTAATTAAGTATTATAATTATATATAGTTCTACCATTTACAACCTACTTTGAAGTAGACCTTCATATGTAGTCAACTCGGCGATTTTTTTCCTGCATTTATCTGTAGCCAAAATTTTGCCCCTCAGCATAAGCTCACTGGCAAAATATAATTGGGTAATCGATCTTTCCCCGAATAGTGCCGATTCTAATTTTTCCATGTAACTCTACAAACATAATTTAGTTTTAAAAACATTAAACATGAAAAAAATATTACCCTATTAATGTCTTCAAATATTGTGTTATCAAGTATTTGCAAATACAGTTGCGATTTTTTTAAGACTACATAAGCATTTTGGAACGATTCTATGCGAATTTTTTGATGAGCAACACATTCATATAAATTTGAGTAAATCGCCTCCATTTCAGATAACTCATTCTCCATAAAATTGCCTTTCATGTTTACAAGGATTGTGTAGTAAATGAAAAGAATATGCTTGAAATTTTCGCTCAGAATTATCTATAAATGTTTATTAATTAATACCATTACAAGGGGGGTATTTTTTGAAATTTGGTCCTTTACTTTCTATAGAAAGCAATAAACCAATCAGTTTCTATTCTCTATAGAAAGTTAAGTCACAAATTTCAGAAAGCACCCCCCTGAACAATTTTTTAAACTTAAACATTTCTAAGATTCGCCAAAGTATATTGACAAACTGTTCTGACTTCTTTGTACTTGGTGTAAGATATCAAGTGCTTCAATAATAATAACTGTGCTTCATTCTCAAAATCCATCGCGTTTATTGTCATTTCGACGTGTTCAGGTCTAAAATTATTATTATTATTAAAAATTATTACAAAAAAATACTTGTTATTACTTTATAAGCCTCAATTTGGTACACTTCTCAAAAAATGCCTCTAATTGTTCCTCCTCTTCAAGTAAGGCATCTATATAATTATTGCAGGAAAAAACAATGTTGTTTATAGTTTTAGATCTAAATAAAGCGTTATAAATGTGCGTTACATACTCCTGTGAGGTGGCGTCAGTGTGCAAAGCCATTTTAAGAAATATTTTCATAATTAACTTTGTTATGACATTCTCCTTTTTTGATTTTAACTTTAAAAATAACTCTTCAAGCACATATAAACTGGGTTTTAACGAAAATGGAGTGCTATCCCAACATAAAGCATGCAATAATTCATAGACTAATTGTTGCCTTATTTCATTTGCATTTGAAATCATAATGCAAACTATTGTGGTAATTTGATTTGTTGTAACTCCAGAAACCCACTTTTTTCTTGTAGATTGTAGGAAATATCTTAGCAAAGGTGTTAAAGATATCGTCTCGAATGAATCCTTATTAACATAGTTCTAAAATAAAAAGTGTTTCTTCCAGGATGTGGATGGCGTTGTGGTCTAATAGATACTTACACATATAATACTGTGTACTGCTGGGCTGTGCAACTGACAAATTCTGCACAATATTTCAATGGCTTTTTTAGGGTTTTTACATGTATCATGACATAACATAACATTGTATCTCAATGCCAGCTCATAGGCTAAAAGTACTTTTTCGCGTTCTGAAAATTCTGGTAACCTTGAAAGAGTTGCCAAAAATAAATTAAGCATGTTTACATGAAAGGGTTCATGATTTTTTGATAGTAAAAATAGACCCATTTTACGTATTGCTTCTGTGTAAGAGTCAATGGGAAATTTGTTTAGAAATAATACAGCGTCCTAAAATTCCACTAATTATTATTTCCTATAGGTATAACAATAATTATTGGGGTTCTTACATCAAAATTCACGAAATCAGGATTGTCCCAAACTTTGATGAATGCTGACACCAAATGTTTCTGTTGTTTATCATTCAGTTTTGGTATTATGAGTTTACTTATAAATACTTGAAAATTTCTTACAACTATCATTGTTGTGCTACTTTCAGATAAAGTGTAGTATGTTTTTAATAAAGGATGAAAAATGGGGCTTAATGTAGCCAATATAAATGCGTCATCATGCCTTTCCAGTTGAATAATATTTTTTATATACAAAAAACACTTGCTCACTAAATCAGTGTTATCTTAAAATATACTTTAAAATCAAGATATCATATTTAAGATATAAGTTATAGGTAAACATTAACTTACCAAATGTTATCAGTGGTTGCTTGGAATTTCTTATAATAATTACACAAAATGCCCCATTAACCACTTGTGCTATAATAGGGTTAATATCATTCACATTATCCACAACAAGACTAAACAATGCATTAACCAGCTGATGTAATAAAGCTTCCTTATCTGTGACATCAATAGCAACGGTAATGCAACAAGACAGCAACTGATTCTTTAAAAATCTCTCCCTTGCAGCCGATATTGATATTAACTTGATATATAATGTAGCAGCCAATAATCGTACTTGCTTGGAATAACATGGCTCCTCTTTCCTCATGCAAAATTTTAGGAATGTTAGCAAGTAAGCTTTCAAATCGGGGACCATGGCAACAATTTCCTCTGCATTCTCCTCTAATAAACTTACAAGGTTCTGCATGTAAACTTGGTCGGGCTCTGTATGCAAAAAGTACTGTATAAGGTTCTCCTGATCTTCACACTCCTTCTCGGTGAGCATGTCGTTGTACAACGAAGCCACAAAGTCTTCGTTCTTCAAATTAGAACGCTGACGTTCTATTAACTCTATGAAACTCATTTTAGATAATTTCGTTATAATTAATGAAAATATATGCGACCCCGTTATTTTAGGCTATAATTTTTCTCTGTCATCATTAAGATTCATCGTTGTTATCAAGAAATACGCTTTTAAATAGATAAACAATGCAAATGTGTCAAATTTTGTTTGACAACAGATTTGTTAGGTTATGTTTACGAGAAACGGACATAACGAGACTTTAGATACCGGAAAAATCTTATTTATGTATTAATAATAATTTTATTGCGCTGTTTAAATATGTATGGCTGTAAATACCGCATTTATGCGTGGTTATTTATCAATAAAATTTGGATATTGTTATTAATGTTGTTGCTTTAGATACGTCCAACTGACATTTCTCTCATAACGACACTTTAGACAATAAAAAATGTTTTTTATTTATTATTTATTAATTTTTTATTATTAATACATCATATATAATGCATTTAAAAGCAATGGGATGTTTTATTTAGATATATTTGTCAATATAAATTTCAATTATTGTTATGAAGGTAGTTGCTTTAGACACAACGTCAAAATTAATCAAAACTGACACTTCCGTCAAATCGCATTAGATTTTCGCAATACCCCGTAAAGAAAAGATGTTTACGACGCAAAAACAGAAAAATAACAATAGAAAAAAACCTCCGCCACGTCCTCCACCTCCGAACTTTACGAAATTCAAAAGTAAGTCGACAATATCGCTAAATCAACAAGAAAATTTGATCGATTGGAGCCCCCCGAGTTCCCCCAAAGTCGAGAGAAACCAGCAATTTGGCGGGAGTGTGTCCAGCTCGTTTAGCAGCAGCACAAGCAGCTTAGCCTCAAGCAAGAAGAGTTTTGAATTCGATTTGCCCGTAAATTGGCCTACGAACTCTTTTGTCAGTCATGTTTCAACGAACACAACGCTGGGACCAACGATTATACGTGCCAAGGGAAGTAAAAAACCCTCCAGAAATAATTTAGAAATGTTGGCAATTGGCTTAAAGGGCCCTGATTCGCCTCCAATGCCAAGCATTCCGCCTCCCAGTCCTCCAAAAAACGTATCCGACATTGATACTCCCTATGGAATTGCTTTGTTCGATTTTAACGCATCACAACCATCAGATCTGACTCTCCAGGTATTTATAAATTTTTATATATAAACATTTTTCCTAGAAATTATGCTATGCATGCTTTGCAGTTTTAAACTGATGTTTTTTAATGCTTATACAAAAACATTTCCACCCCTTTTTAGGAACATGACTTGTATTGTTTAAAACAAATGTCAAAAATACATTTTTAAATGTGCAAAACTCATTATAAAATGTTAAAATCTAAGAATAAAGTATGAGTATGAGTATGGGAACGTATGGCAAGCCCCAGATATATTGTCATCCACTGATCTCCCGAGGTTATATTACCCCCTTTCCGTTCTCCTGCGTATCCCGCCAAATCACAGCATTACCTGTGTTTGTTGGATCCGAAGTTTTTACGCCGGCTGGTAGATCCACCCTAGGAGTTCGTGGATGACAGTGTCAAAGGTTAAGGCAGCTCCCGGGATTTTTGTCAGCCGGGTCGGGCCATACGTCCAGTTTAGGAAGGGCTTTTGGAGGACATTGAACTGACCCAAAACTAAGTACAATCCGGAATCCTCCTAAACCAGGGCTTTAGTAATAACCCCATTCATTTGGTATTCCTGAATGGGGGTGGGTATGTTAGTTTTTCTGCTTACTCCGGCTACCAACCTTGTATATTCTTTATTTATTTTATTGCTATTAGTGTTCATACCGTTTTCATTTATTTATATCTTTGCCTTCTTACTTATTTTTTTTCAAATTAATTTAAAAATAAAAATATTAATATACAAAATAGATAAAGCCGGCCCTGTGGTGTATCGCATCAATTTGAAACCCGGCCCCTATGTCAGGCGTGCAACGCATGCCTCAATAGATGGCCTACCACTTCATTTTCGCGTGGGGGCTTTGCCCATTTACTTTCTCCATCCTCCAAGCTTTGCTTGCGTGAGCTTATGTGTATATTATATAATATATATAATACAATAATATAATATTGCGACGCACCCACTTGATTTCCCTTCACACACGCACGCTGCCCTCTGCAATGATCAATTGTTGCCTGGTTTCCTGTTAAATTAGTATCTATATAAATTCAATATAAATTTCAGTTAGTCAATACCAATACTAATACCAAATAATACAAATAATCAATACCAATATCAACCAATCAATCAATTAATCAATATTAACGTTAATATCAGTAACAACCAATTAATCAATCAATATTAATACTAATATCAATATCTATAATGCCAATATCAACATCAACACTTATACCAACAATATTACCATCAATACCAATACCAATATGATTATATCAATATCAATCAATCAATTAAATTATTAATTAATTAATTAATCACTTTATGTAAATCGATCTTCAAAATAGAGCCGGCCCTGTAGTGCATAGTGGAATGCGTCTTTATGGCCTGCTTGGCTCTTGAATTCCGTGTATTAGCCTGGCTTGATTTATGAGTGTGACCCTAAATTTATTTATGATAAATTTTTGTCTTCTTGCTTGAATTGGTTTATTTGCTTACGCCTTTTACGCTGGTTGTTTACGTTTGTCTGCCATGAGAAAATAGGTTGTTATTTAACAGTTACGGAAATGTTCTTATTATTTTTTAAATTTAATTTTTAAGACGAATAGATTTCTTAGATTCTTTGCAACTTTGTGAAATGCTTATATAAACATTTAACGATTATACGGTAAGACATGCAATTAGAAGAATTACTTAGCTTGATTATTAGGCTATAAACCTGATGCTTTGTCCTTCGCGGGGAGTCCCTCTCCTGTAGGTTTTTGCATAGAAAAAGGACGTTTTTGGAACGCTCCGATCCAGGTGCCCCGGTTGACTTATCGTTGCTGCCCAGCCTCAATCAGGCACTTATTCACTTGCACACCTTTACGGCGTTATCTCACAATTTTCGCACTTCTTGTTTATTTATGTATTTATTTATTATTTATTATTCATTAACGATCACCGACATTTCCGGACACTTCGTTTCGCTTTTGGCATTTTACGTTTGTATCGTATACGCCACTTAGGATCTTGACGCATCCGACCTCTTCGAGCATCAAGACGGTACTTGTTAAAATCTAAGAATAAATAAATAAAATAAATTCCAAAATGTCTAAAACCCTTTATAGAATCTTAAAAATGTACCTATACAAAATATTTTTAATAGTACTATTGTTTATTCAACCAAAAGCCCAAACACTGGTTTTTGTGATAAATATTTATTTTATAAATTATAACAAATATTTAGTTTTATCATAAAACTGTACTTTACAAAATATAATTATTTTTTATGTTAATTGGTAATTTATCTAAACATGTAATTAAAATGAGTTTTAAAGCCCTTACAATCGTTTTTGTAGAAAATATTAATTTTATAATTTAAGTACACTGCGCGTCAAAATTAACACATAACAAGTTAAAAAAATCCAACTCTAAAACGCCTTTTCTAATCTTTTTAAAATTTTGGATAAAAATACTTTAACTTATAACTCAGTTTACGTCTTTTTCGAGAAAATATTCTTAAAGCCCTTTTATTTAATAATAAAAAACGCCCGAAAAAAAACTTTTATAGGGAATTTTTTTAAGTAAATATGCTGTGAAAGATCGTATTTTTGTTAGTATACCCTGAAAATTTTGTACAAATCAAACAAAAAGTAACAAAAATACAGCGCTTCAAAGTCGTCAAAAATGACCACTTTTCAGCAAAATAATCAAAAAGGGGTCATTTTTACCGACTTTGAAGCGATGTATCTTCGTTACTGTTCGTTTGATTCGTACAAAATTTTTAGGGTATACTAACAAAAATACGGTCTTTAACAGCATATTTTTTATTTAGTTAAAAAAAATCCCTAAAAGTTATTTTTCGAACGTTTTTTTTTATTATTAAATAAAAGGGCTTTAAAAATATTTTCTAGAAAAACCCTCGAACACGTAAACTGAGATATAAGTTGAAGTATTTTTATACAAAATTTCATAAAGATTGGTAAAAGCGTTTTTACTTATTATGCGTTAATTTTGACGCGCAGTGTTTGTAGGGTAATTTTTTTTATATCTAAAAATTAATGCAATGGTAAATTTAATATAGCTTCCAACAAATTAATTTGTTAAAATATAGTTTTGCAGATAATATTAAATTTCTTAATTGTCCTTGAACATAACTCCTATTTCATACATCTCTAGTAGTCATTGTACTTGCATTACTATTTTGTATATCCTTTGTTTTTTTAAATAGAAAACTAATGTGGTTGATGACCTTTATGTTTAGGTGGGAGATGTTGTTTTGTTAACAAAACGAATCAACGACGACTGGTTGCAAGGGCGAGTTTTGGACAGCGAGGGCATTTTTCCCGCAAATTTTATTGAACTTAAGGTTCCGTTGCCTGAAGAAAAAAACATCGTCACTGCGTTGTACGAGTTTAAAGCTCAAATGGCAGATGATTTGAATTTAAAAGTTGGCCAAAAGGTTAACGTAACAAAAATAATTAATACAGAATGGCTGTATGGCACATCGAATGGCAGAAGAGGGCAATTCCCTTCAAACTATGTTGATAGAATTCCAAAGATTTAGTGTTAATTTTTGTACAAAGAAAAACATACAAGCAGGGTTTTGAGTATTAAAGATGTGATTTAACACATGCAAAATTACACATTCAAAATGTGATAAGCAGTGCCTTACTGATTAGGCCTACAATAATTTTATTTTTGTAAAATATATACTGATTATACAAATAAATAATGACGTTTTTCTGAGACTTTTTTTTAAATAAAACTCTGTCCTTAGTTATGTTTGTTATTACTCAATCCTATATGCTGTAGAATAAATTCATACACATAACCTATAATTTCAAACGTCAACGTAGTTTGGCATCAGTGATTGGCCGATTTCAATATTTACTGTGATTTGAATTGGAAAAAAGTGAAGTTGGAACTGATGTCAGATTTGTTTACATATACGAGGGGCGACTATAATGATCTTTAAAATCTGTTGTAAGTAAGGTTATAATAAGTTTTGTCCTTAATAAAAATTACTAAATTGGACTGGAAAAAGCATAGTATTACACTTGGGTTCCTCTTGAATAATAGCCTAAACAACTGGTCAAATTATAACCCTAAAAATTTGTTTAAAATTAATAAATTTATTTAGTTCAAAATATTAATTTCATAGGCAAAGCTTTAGTTTATTTTTAAGATTTCACAACTTAACATTACAATAATTTTGATCATAGGTAAAAATTGTTTAAAATTAAAAAAATTTAACAAATATTTATTTTATAGGACTTATAATTAATTAAATAAAATAAAGCTACAAATTCAGGTATCTGATATTAACAATTTATTTTAAGCTACTGGATAACATGAAATTAATTTTAAAATAACATTAATACTATTAAAATACACTGCAAATTTCTTTATGTAGTATAACGTTAAAATGTAACAAATTGCACAAAGCATTTTTTTAAATGTAAAGATAAACACCCGTACTTAAATACATTAAAATTAATGAAAACAATAAGCCAAATTACATATAAAATAATATTAAAAGAATGTAAAAATTTAAAATAATTACATTTTATAGATCCTACTATCACATATATATCATACACCCAGTACAAATGGGTCAAATGGAAACCAAATATATATATTTTTTAATTAATGAAATTAAATACCTATTGTCACAAATGAACTAGGATGTGTGATATGTAAACTACAGGTATTTCCATTTAAAATATACAGCAATTTAAAATGGAAAAACCCTTTTAAATTTGATATTTACAAAATAAAAATAATGAAGGAAGATTCATATGTGCTTACCTAATAAATTTAAAATTCCACTTATTTGTTTAATTAATTATGAGGAACTTACAAAATAATTATACAATCTCATAGTAGATGCTAGTCAGGTCTATATATAGGAATTTTTGGTAGAAATTCTATAAGAATCACATACTCCATCATTGATGAAGAGTCACACTGTTGTTTACTTAACCGCCAATGTAAACCCAACTTGTTGTATAAGTAACTGTTTTCCCACTCCAAAAGCTTATTCAGGGAATGCTGAGTCTACAAAAGTAAAATACATAAATAACATAACACAATATAATTAAAAAAACACTTACTCTTTTACTTAAACATATAACTGGCCATAGTGAACATCCCAGTGTACAGCAGCAGCATAGGCAACCGCAGAACAACCACTTTACATTAACCGGCAAGGTTTTCTTAAGAATGGCATTTATTCGCATTACAGTCTCTTTATATTCTTCTGGTGCTACTCTAGATACTAATCCACTGGGAAATTCTGTGGTGAATTTGTTACTCAAGCCAAACCTACAAAATAAAATAATTTAAATCACAAACAAACCTTTCATTCATAATGAAATCGTACACTGTCATATTTCCAGCCCCTCTTATAACAACTGGGTCTGGCACCAAAGATATATCTCCAGGTTCATTATCCTCGGGATTAATTTCTTCCTCTTCATAATAAATAGCATCAAAACCTTCCATGTGGCTGTAAAGAATATATATTTTAACTTTTATTCACACATGCACAATGCCTTATGCAATTTCTTTGTCACAAACTAACCTACCTCTTATCGCTACTCAAACCTCGATTTTATAGGGGTATTGTTTACTTGTTCTTTGCTTTGTTTAAGGAATTTTCTTTAAAAAAATAAGTCTTTGTTTACTTCTTTCTGCAGTCCATGGTTATTTGACGAAAACTTGACAAAAATACTGCTTGAGATAAAGCGACATCTAGAAAACAAGTCCAGAACTAAAGTTTAGTTACTGGAGTAGGTTCGCAGTGCAGCACGAAAGCGAAATGTGTACACTAAGGTGACCGTAGTGTAGTATGGTCTGTTTAGGGCTTTTGCTATAAATTACATTTCACCCTCCTCCAAATGGATCGCTGTCATTTTGATAAATTGGTAGTAACGACCTCTCGTGACGAAAAGCACAAACCAGTTTAAAGTAGGCAAAAAACGTCCTACTTTACCGACCCTTCTGTAGCCATTACGATTTTTTGTGCAATTCGGAAAGCACGCTTCTACGTTGGTTTAACCAATTTCTAAGGTTTTTTCAAAGATTTATTCAAATCTGAGTAAGTATTTATACTGATACGCTTTTTAGGCTTATTTTTAGTATGGGGAAACACAGAAAAAGGAAGGATGAGAAAGAAAATAGAGATAGACGCCATCACCGTAGAAGACGGTCTTCGGCGTCATCTAGCTCTTCGTCTGCTTCTCGGAGCCGGTCTCCGGATTACCATTCTCGCAGTCATGGTCAAAACTCAAGATCTCACAAAGGTAGGTCTAGATCTAGACTACCACTTAAAGATAGACACCGATCTCGTAGTGGAATGGAAAGTTCAGATCCTAGACGAAGAGGAAGGGACTCCCGAGACCGGATCTCGGCCCGTAGCAGTCCCAGACGTGAACCCTCGGTGGGTGTTTCTGCGTCACAACCCTCGGTGGGTGTGCACAACTTGCTTTCTTTACAATCACCACAACGCAGCCCGGTGCTGCAAATAAATAGCTCAGATGTAGATTTACCTGAGGAAAACATTGCGTTAGAACCTCTAAATGATAGCGTTCTTAGAGCTCTCGGCGAGCCTAACCTAAAAAATAAAACAAATGACTTCCTTTTACATCCAGTGGTGTCTCAAAGGTGGGGGTCCATTTTAGCTAAAGGAATGGAGGAAGAAGTTAAACAACTCCAAATGGACTATCGCATTCCTTCCAATTTTCCTACACTATCTGGGCCAAAGTTAAATGAGGCAGTCAGCACGGCTGTTCCTTTCTACATAAAAGCACGAGACGAACACCAAAGAAAAATGCAATCAGACTTAGGCTGCGGTCTTACTGCAATTGGCAAAGCAATCAATGAGTTACTAAGAGACTCGTGCATAAACAATGTTAAACACAGAGAAGAAATTCTTACTCATATAAGTAATGCTGGACGCATGGTAGCAAATGTTCACCATAATATGTCCGTTTCTCGCAGAGCCGTCATCACGCCTCACCTATCATCCCAGGTAAAAACCGTTTCAAAGGATCAACCAGTAGGAGAGGTACTTTTTGGGGAGAACCTAGGGGAAAAAGTAAAAGCAGCCAAGGCTTTAGAAAGAGAAAGCATGGTAATAAAAGCATCAACGTCTAGGCCAGACATTTTTTCACCCAAATTCACGTCGAACAAAATTAAACCCCAAAACATCTCTTCAAAAAACTTCAAAACCCCACCGAACTTCCGGAGGGAGAGTCGGTCGTCAAGGGGGACAACCTCCAGCACCAAGAATCTGAAGAACTACAGACAGACGTACACATCTCGTCGAAAATAAAGATTAATAACAAAAAGGTAAAGTTAGCTGGCAGATTAAGTTTTTTCCTTAATGAGTGGGAGAAAATTACAACCAATAGCACTGTTTTGGGCTACATAAAAGGTTACAAGATACCTTTTCTAAAAATCCCTAAAAATTCAGGGATGGTAAAAAATTTTAACCTCTCCTCTCAGGAGAAGTTGGCAACAAACATTGAAATTCAAAAATTAGTTGCCTCAGGTGTAATCTCAGAATGTAAACCTGGTAGAGGACAGTTTTTATCAAACTTTTTTCTCGTTCAAAAGCCAAATGGCGAGTTTAGATTTATTCTTAACCTAAAAAAGTTAAACACTTTTGTGGATTCGGTTCATTTCAAAATGGAGGATTATAGAATCGCAATGCGTTTAATTAAAAGAGGTTCCTATATGTCTAAAATAGACTTAAAGGATGCATACTACCTAGTTTCGGTAGACCCTTCCCACAGAAAATTTTTAAGGTTTATTTTCAATAATATTTGCTATGAGTTTAACACTCTAGTTTTTGGATTGTCCTCGTGTCCATATGTATTTACTAAGCTTCTAAAACCGATTGTAGAATATTTACGAAAAATGGGCATTTTTTGTGTCGTGTACATAGATGATTTTTTGATTATTGCCAATTCCTTTTCTCAGTGTAAATTATTCACAGAACTGGTGGTCAATTTTTTGGAAAAATTGGGCTTTATTATTAACCAAAACAAAAGTATTCTAAAACCAAGTCAGAAATGTTTATTTTTGGGTTTCATCTTTAATTCTACTAATATGACCATTGAACTCACTGAAGAAAAAAGGCGCAATATTCTGAGAGCCATTCAAAAAATTAAATCCCTTAAAAAATGCAGAATTCGTTTTTTTGCTGAATTTATCGGTCTTCTAATATCAGCTTGTCCTGCATTAAAATACTCAAAAATGTATACAAAAAATTTTGAAAGAGAGAAATGGTTGGCTCTAAATCAAAATAATAATAATTATAACAGGGTTATGATAATTAGAGATGGGATAATCAACGATATTTTATGGTGGGAAAATAACATTCTTAAAAGCAAGAATGACATCTTTCAGGATAGTTATGACTTTGAATTTTATACTGATAGCAGTTCTTCAGGATGGGGAGGATACTTCAAGGGAGAGGTTTGCTACGGATGGTGGGGAAAAGATGATTGGAATAAACATATAAATTTTTTAGAATTGAAGGCTATTTTCTATGTAATTAAATGTTTTGCCAAGGATACCAAAGACGTATCTATTTTACTTAAAGTTGATAACACCACAGCTATCTCATACATTAACCGTATGGGTAGCGTTCAACATATTGAACTTTCCAGCTTAGCCAAAGATATCTGGCAATGGTGTGAAAAGAGAAACATCTGGTTGCATGCAACGTACATCAATTCTAAAAATAATAAAGCAGATTCCAGTAGCAGAGTCCTTAAACCTGAAACAGAAATGGAATTAACAGAGGAATGCTTTTTAAAGATATGTTCCTTTTTTGGACAGCCGTCTGTTGACCTCTTTGCATCCAAAGAAAATCACAAGTGTGTATCATATGTTTCTTGGATGAGGGATCCAGACTCAGTAGCGGTGGATGCTTTCACCGTCGATTGGTCAAATTTAAATTTTTATGCTTTTCCCCCTTTTAATTTAGTTTTGAGAGTTTTAAATAAAATAATTCTTGATAAAGCAGAAGGTATCGTTGTATATCCTTTATGGCCAACACAGCCATGGTTTCCACTCATTAAGGATCTTACCATATCCGATCCCTTAATTTTTAACTCAGTTACTAACACAATAAATCTTTCTTACAGTACAATATCGACTACCCTGGCTGTCGCCAAGTTATCGGCCAAGCACTTCTAAATAAACGTCTGCCCAAGGAGGCAGTGGAAACTACAATAAGTTCTCTGTCAGAAAGTACTATCAAACAATACAGCACCACTTTTTCACGCTGGTGGGACTTCTGCAAAACGGAGGACCTAGATCCTTACAATGCTAGTGTCCCCAATGTTATTTGTTTTCTTCAAAATGTTTTGAATTCGGGAAAACAGGTGTATGGCACTTTTAACAATCACAGATCCGCGTTAGCCCTGATTTTGCCGGGGGATATTGGGAAAGACCTGATGTTAAGAAGATTCATAAGAGGCATTGCAAGGCTAAGGGCCCCCAAACCAAAATATAACTCAATTTGGGACACAAATATAGTTCTAAATTACCTAAAAGGTATCAACAACCAAGAATCCAATATTTTAGTCATTACCAGAAAATTGGTCACTCTATTAGCACTCATTACAGGGCAGAGATTACAATCCTTACATTTAATAAAAGTAGAGAACATTATCTTCGACCCAAATGGGGCTCAAATCCTAATTGATGAGAGAATTAAAACCTCAAAAGTGGGGAGAGAGCAACCCTGTCTCCAGATTCCTTTTGGTGAAAATAATGATTCCTTGTGTGTGGCCACACTTTTGCTAACATATTTGGAAAAAACTGCACACTTCAGAACCTCAGACCAGTCATACCTGTTTCTAAACACCAGGAAACCCTTTAACCGAGCATCTAAACAGACTCTCAGCAGATGGGTCAGAGATACATTGTGTAAGTCTGGTATCGACACAAGAATTTTCGGTTCCCACTCAACAAGACATGCCTCAACTTCAGCAGCACTGCGAAAAGGCATTTCTTTAGCCACCATCAAGAGGACAGCTGGCTGGACAGAGAATTCTGCAACTTTCGCAAAATTTTACAACATTCCTTTATCAAATAGCCAAGCATTTGCTAAAAGTATTTTGGGATACAAATTTTAGCCAAATTCATTCCAGTTGTAACTGTTATTTACTTACTTACAAGAATTTTTTATTCGTTAACTCATTTGGATTATTTTTACACTAAACATTCAAATAAAAACTTTTATTTTCTTATGCAGGTCTATCACTATAATATTTAGGTTAATATTAAAGGTTTAGTCCTTAACCTAACACAATATAATTTTCTTTAAACATCTACCAATTTATCAAAATGACAGCGATCCATTTGGAGGAGGGTGAAATGTAATTAATCGATCAAACGAACTTACCTTGTGAAGTTCGATCGTAATTACATGAGCCCTCCTCCAAATGGATCGCTCCCTCCCGACCCTTATGATCTCTCACCTCAAAGATCATATAATTCAACCCTAGTCAATATTGTGTTAGGGCTTTCCTCCACAAAAATTGTAATGGCTACAGAAGGGTCGGTAAAGTAGGACGTTTTTTGCCTACTTTAAACTGGTTTGTGCTTTTCGTCACGAGAGGTCGTTACTACCAATTTATCAAAATGACAGCGATCCATTTGGAGGAGGGCTCATGTAATTACGATCGAACTTCACAAGGTAAGTTCGTTTGATCGATTAATAAGATTTTTTTACTAGAAAAAATTGAAATCATTTTTAGTAGCCCAAGCAACAATTTAAGTATTTGTTACGTATATGGGATTATTGAAGAAACTTAAAAGTGTTTTGCGACAGTCGCCGGTCTCTTTAAATCAGGGACCCGGACCGAAATGAAATATCGGTTCCGGTACGGTTTTGGTTCACCCTATTTTCGTTTTAATGGTTCCGATTCCGGTTTCGGTTTCGTGGAGTTATAACGGTTCGGTTCTTTTCGGTTTTAAGCGGTTCCAGTGAGGTTATTTGTTTTACGTAATTTTAATCTATAACCTAATATGTTATATAATGTTATTAGAATGAAAGCAAATAAAGGTTTCGGTTCCGGTCCAACAGATTTTATCAAAAGCGAAAACGGTTCCGGTTCGGGTTTCGGTTCGGAAAAAAAAACCGGTTCCGTTCCGGTTTTCGGTTTTTTTCGGTTTCGGTCCGGGTCCCTGCTTTAAATTACTCTTTCATTACTAAGTTACGACAAGTGGGGAACAATTACAATTCCAACAAAATTACTATTTATTAAAAAGTAAACAACCATTTACAAACAATTAAAATAATTTAGATTACCACGTGGTACTGTACAGCAAAAAATGGCCGATAAGAAGCATTTTCCTTTGAAGTTTTTTTTCCACCTGTATTTACTTTACGGTAGTTTTGGTTAGTACCATAAACTTTCCAAATACTAAAATAATAACTTTTAAGTTATTAACTTTGTAGTTTTTAAGTCATGCATGTTCCAGTTTCGAGATTTTAACTTGCAAATGTAATTTTTAGGTAGCAACCGAAAGTAACTGCTACAAATTAAATTAAATTAACTTGAAAGTTTTTTTTTACTTTTTTAAAGTTGCAAAGTCTTCTTGGGGGCAACCAAGTTTTACTTAACTGTTTATAACTTTATAGTAACCATTTAAGGAAAGAATGAAGTTTCTGTTACAAAATATTGCTATTTAAAAGTTAGAATTACTTTTAAGTAGATATTAAAGTAGCTGTTTAGTATACTTAACCAAAAATGTTGCTTGGGAAGTCTTTGGTTATATTTTGGTTTAAATTCAGTTATTTATTTTATATTTATATTTTGTGACTATTATAAAATCCTTAGTTTTTTTTATCATTAGTCTTGTTAAACAAGTGTACTTAAACGCAGTTAGTAGAGGTTGAAACGATCTTTAACATAATGTAGTAGTTCATCATTAATAGATGGCGGTGTAGTCAAATGTCGGTATTGCAGTTACCTATGACAGCTGTCAGATATTTGACGTTTGTTTGGGATTCAACGATTTTAAGTAGTTTATTAACGTAGTTAATTAGTTTTACTTGATTGGCGATGTCCAGTGCAAAATTACAGGACGATATAAACAATATACCTTTGGCAGACGATGATCCACAGGGTGAGTAATTAAACAAACAATTGTTAGTGGTAATGTTTATTGTTTTTTTGGTTTAGTAATAATAAATGACGAGCCAGATCAAAACTCGATGTCTGAGGGTAATTCCTCGAGTATGATGCATGGAAGAAGCATGGACTCGATTCAGTCAAACTTTACGAATGGAAGTTCAAGTCCACAACACAATAGTTTAGAGGCCGATTCGAGTCCTGACGAGCAGGAAGAAAAAGCTAGACTGATTTCACAAGTGCTTGAGCTGCAGAATACTCTGGATGATTTGTCTCAAAGGGTGGACAGTGTGAAGGAAGAGAATCTCAAGTTAAAATCAGAGAACCAAGTGCTAGGGCAATATATTGAAAATTTGATGTCGGCTTCAAGCGTTTTCCAGTCCACATCGCCGAAAATCAAGAAAAAATGAGGTTTTTATTTTGATTTGACTACTAATTCCAAAGATTATGTTAATTGCATCTAATATGAGTGTGTTATTTTGGATTGATGAACGGCACAGTGCTTATTCTCTAATATTGCACTAAATGTTATTTTAAGCCTGTGATTTATTTTATATATATATATTATAAGTTCTTGAGAAATTGTCTAAGCCATAGGTTAAAATATATTTATATTATAATGTTAATGTAATTTGTACTATAGGTATGCTTTGCCATTACTAAAATGCTGAATTCATAGTAGTTGTTTTTTATTTTCCAATAAAACACACATAAACATTAAACATAAAATTTATTGACCCAATTTGAGTTATTATAAATATTTATATGGCCTTCTTGCATAGAATTTTATTATAAAATATTTGAATATATGTACACACGAAAATAAATATCATGAAATGGATTTAAATGTTGACCATATAAGCTATACATAGTATATTATCACATTTGCATGTAAGCAATAAATTAATTAATCAGTACTTATTGAACTATTCATACAAATAATCATCCTTATAATGAAGGGTCTTATCCTGATGATTTTTTTTTAACGTCGTTATCTCGTCCGCAAAATTGAATTTGCTTTGAGACTTGACAGTGCCATCTTTGGGTATATATGAATGAGAAGAGGCGGCACTGCACTTCCTGGGCAGCTTGTCTTTTGTCGGCACAGATATGTAGGGATTTTGTTCGGTTATATAATGCGGCGAGCTCGGAATCACGTTTTTCTTTTTTCGAAATGTGCAGTAACCCAAGTATATCAAACCAGGCAAAAATCCAAACACTATCCCAATGACTAGGAAGGCCAGCTTACTACTTGTTGTAGTACATTTCTCTGAAACTAAAATTACAGTTTTAACATACAACAAAAACAAATTGCTGTAAACAATTTTGTTTTAACATACTAACATGTTTTCAACCCAGGTTTCACATTTTCTCAGTTTACTTCGCGCTGTGATTTTTCATGCATTTTGCTTATAGCGTGAAAAATAAATCATTTCGTAAGTTAATTTGAAAAGCCGAAATTTTTTAAAAAATATCGGAAAAAAACCGTGGCTCGATATGTTGTGTTGTTGGGTGTATTTCGAGAGGAAATCCTGGGTTAAGTTTTTACCGCTTTTCCAATAAACAGTGTTAATCTGAATGAAGAAATAAATTACATACAGTCTCTGTAAAAAATACACTCAACGGTAAAATACCATTATATTATGTATTATATACTAATATTATGTTGCTATGAATTCGTAGGTATATTTTGTTGTTTAAAATGCAGTTGTCTTAAACTTAAATATAAATTATATTGGGTAAAGTTATCAGTTGATTATGACATAATTTAGTCGTAGTTCACATTTTTTTATAAACTAAAAAATAATATATATTATAAGTAGTAAATAAGGACTCTGGTCAATGGCCTTTGTGCACCTATACCTAGTGCGATAAAGGATTTTTTCTACTCCCACTTTTAAAACGCCGTTTATCGTACATGTTTCCTTGACACTAAGTGAGCTTTTAAATACACATTGACAAGTTGTGGCTTTATGGCGCTAAGTGACCTTTTAAATACACATGTTGTGGCTTTATGGCGCTTCAGTCACGGGCTGAAGTTAGCAACAGGTTTTTAGTCACGGGCTGAAGTTAGTTGACAGTTGTCAAATGTCATACAATCGTAAAAATAAGGTGCCTTTCTTGTAAAATAATCTAAATGTGAAAACTATTTTATTATCTCAATAAAAAAATACAAAAGTATTAAATAGTTTCTCAACGCCAATATTTGAAAAGTTTATATGAACATTGTACTGACCTTTTAATTTCGCCGGCAGTAAACTATAACTTAAATTCGGACACGGCTTATAAAACATTTTCTTTACTTTCACTGTGAAAAACTGTAAATTTTCAAGAAATACATTTCGATTTATAACCTTTATAATTGTGTTTATAAAGAATATAAAAATTTGACATTTGACGGTGACACACAGATTCCCCTATTGTTTCATAGATGGCGCTCTATACAAATTTTTGATTTAAATCCTTTTAAGATAATAATAAGTATTTGTCGTAGATAAAGTATACAATGCAACTCGGTTTATAAACTTTTCTAGACACTCTTTTTTATTAAACACTCGCTCGCAAGCTTTGCTCGTGCCTAATACAACTCGTAACTAAAATGGCGTTTATAGAACTTTATACACAATATACCTACTATATTATTATAATTTAAAATAATAATAAAAGTTGGAAGACTTAAACTCCTGAAGAGTCCTAGAGCGATTTGGAGAACTGAACCGCAGCGAAACAATCGATAATGGATAAAATTGCCCGAGCGTTTTTTATACTAAACTAAACTTATTAAGGTTAAAAGTCAATGCCTCTTTCGTGCCTAGTTTTGTAAAAATGCCGTCTTATGAGATATTCGTTATTTAATATAATATGTTTTAATTCGTGACTTTTACGTTCTAGAATATGTTTTGACTTTCTTAAATATCTATCAAATTGTGTTTTTTTAACTTTTAAGTAAGTTTGACATTTTTTAATATATCTGACATTCCAGAATATGCATTGACGTTCCTTCCTTCCCTACCGAGGGTTTGGACTGTAAAGTGGACGTCAGGGACATGCGCAATAGTAAAATCACGACCAAATTTTAGTCTTGCGCATGTCTCTGACGTCCATTCGACAGTCCAAGTGCTCGGTAGGGACAAAAATGTTTATAAACATTCTAAAATGTGTTATTAAAAGTTAGAATGTTTTATTTAGTGTTTTTATATTTGTTTAACATTTTTAATGCTTACCTCCCATATTTATACACATTCTTGACTCAATGTGTTGCCCATCACAAAGTCCAGAGTTTACACATTCTCTTTTCCTGTGTTGTTCATTGTTGCTATCACATATCGACCATTGTGTCCAGTTTCCCCAACCTATAGGACCTAAAAACACAAGTATTACAAGCTATCCACGTATTTAATATTTTTGTTCAATAATACCTTCACATAGGTCATTCTCACAGGGTCTCTCCTCCGCCTTGGCGCCTTTACAATGGTGCCCTTGACAAGTTCTGGTCCTGGTTTGGTACCCTATGCCACATGTATTGTTGCAGGGGGACCAATCAGACCAACGCGTCCAATGTTCTTCGCACGGGTGCACATTACAAGCTTTAGTTTCGGTGCATCTTTGACCCTTGCAAGGTTTTTTTCTGCGTTGGATACCACCTCCGCAGGATGCTGAACACTCCGACCACTCGCTGTTGCATGAATCGCTTGTACAGTATTTTATATCTTCTTCGATATTAAGCCTTATATGACTTGCTGCTACCACGTTAGCTCGGCATGTAATAGTGAACCTTTTTTGATATTTATACACTGTGTTATTAATCGTTACCCAATCAGTTGTGTTGGTTACGGATTTGCGTTCTGTTTTGCAACTATGAGTCGTACTGCTGTGGTCACATTTAGTGTACTCCATGTTGTTTCCTATACAGTGATGGCCGCCGTTTCTAGGCGCGGGAGAATCGCATTCTCTCGTACGATTTTTGTAGGAGTGAACGCACGTAGACCATTCGCTCCATTCCCCCCATCTACCATTAACTGGATCTGCCGGACAAGGCGGTAGCTCGGAGCAATTAGCTTCAGCTCTATCTTGCCCCACGCAAACTCTACCACCATGAGCAGGCGCAGGGTTCGTGCACGATCTACTTCTGGTTTTAACCGCCTCTCCGCAAGAGGCAGAACAGGCCGACCAAGCGGACCAATCGGACCAACCTCCATGGACTGTACAGTTGCTCACCATAATCGAAGGTCCCGTGCAAGGGTACCCGCCATTTGCTGGAGCAGGGTTGTTGCATTGCCTCACCTTGCAAAAGCAGGTTCCGGAGTCGTCATAAGCATCAATTTTGTGGGAGCATTGCTCCCATCTCGACCAACTGGACCAACCTCCATCCACTGGACTGTCCAAAACAGGACACGAGGTGACGGACTGTTGCCATATCATATCGTGAGGGTTGTCTTTTGGCGGTGTGGAGCACACCTCGTTCCGTTCGTTCCAACCGCAGTAAGGATCCATCGCGTTCATACAACTCTCCTTTGATTTGTGTCGTCTGCAATGTTCCGCTGGTATTTGCATTAAACCCTGCTTTGTAGTGAGGTATATGGAGTTTGTGATCTTCAAGAATCGCATGTTTTTTATTGAATCGCTTTTGGTTTCCCATATTTCCACCACGCAAGCCTTATGGTGACCGGGAGGCACAATCAGCTTCTTAATCAACCCTTCTAGAGTCGAAATATAGATAACATGCAACGAGCTCTGCAATTTGGTTGACAACACATCGACAGTTATATGAGTGAACCTCTCCAACTCGCCCACATACAAAGGATTCAAAGTGGTGGCTTGCACGGCATTATCCATTAATTGATATTTGGAAACCTCCATTTCCACATAGCTATCCAATACGGGCGATCTGCATTCGAAATGCTCCTGGTGTCGATTCGGCTGCGTCACCCAAGCGCTTCCACTATGAGGTCGAACTTTGAAATTTCCAGAAAACGCCTCATTTATTGATGTCATGTTGAAAGCGCATACGGCCGCCCCCGCTATGCTGTTACTGGGAGTTGTAAAAGTGGCGTAGGCTACGTTCTCTTCGGCCACGTACGTCATGCTTTGAATTTCGTGGAAATAAAAGGGATACTCTCCACTTATGGAGCAATTCAGCCTGGCCTTAATGAACGTGGTCCAGTTATCGCGACTTGTTATGGTCCCGCCTGCATCGTTTTTACAAACTCTCGCTATTCTCGAATAAATAATCTGCAACATAAACAAGCTGTAAAGATAATGATAATAATATGATGAAGTGACTAACCTTTCCACAGTTAATGTACTCTACAGCCGTTTCGCGGAATAAAAAGTACACATAGTTCTCATTCTCGAAACTTCCAACAAACTGGGGTTCATTCAACCAAAACCCATCGGAATGCCTTGTGCGCACGTGCTTGTGCTTCCCTATATTCTTCGATATCAAAGAATCCGACCCCACCAAATTGGACGGCCCTCCAAAGTAGTACTCTCCATTATCGGAAATGAACCCAGTAATATTCGACGATGGGTTGTATGGGCATTTCGCTGTACCATCGACCCACTCATCCACTTCGGATATTCTGTTGGGGTTCCTCCAAGAGCATTTCGGCGAGAAAGCGTTGGTCCCGCAGGCAAATATGTGCGTGCCATTCGTTAAGAGGACCTTTATGTAGTTATGGCAATTTTCCTCGCTGCCACCCTTCGCGATGCACTGTTGTTTTTTCTCCAAAGGCGGACTCCATTCTTCCTGCTCTATTACCTCAAGCTTGTCGAACTTAAGGCGAAACAAGTTGTTTCTGGAAACATTCATTATTAATAAAGCAACTGCATGGAAGGAAAGCAAACTCGCTTACTTGGCCCCAATTAGGATTTCATGCCTGGAAACATCAAAAAGCATCTGAGAGTAGTCAGTTATTTGGTCACTAGTAAATCTCCTAATGGTTGAAATTAAGTCTGCGAAAAATAAAAACACATTGTAAGCATCCTGAAGTGTAAGTAGAAATTATTATTTTTATGACGCGTTCTAAAATTTTATATTTATTATCGAGTTTATTGCTCTAGGTGGTAAAGTATGATTTTTAACAGCAATAAATCAAAAAACAAAGTACTAAATAAATAACACACAAACTTCTTATCTGAAGCAGAAAATAATCTTCTCTTTATTGTTTGTTCAAAAGCATATACCTACGAACAACAATTAATCTTCATACAAATACTTAAAAAATTCATTAATTTACAAACTTTATTTAATATTTATTATTCAAGCAATATTTAACAATTTTATAAGCAATGCACAATTTAAATTATCAGCTGTAAATACAGCTTTATTTACGGTGTTTAATTTCCACACTAAGCAAGAAATACAAAAAATTCATAATACAGGGCATATGAAATTACATATTGATAAACAAAAAACCTCAGATAATTTAGATGCTTGTTTCTAATTTATTAATTCAACGACGTAATAACAAATGATTTATTGAATTTAGATCTCTAAACCTTATTGTACAACAATCACCATTGTTAGGATAATTTTTTTTTAAAATTTGAATTGAGGCACATACATTTTGCTAAAAATTGCAAATTTTTAATGAAATTAAAAAAAATGGAGAAAGCTGGTCCTGACTTTGATATTTATTACAATAAATAATAATTTTTCAATTGATAATGATAATGAAATTTAAAAATTGGAAAAGGTTAGTCCTCTATTTTTAAATTTAGATATAGGTGCATTATATTACAATAGGTAACAATTATTACCTTTGTTAAGTTAATTTTTCTAAAAATATCATTTTTTAAGGAAATACAAAAAATTGGAAAAAGCTAGTCCTGACTTTTGAAATTTGGACAGAGGTGAATTTATAGAACAACAGCTAGCATTTTTTAACTTTGTTTAGTAAATTTTGCTAAAAATGTAACTTTTTAATGAAATTTAAAAAATTGGAAAAAGCTGCTCCTAACTTTTTAATTTTAGGTGGAAGAGCAATTATAATACAACATTTGCTATCATATTCCTTATGATAAATAATAATAATAATAATGAAATTCAAAAATTATTATTAATAAATAATTATAGTACAACATGTAACAATTAGTAGGACAACAGGTAACATTTTTAACTTTCTTTAGTAAATTTTGTTAAAAATGTCACTTTTTAATGAAATCCAGAAATTTAAAAAATCCTGAGTATTTAATTTTAGATAAAGAAGCAATTACAACAAGGTAACAATTATTACCCTTGATATGATATTTCTTAAATAAATAATAATTTTTCATTTGATAATGATAATGAAATTCAAAAATTGTAAAAGGCTAGTTCTGACATTTTAAATGTGCATTTATAATACAACAGGTAACAGTAACTGTTAAGTTAATTTTTTTTAAAATATCATTTTTAAAGGAAACACAAAAAATTGAAAAAAGCCAGTTTTGACTTTTTTAATTTGGACAGAGGTTCATTCATAAGACAACAGGTAACATTTTTTAACTTTGTTTAGTAAATTTTGCTAAAAATGTAACTTTTTAATGAAATTTAAAAAATTGGAAAAAGCTGCTCCTGACTTTTTAATTTTAGATAGAGGGGCAATTATAATACAACATTTGCTATGATATTTCTTATGATAAATAATAATTTTTTAATTAATAATAATAATGAAATTCAAAAATTATTATTAATAAATAAAGGCTAGTCCTTTTAAATTAAGATATAGTTGCATTATAGTACAACATGTAACAATTATTACCTATGTTAATTTGTACTTAAAATAACAATTTTTAAGAAAATACAAAACAAATTTTTTGGTAAAAATTTAAAATTTAAAAATTTGGACACTTTTGAGTTTTCATAAAAAAAGTTACTTGAAATACAATCGTTCAATATAATAATATTAAAACAATTAAATTGTTTTTATTGTAAAATCGCTGATAACATTTCTATTTTAACAATTAAGCATTAAATTCTTCATGGTTTTTTAATTGGCCAATCAATTGTATTTATTTTTTAAATAGCTGATGTATTAAAACACGTTTTACATATTTAAATTGCTATAATTGTTGTTGATTGATTATTTTTTTAGTTTAAATTTAGTATGTTAATAAGAATTTTATTCACGTTTTAGAGGCAATCGGAAAAATGCATCCTCTGGGATAGAATAAACATTTACGTGCCAAGATATATAGGATTTTCTACATAATCATTATTTTTATAGTCCACATTCCATTAATAGTAACTACTTCAAGAAATATACCTACATGTTTATTTACGTTTGGTATAAGATAAAATGCGTGATAAATTTTATCGTAAACTTACCCTGATGAGATATAAACCTAAAATCTTGTTTGATTTTATTTCCATTGGTCAATATCAAGTAATGGAAAACGATGAACAGTATTCCAGCATATAGGGACATATTCTGTGAAAAAATATATATTGTTAATTTTAATACTTTTTATAATATGAAATATTGTTTTATAACGAATTAATCCTGTTAGAAATAAATTATGCTACAATATATAGAATAGGATTTACATGTAAGAATGGTTTAACACTATCTTATGACATGACTCGAGTTGTAAAAACAATTAGTAATAAATCTACATATCCCGATAAGTCATGATTAAAGCGTATATCTAATTATAATAATTAAATTAGCTAAATAATCAATGTAATAAAATTTAAATAAATTGTTTATGTTTTAATTATCCTCTTTTCCTAGAGTACTCCGGACCTAACCACATGTCTATTATTGGCTAATTTATTACCCAAAAACCCCAGGTATCAGTGGACATTTGGATAAATAATAAAAGACTAAAAGGCACATGCCAAAAGCATTTGGTTGCATGACAATATTACAGCAGATGTTGGGGTTTGCTTCTCAAGTTCCACGATCAAATTTCTATAATTATATACTACCAATAATATTCCATTTACATAAACCCAAGACCTACCCACTATTAATTTTAAAACAAAGGTGTGAAAATGGCCATTGACTCATTTAGAAACCCGCAAATATATGCTTTTCAATATATTAAAATTATCACATGTAACATCTTTATGTTATACAATTTGGCATATTAAAATATAAATATAGCTCTTGAGTGGGAAGAAAACATTATTTTTTCACAATTTATTGATTTTTAATCCGTTAAAAACTACAAGGATTTCTTGAATTAATGTATCACCATTTCGTGAATCTCTTTATAATATCTTAAATCAAATTATTACCATCCAAAACTTTTGTGTTTTATTGGGCCATTCCACCAAATAATTCCTAACAACGGGAATAATAAACTCATTAATTACGTTGTTAGGCGTTAATGATTGGTCGATTTTTTATTTTTTATATTCACTCCAATCGGGTTTTAAATTGGGAAAAGGCGACTATAATGCCATTTAAAATTGATAAAAATTGACAGGTGTCAGATTTTATATAATTATTTTTTAAACATCATTTAATTATCTACTTATTGAGAGTAGATAGTGAATGCATTATCTCTTGTATAATAATATACTATTTAGAAAATAAGACAAAAATACATAATTCAATTCATTACTGCTCTTAGAATTTATTTAAGGAGTCGTACTTGTAAACTCCACTGAAATTTAGCCTAAAACAATCAAATGCTTTTGGAACACCTTGTACAAACTAAAGGATCTTTTTGTATAAAATCTTCAAAAAGATCCTCAAGAAGATCATTTTAAAATGATCCTAATCCTAATCCTAATAAAAATACATTCAAATGTATTTATTACATTTTTAAAATGTGGTTTTGGCATTTTAAAATATAATTTAATGTTTTTAAAAATGTTTAAAAACACTCTTAAATGGGTTCTTAATATTCTGAAGTGATATTTTTATTTTTACGTTCTAAAATGTGGCTTTAACATTCTGAATTGTGTTTTTGACATTATTTATTTATATTATTATTATTATTATTATTATTATTTAGAATTGTTTTTTAAAATGTATTTTAACACTCTTAAATGGGTTTCTGATACATTCAAATGTGTTTCTTACATTCTAAAATGTGGTTTTGGCATTCTGAAATATAATTTGACATTTTTAAAAATGTTTAACACTCTAAAATGGGTTTTTAATATTCTGAAGTGACATTTTAAATTGTGATTTTAAAAACTAAAATATGACTTTAACATTCTGAATTGTGTTTTTGACATTCTTAAATATGGTTTTCTCATTATACAATTGTTGTTTGCATTCTAAAATATGCTGTGAGGTTCTTAAATGAGTCTGGACACTTTTAAACATTTTAAAATGTATTTTAATACTCTTAAATGGTTTTACATTTTAAAATGTGGTTTTGGCATTTTAAAACATAATTTAATGTTTTTAAAAATGTTTAACACTTTTAAATGGGTTTTTAATATTCTAAAGTGAAATTTTTAATTGTGTTTTTTCAACTTTCTGAATTGTGTTTTTGACATTCTCATTACACAATTGTTGTTTGCATTCCAAAATATGCTGTGAGGTTCTTAAATGAGTCTGGATATTTTTAAACATTATAAAATAAATTTTAACATTATTAAATGGGTTTCTGATACATTAAAATGTACTTCTTACATTCTAAAATGTGATTTTGGCATTCTGAAATATAGTTTGACGTTTTTAAAAATGTTTAACACTCTAAAATGGCTTTTTAATATTCTGAAGTGACATTTTTAATTGTGTTTTTACATTCTAAAATATGGCTTTAACATTCTGAATTGTGTTTTTGACATTCTTAAATATGGTTTTCTTATTATACCATTGTTTTCTCCATTCTAAAATATGCTATGAGGTTCTTTAATAAGTCTTGACATTTTTAAACATTTTAAAATGTATTTTAACACTCTTAAATGGGTTTCTGATACATTTAAATGTGTTTCTTACATTCTAAAATGAGGTTTTGGCATTCTGAAATATAATTTGACATTTTTAAAAAGGTTTAAAAGAAGATCATTTTAAAATGATCCTAATCCTAATCCTAATAAAAATAAAATGGTTCAATGATGTCAAGATAATGTCGTTAAAAACAGGTAAGTGCAATAAATATGGAGTTTAAAATTCGCAAAACCACTCTAAATAAATATGAACCTTTTTGGGATTGTTAAAAACTTAATTAGATTATAAATTTATTGATTTATGTATCGTCAAATTTGATTTTTTGTTCGGTAAAATACTCTTCTTAGAAAATTCCAACAATTTTATTGTTGCGTGAAACACAAAACACAATGTTTTTTGTAAAAGAAAATATTTTCATGTCGTGTTATTAAGTTTCTATTTAATACTAGTAAATTTTATACCTACAGGTTGATGATAGTTTAAGCATATATATATGCATTTTATAAAAGTTTAATTCATCATTTTGGTAATTTATTATTACTTACTTAAAAAGTTCTTCATAATATTCTTAAAATTCTTACAAAATATTATTTTTTAAGCAATTAATGATATTCCACTCGACTTTAAAAGCAGCAAATCTTTTAAATATTTAAATTTATGATTCTAACACGTGTTCACTTTGGTTTGGGTAGTATGTCATGTCCAACTTTTCTACCTGCCTATAAGCTTGGCAATTTTCCCTCTCAAAACTTCTAAAACCCCACTGAAGATAACAAATGTAACGTAAACATTATTTTTTCGAAATAATAACAGACAATAGTACAACATATGCAATTTTTATCGTTTCTGTTAGTCAATCGGAATTTTGTTTCTAACGAAATGTTTTTATTTCAATATACATACAGAAAAAGAAATAGGTATAGTAATAATCTTTTATCTATAATACTTTAATCTTCACATACATACAGAAATTTAAAGTTTGTTTCGATAAACAACCGTTATCAAACAGTTTATTTACAACATTTTGTTATAGAAAATCTAATAAGATTTCATTTGCAATTTCATGCGTTAATTGGATCGAAATACAATTTTTAAACCATCAAATACGTAGTTACAATAAATGTATGTTTAAGATATAAGGAAGTCCTAGTTTTACCCATAATAGGCTATAACAAAAATTGTATTAAAGTTAGAAAAAAGTGCCTTGAAGGCATCTATAGGTCAAAGTAATTTTCTCTATAAAGAAGTTTAGGACTTTACAAACAGTTTATTAATGAAATGTTTCACAAGGCAATATTTAATTGTTTTCTTGTGAAACGGCATTCTAAATTGTGATGTTAATGTTCCAAAATGTGTTTTTAAATATGTTTGACACTCTAAACATGTGCTTTATGTTCTTAAGTGACATTTTTAATTGTGTTTTTACATTCTGAATTGTGTTTTTGACATTCTTAAATGTGTTTTTTTTATATAATTGTTTTTTGCATTATTAAATATCCCTTGAGGTTCTTAAATGAGTCTTGACATTTTTAAACATTTTAAAATGTATTTTAACACTCTTAAATAGGTTTCTATTACATTCAAATGTGTTTCTTACATTCTAAAATGTGGTTTAGGCATTCTGAAATATGATTTGACGTTTATAAAAATGTTTAACACTCTAAAATGGGTTTTTAATATTCTGAAGTGACATTTTTAATTGTGTTTTTACATTCTAAAATGCAGCTTCAACTTTCTGAATTGTGTTTTTGACATTCTCATTACACAATTGTTGTTTGCATTCTAAAATATGCTGTGAGGTTCTTAAATGAGTCTTAACATTTTTAAACATTTTAAAATGTATTTTAACACTCTTAAATGGGTTTCTGATACATTCAAATGTGTTTCTTACATTCTAAAATGTGATTTTGGCATTCTGAAATATAATTTGACGTTTTTAAAAATGTTTAACACTCTAAAATGGGTTCTTAATATTCTGAAGTAATATATTTAATTGTGTTTTTACATTTTAAAATGTGGTTTAACATTCTAAATTGTGTTTTTGACATTCTTAAATAAGGATTTTTTACATTACATTTTTAATTGTGTTTTTACATTCTAAAATATGGCTTTAACATTCTGAATTGTTTTTTAGACATTCTTAAATATGGTTTTCTTATTATACCATTGTTTTCTCCATTCTAAAATATGCTATGAAGTTCTTTAATAAGTCTTGACATTTTAAAACATTTTAAAATGTATTTTAACACTCTTAAATGGGTTTCTGATACATTCAAATGTGTTTCTTACATTCTAAAATGTGGTTTTGGCATTTTAAAATATAATTTGACGTTTTTAAAAATGTTTAACACTCTTAAATGGGTTCTTAATATTCTGAAGTGATATTTTTAATTGTGTTTTTACGTTCTAAAATGTGGCTTTAACATTCTGAATATGGATTTCTTATTTTAGAATTGTTTTTAACATTTTTATATATGTTTTGAGGTTCTTAAATGAGTCTTTCCATTTTAAAACACTCTGGTTTATGGTACATTCAAATTTGTTTTTTACATTATAAAATATGGTTTTGACATTTGACCATTATGTTTAACACTTTAAAACGGCTTCTTAATTATCTGAAGTGACATTTTTATTTGTTCAATTGTTAAATTTAAAAATTTGCTTTTTACATTCTGAATTGTGTTTTTGACATTCCTAAATATGGATTTCTTATTATGGAATTGTTTTTAAATTTTAAACATTTTAAAATAAGTTTATAACACTTTTATACATTCTAAAATGTTTTTTTTGTTATTCTTAATTCTAATTATGTTTTAAGTAAGCCTTAATATTCTTAAACATAATTTTTAATTCAAAATTATATATTATGGTAAAATCTTAAAAATGCTTAAAATTATTTTTAGTGTATAACTGTATAATCAAAACCTTATGCAGCATAGAAATTTTAGTAGTGTTGGAAAAAAAGTGGTTGTTAATATTTTCTGCGAACTTACAAGTATGATTTTCTATGAACAGCATTGTCAGTCAGGTCAGTACGTTCAGAAGGAGCGGCGAAATGTCCAACTTTCCAACATCACATCAAAATCTGCTCGGAAATTTTGCAAATTTCACTGAAATCAGTCATTATTTCAACACAGGACACTCACTATTGAATAAGTCTTTGAGAAAATGATTCATTAACTATCACATCTAAATGCAGATGCTTCACTAAACTGAAGTGCTGGCGAACGTCCTTGACTAAGGCTTGCTAAGGTTATTCAGACATAAACAAACGAGAAAGAGGTATCTTAAGGATGGTCAACACCACCTAGCATTCGTACTGCAATGCACTGAAAAACTCGAATCAAAATACTAAGCAGTACCAAGTAAGGCATGCGCGCGCACCCAAACAGGTTAGGTACATATAAACACTATTTATCTATACTTTTTAAATCTATAATCGTTCTAGGTGACACGTCCTTTTAATTCTCTTCTTCTTCTTTAACTCTTCGCCTTAACCAACAATGCATTAAATGCTACCGGTTTAAAAAAAGATTTGTTCGACTTAAGTCACTTAAAATATTTTGTCTACGGGCTGCACTAAAACTATCACGCTGCATCCACAATATTAAGTAATAAAGGCCTAAAAATATATGTATGCAAACCCTGTATATTTTCTTTGAAAAACGATTAAGTTTGTAACTCAGTCAAACATTCGCAATGTTTAACTTGCATTATTAATGAGCCACATAAAGATATACAACTCAAACAAACATAAAGTTTCACCCACCAAATAAAACGTTTGTTTATAAATTAATTTTTAATGTGCTATAAAAAACGATGTTTGATGTTTTTGCATATTCTTGTAGCTAACTGGCTTGTTTTAAATACTACTAACTGGTGTTAGGTGTGGGCAATAACCGTAGTCCATAATTTTATTGTTTATTGTTTTATTGTGTTACTATTCTTTTTCTATAAAAAATTATGGATTACAAATTAATTTAAATATTTGTATAAAGCGACATCTACACAAAAATAGAGTAACCAAAATTGGTGAAACTGTTTAATAGTTTGAGATTGAGATAATAAAATAATTTCCCCAATTGTATGACATTTGACGACTGTCTACTAACTTAAAGCTAACTTCAGCCCGTGACTAAAACGCCATAAAATCGCAGTTTCAATGTGTATTTAAAAGATCACTTAGTGTCATGGAAACACGTAAGATAATGGGCGTTTAAAGGTGGGAAGTAGTAGAAGTAAAATATTTTTGCTGATAATAAATAAATAAACCACTTGCAGTGATTTTTCCTACAAAAATTGTGTATGTGTGTGTGTGTTCATGACTGAAATATATTTGGTTTGAAAGATTTATTTAAGATCGGGGCAAGAATTGAGTGTATTTTGCAATTAAATAATAAATTCACTTTACAGGCTGGTTCACGGCTTACAGGTTTCGTACTATGTTGTTACTTCTTATTTCATCTGACTGGTTTGGTTTTTTTTAATCCCACGTTTATTTTAGCGACAGCTAACACATGGCATATTTATTAAGCATATTGTCGCAAAACTATTAATTTTTACGCCGAATCTGTAACAACAAACGCATCATTTGGTTAATTGAGTTTTTTGTCGTAGTAATTATGATTTTAATTTTTTTTTAACGACACATTTATTGCTTATATGTGCATGCATGTAGGCGATCTACTTTATTACCTCTCTCTGTACATTTTCATTGCTTTTGTTCATTCTAAAATAATACTGCGAAGGATAAGATTAAAGCCAGTATTAAGCTGGTTTATTTCTCTATTTTGCAGATTTTATCGAAAAAAATATAGACATAACATGTCTGCAAAACAATCCAAAAATTTTAACCGGTGCATTCGCCAATTTTGCAAAACATCTTTCAAAGAAATTATTTCTTATTTCCAATAAAAAAAATATTTATTATATATAAATAGTATACTATGTATAAAGTTTTATAAACGCCATTTTAGATACAAGTTTAATTAAGCAAGGCTTGCGAGCGAGTGTTTAATCTAGAAAAGTTTATAAACCAGTTGCATACCATACTTTATCTGTTTTGCGTTCATAATGACTCCATTATTTCGGTGCTGTAATGAGATACTTTATCCCACCCAAAATTTTGATTTTATAGGTTGGCTATACTTTAAACAGCATAATACTTTGCATATTGGTTATAATATTTTTATGATTTTTCTAGTACTTACGAGACTTTTCTGGCAATTATTTTTTTTTGAACACCAAAAAAAATCATTTTTTTCTTCTTTAACATTAACAACCGCTTATTGTAAATAAGTAAATTAAGGACGGCATGGCGAATCGATTTTGATATTAACTGTCAAACCAATGACTGTGATACCAACTATCTAAAGTTTAATTCGACATAATTAAATTTAAGGTATAAAATTAATTTTTTTTATAAAAATTTTACAAAATAGATAAAATAGCATAACTTTATTTGACACTTTTTCCTAATTAATATTAAAACTAACTTCAGCCCGTGACTAAAACGCCATAAATTCACAGCTTATCAATGGTGAAATCCAAAGTTATCCATAGCTAACATTCTAACTCAATATATAATAATAATAATAATTTTTTGTAGCATATTAAATTGTCTTTTAAAATGTAAAAATAAAAAAAAATTATTTTTGTGAATATTATCAAAAACATTAACTTTTTTTAACAGATGGCGACTTGAAATTTGGCAACAATGTGTAGGCTTATGGTGGCACATTTTTTTCCAAAATTATATATCTTCTTTGATTTTTTTGTCACTTTTTTTGAAAATTCCCTTTTTGAGGCAGACAACTTAATTTTGGCAAGACAATGTATATGACATTAAAAAAAAGTTATTTTTATGGTGAAAGTAACATCTTGATTAGTTTTCAAGATATATTTTTTTTAATTAAAAAAATGTGGCCTTTTTAAATTTCCTTTTTGAGCAGCTAGTTTTCTTTAAGTACCTACTTAAGCTGTCATTGCTCGTAAATTTCATAGAATAATAAAATCCATATTGGCAGTAAAAGTTTCAGTAAATCTTTTTCCTAAATTGCGTCTGTATCTATGTTTAGTGTATACACATATTTATATTGGGTAAACTTAGCTTAAAACACCGGAAGTTTATTATTTAAAGCAACTACGTCTTTATATAACAAAGAGGTGTAGTACCTATTAAATAAAGTGACTTTCGTTCTAGTTTTATTAAATTAATCCCAATTTAAACCAAGAATTTGCTTAACTTGTTTATTAATAAACGAAATAACATATTTTTCAGCACTGTGGCCAAACAAAGAAAACCTACTTACCACCCACGTCACTTATTATACATTCAAAAATGTCTTTCAATAATAATAAATTAACTCTTTCAATGTTGTTGCTGATTATAAATTTCCAGCGAATTACAGCAGTATTTTCGCATAATTAATATAATTTTGATTGAAAAACTCTGAGCTATTTATAATTAGAAACTTTCAGATTTTCCATATAAGCGCCTACTAATTCGAAAAAATTATCTGTGTCAATTTTCTAAGCCTAACAAATGGAGAAATTCCAAATCCTACGTACATTCTTTAGTAAAGTAGAGTGTGTTTTAATTTTAACAGCAAATTCCATCCCAATATTGTTTTATTTAATAAAAAAGACAAGAGATAAAACACCCACTTTTATAATGCCGATAAAATTTGTAGAGGAAATATATAAAAAATAGCAGTACATTATTTGCCGTTAAGGATATATTATATACTAATTAATTATGAAAGTAATTCTAATTATTTTAATTATTGGATATGTCGTTTACGTTAATTCCCTAGCAATTCAATCAAAAAGCAAGTAAATATTTTTGTTATTATCGAAAATTATTATTTGTGCCCTTTTAGATGACGATACTGATAACAATGAACACAAAAGAAGGAAGAGGTACCTGGGCCTAAACAAAAGATACAAGGTAATAATTAATTAATTGTATGTCAAAAATTAATTAAGTAAGTTATTTTGTAATATACGGGGAATTTAATTATGGTAAAATTAACGTTATGTTAGTTTTTGGTTAAAAAGAAGTTAATATTTGGTAGTTCAAAGAAACAATGTTAATATTGACTTTTTATTATTAATTTATTAATATTACTAATAACTACAACTTTTTATTAATTTATTGCTCGTTAAATTGGACAAGCTGGGCCCAGATAAAAAATCGAGAAAAAACGTTTTTAATACGCATTAAAAGAAAATTTATTAAACTCACTTTTTTTAATGGGCATTTTTTAAATACAGAAAGTATATTAAAAATATTTATGTATGTATGTAAGAAAGTTGAGAAATAGAACATAGTTTTTGTTTTTACTTAGTTTTGTGGGTCGTTTTCAAAAAACTCCGGCCTTCCGCTGACCGTAATTACTTACGCGTAAGTTTGAATTCCAATAACTTTGTTAAAAATTATCGGATCTTATTGATTTAAAAACCAAGTGAAAGCCTAACAAGCCCTTAGTAAACTCATTCAGAAAATTTTTGTTTAGTTATTTCAGAATAATTTTTTTTAATTTTGAAACTTGTGAAACACACATTTTCGCATGTCCCATTAGCGTTTTATAAAACTTACATACATGTTTTTTTTTTAATATTGAATAACCAGAACTTTGTGTTGCTTTATAGCAATCTATAACATCCTTAGTTAATACAGTAAACAATTTATATATAAAATAATTAATTTTAATCTACTTTTTTTAAATTTGACTCATGTCCCAGACATTTTTTCCGTTGCGTTACGTCCGTCGCGTTACCGATAGAATATTAAAAAAAACATATATATGGCAACTTTTTTGGTACTCACGTGATCAACAAATGATGTTCGGATGTACACATTACCCAGCTGAATTTATTTATTCAATCAGGAAAAAGATATCGGTTGAAACAGGTGCGGGTAACGCGAATGTAATAATTGTTTGTCCGCTAAGTTACTCAAAAAAATAAAAAAAATAAGGTAATTGAGAGTAATTAATGACTATAATGTCTTATTAATATTTTTAAATGGTTTTACAAAACTTTGTCCACTGCGTTACCGAGTCCACTATGTTACCTTATGGTAACGCAATGGAATTTAGGGTAAGGCAATAGAATTTTTCGACAACAAAGTGGATATTTACCGTCGGTTTTATTAAAAGTAGTTTATGATTAACCAATTTAAAATTATTTGTAATTACAACTCATGATATAGATTACATCCAAGGAAAAATTCCACGCAATATAAAAGTACTAAAAGGGACCTTCACCAGCTTATAGTCAAAGAAAAAGGGTGTCTACAATTTAGAAATCTAAGTTGTTATTCTGCAAGTGAGCACCACTACAAGGGATTTTGTTTATGCATATTACTCTAAAATCGTACCACCCTATTTAGTTTCTTCTTTACGTTATCTGATTAAGTCCTTTGTGTACCCCTGTCCGTTGTGATACCAATATCTATTTCGTTACTTTTTTTAGTTTTTGTTAAAAAAAATACTTAAAATGATTTTTATACACTATCACTTGGTAATACGTGTTTATAAATTAGAGTTTAATTCACTAATACAGCTGTATATTTTCTTTTAGTCACTAGTGACTAAAAGAAAATATTAATGGTATTGTTTTTTAACAAAGAATCGGAATGGTTTCTTTTAAAAAGTAACTTAACGAACATACATATTTAAAAAAAAGCATACAATTTTTAATAAAAAATAAAATAAAAAATTGGAGTCAAAAGTTTGTGAACTAAGTACATTTTATTTCAAATTATTTTTATAACAACTTTTTTTATTGAATTAAATTTTGGATTTCAAATTGGTAACACAGTGGAGATATATAAAGCTAGCTAAACACATTTTTCTGAAAAAAAAACGTAAAAAAAATTAAAAAGTGCACTGCCTGTCTTAAATGTAAGTAAACAAAACTCTAAACATTTATAAAAATCCAATCAAAAGTCAATTTAAGCAAAAAAAATATTTTGATCTTCATTTTCCTGAAAGGGGGTTGTTTCTTGAAAATGTACCTTGTACATTTTTTTTAAATAATAAATTTATGTTCTTTTTTTAAACAAATCCTAGTGTAAATAAAACCTTAAAAGGATTATTAACAAGCAAAAAAATATATTTTCAAAATGATTAAGCATTGTTTTTTTTAATATTTTAGTAAATTTGTGGAGCATTTTTTTTCTTTTTTTAAGGGCTTATTTAAAAAAATCCAACTGCCCACTTTTAGGGGTTAAATAACACCCCTAAATAAACAAAATTTGAAAAAAAAGTTTTGTTTTTACTTTTTCTTCTTTAAATGTACAAGAATTTTGAAAATGACCCATAGACAATGGTGGCTGTTAAATAGTTTGATAAAAGTTTTTTGTTTAATTGATTTCAGTTAAACAAATTATATGAAGAATGCGTCGCACCAGGAGATAATAAAGGACATTGTAAACACTTATCGTTCTGTCCGTTGGACGTTTTAAAGAGCACTGGAAATTCCTTAGATTATTTGTGCGTTATTGAAAAAACGTAAGTACTATTTACTATTCACGATGTCTGTTTGTTTGTTTGTTTGTCCACCGTCAATTATTCGCTTTAATCGCCAAGGATTTTTCAGAAAAATCAAATAAATTAAATTGATTAAAAATCTACATATGGTTGGTACACAAATATCGGTGTTTCTTTGAGAATGTCGTTTTTTAATAGACAAATCATCGTGTTTGTTTAACCTTTCACATACTTGGCATGTTATATGTAAAAGCAAAGATCAAATATTATCTTTTTAAAAGCATATGCTTTCATTAAATCGAAAATAAGTAGCTGTGTATAAAACTACATTAACAGGTACATGCAAAATAAAACTTTCGAAGGCAAAAACTGTCCAACAAAGTTACCAACTAAAAATAACAACATCAAAACCCTTTGACCTTACGTAGCATGTTTACGTAATGAATTTCGGCCTGATAATAATAACATGGCAAATTAAATAACACATTATAAAAAACAATTTTTCTATTAAACTCGACCTCAATGATATCTCTAATCTAATGGTCAATGCTTTGAATTTCAAAATCTGTTTGTCGCGCACAAGATTAAAACCGCCAGAGGTTATTTAGAAACTACAAATTTGTTTAACTTCGCAAATTCTATTTAATGGAACTTTTTTTTTAGACATGTAGGCGTATGTTGTCCAGACGACATCGCAGTGAACAGCTATGCTGGTTCACAAATTATCATGAATCTACCTGCTGGGGGTAATGATTACGACAAAGATGATAATGTTACAGGTAAAACATAAAAAATTGGAAAAAGGTAATCCGGATTTTTTCAATTTAGATACAAGGGCATTTACAGTAAAACAGGTAATCTTTATTGCCCATGTAAAGATAATTTTCGCTAAAAAATATCAAGTTTTGATTAAATCTAAAAAATGGAAAAAGCTACTCCTGACTTTTTAAACTTTGATACAGGCACATTAAGTATGTCATAATTAACATTTATACTCAATTTTAAATACATTTTTTAAACAAAAAAAAGTTTTCAATAATATTAAAAAATTTGGGCAAAGCTAATCCTGACATTAGATATATATTGGAAGAAGCTATAGCTGATGGACTATTTTAATGATTTAAGGTTGTGGCATACCTTTGATGGGAAGATCCGAGGTGGCGACGAAGAGTACCAGCATTCAAGAATGGCCCTGGATGGCTGCCCTTTATAGGCCCAAGCAGATGATGGAAGGTTCAGAACAGCAGTTTTGTGGTGGAGCCCTAATCACCGATACTCACATATTGACGGCTGCACATTGCACTCAAGGGTATAACAAGTTTTTGATTAGATTTCACGTCATCCATAAGTCAATTGCCCAAAGGCACAGTTCAGATTAACTTTAGTTTAATAGGATTAGGTTCCTAACTCCTAAATCCTTATTAATTAAAGCTAAACTTGGCAGTTTGTCATTTGAAATTCTCCGCACTTAAACCGATCTCTCTTAATACTTTTCTTCTTCATATGTAAAACACTAATTAGAACAATAATATTTACGTGTTCATGTGTATAAAATAATGCACTTCGAAATCCAAAATTTGATTAAAATGGAAGCTTTTGTTTTAATTCACCTTCAAAATCAAATTAAATATACGCAGTAGCAGTAGTTAATTAAATTTTCAACATTTATTGTTCAAAGCCTTTAAATTATTTAACTAATGGTTATTTAGTTTGGAAACATTTTTAAAATTAATTTTTAACGAATTTTTATTTAGTTGCAACGGGTTTATAAATAATATAGTATACAGGGTGGTCCAACAAAACAGAGACACGTTAGAGGGTTTTGAAAAAAAAATATATTTTTGAAGGAATTTGGGACCAGACATTTTAAGCACTTAATAGAATAATAATAGTATATTATGTATCAAGTTTGATAAACCCCATTTTATACACGAATTTAATTTAGGGGCGAGCGAGCTTGCGAGTGTATAAAAAAGTTTATAAACGAGGTGCATACTAAACTTTTTCTACGACAAATACTTATTATTATCTAAAAATGATTTAAATCAAAAATTTGTACAGAGCGCCATCTATGAAACAATAGGGGAATCTGTGTGTCACCGCTAATGTCACATTTTTATAAACACAGATTATAAAGGTTATAAATCGAAATGTATTTCTTGAAAATTGACAGTTTTTCACAGTGAAAGTAAAGGAAATGTTTTATGAGGACTTTACAGTGAAGTCAATTTTTCTTAGTAAGCTTTTGTAATGTTTTTTCAGTTTAACCCCCAAGGATATCCGGGTGAGGTTGGGGGAATACGACTTTGCGAAGCGCAACGAGACGCGTGCCTTGGACTACGCAGTGAGTCAGATAATCGAACACGAAGAATTCGTCCTTGCCACTTATGCAAATGACATCGCTGTACTGCGTTTGGAAAAACCGACCAGCTTTAATTCGTACATTTGGCCAATTTGTTTGCCACCAAGGAGAAGGAAATACGAGAAGGAAACCGTCGTTGTGGCTGGATGGGGCCAGCAATTTTATTCTGGACCGTTGAGTCAAGTGCTATTGCAAGTTGCCATTCCGGTGTGGGAGCACAAAAAGTGTGTGGATTCTTTCATACAAACTATTACAGACGACAACATTTGCGCTGCTGGGTATGAAGGCGGAAAAGATTCCTGTTTGGTAATTTTTATTTTACATTTAAAAATATAAAATCATTTTATTTCAAACTAAAATATGCGAACAGTTTCAATCAAGGTAATTCATTCAATGTGGTAATATGATTTTATCTATTTTGCGTTCATAATGACTTTATTATAACACCGCTTTCGGTGCTGTAATGGGATACTTTATCCCACCCAAAATTTTGATTTTATAGGTTGGCTATACTTTAACCTTAAAATTTGATTTTAAGAATCTTCTATGAAGATATGACCCGGAATAATGAAATATTCTTAGAAGCTTCCCTTATTGCTAAGAATGGGACTTTTAAAACATTCAATAGATGATGCAATTAGATTCTTAAAACCTTCCTAAAAAGCATCCTAAGAACATTTTGACAAATAACTATAATATTTTGGATTGTGTTTTTTACTCCTACCTAAGACTTAGGATCATGCTATATTTCTTTTAAGCATGTTCTTTAGAAGAAATACGAGGTGTGTTCAGAAAATATCGGGAATTTTCGTTTTTTGAAACAAATATTTATTTATTCGTCTACATTAATGTTGTCGCCTTCAAAATAGTCCCCATTGGATATTATGCACATGTGCCAGCTCTTCTTCCAATACTCGAAACACTTCTAAAACTCGATCTTTGGGATAGCCTTTAGTTCTTTCAGCGATGCGCTTTTAATGTCATCTATGCTTGCCCTTTAAGGTTCTCTTTATTTTTGGGAAGTCAGATAGAGGCATGTCTGGCGAATATGGAGGCTGGGGCATCATTACAGTATTGTTTTTGGCCAAAAATTTTGTTCAAAATTTAACAATTTTAGAACAAATTTTGCTGCCACGCGTTTCATACCCAAAACATTCGAAAAAATTTCATGGGATGAGCCAATCGATATACCAACATCATCAGCGACTTCTCTGATGGTTTATAACCATTTCTTCCACGTTTTCCATGTTTTTATCGGTTGTTAATGTGCTTGTGCGTTCGTCATCTTCAACGTCTTCACGGCCATCTTGGAAACTCTTATACCACTTGTAAACTCTTGTTTTACTTATAGCAGACTCACTATAGGCCTTTGTTAACATTTCACAGAATTTATTTCATTTTTTAAGCAAAATTGGATACAAATTCTTTGATCCATTTCTTTTAACGAACGAAAAATCGCCGAGCTCATAAAACACGTCTAACCTTAGCGGCTGCCACAGACAAAGAAAACAGTTAAAGTTTTTATCATACTTCGGGGCATGTATACCAACATAAAGAAAATTTTATGACAACCGGACCCTCCAAACTCGCGAAATTTAACAATTCCCGTTATTTTCTGAACACACCTCGTATAGCATGATCCTAAGAATATTCTCACTGGAAGGATTAAAAAACATTTTGAGAATAAAGTGTGCTATCAGGGAAACAGCATAATATTTTGCATATTGGTTGTAATATTTTTTATTCTAGTACTTACGAGAGTTTTCTGGCAATAAATTTTGTTTAACGCCAAAGAAAATCCTCTTTTTATTCTTTAACATTAACAGCCGCTTATGGTAAATAAGTAAATTAGGGACGGCATGGCGAATCTATTTTAATATTAACTGTCAAACCAATGACTGTGATACCAACTATCTAAAGTAAAATTCGACCAAATTATATTTAAGGTATAAAATTAATTTTTTTTATGGAATTTTTGCAAAATAGATACAATAGCATAAAGAACTCATGTCATAAGACCTTTTGTCGTACTCGTCCATTACTATACAGGGTGTTATGTAATGAATGTTATATATTAAAATACTGAATACCTTTTGACATAAGGAATAAAGGAAAAATATTTAAAAAAACATTTTTCCAAAGATAAAGAAAAAATATGCATTAGAAGTTTTTTATATTTTTTGTGATACGCCACTGGTTACACACTTGTTTATCTCTGCACACCTGTATTTTGTGAGTACATAGATACCAACCAACAAAGTAGCTATGCGTTGCCAGATGTAAAAAATTGTTACTAAAAATTTTTCTTGCAAAAAATAAATAAAAACTCAATAAATACAAAAGTTTATGCCCTTAAAGCTCTAATACCCTTCTGTATTTATTTACTGATCCAGCTATTAGCTTAAACAATGATTAGAAAATTTAGTACCTTTGAAATTTGAAATCCATAACCACAAAATTAATTTTTTCATCAGTTTTTTTCTCTGTTTACTCAGATGAAATTGGGACCAGTTCACAGGTTAAACTTTAAACATTTAATTTGTGTAAATAAATCCAAAAGCACTTCCCTTAGTTAAGATATTTACAATTTGAAAACATAACCTAAAATTTAAAAGAAATGCACTAGATTCTGTCATAAAAGTTGGCAGATTTTGTTTGAATTTACCTTCAGCACAAAAATGAAATAACTAACAATTAATAAAAACGCCAAATTGACAATTTGCATTGTTAATTTTGTCATTTTTGTAATTAAGCTAAATTTAAACAATGTTTGTCAACTTTTTTGAGAGATTTTGGAAAACCTGTGGTTACCAACCATAACATAATAAATCCACCAGATTAACCTAAAGTTCCTAGTCGATCAGTGGCGTACTTTTTGGTAGGATAAAGGTTATTATAAATTATTTTTAGACTTTGGAATTTAGAAAAAAAAAGTTTCAGGTGCTTCTTTATGGACCCTAAGGAACAACCCATTTTAATATATAACATTAATTACATAACACCCTGTATATCTACTAATTATCCGCGAGCGACAAAATGACGTCTTATGACATTAGTTCTATATACTAATTCAACAACCACAAAGAATTTAAACTCAATTTAATTTTATCTTACGTCTGACAGCTGTCAATTAGTTTTTAATTTAACTTAAAGCTAACTTCAGCCGTGTGGGAAAGGCTACATTACTCTTAAAACGATGTGTATCCCATTTTTAGGGTGACTCAGGAGGTCCGTTGATGTACCAACTAGAAAATGGTAGATGGGTGACAATTGGAGTAGTATCATGGGGAGTTGGTTGCGGCAATAAGGAGAGTCCTGGCATTTACACCAAAGTGAGCAACTACTTACCTTGGATTATTAAAAATACTATAGCTAAATAAATTGTATGATACCATGTAAAAATAGGAAAAGGAAATAATATATTCGCGTGTTTTGATTGCGCTTCGTATTAATTTCCACCACAAGTATCGTTGACTGGTGACCTTGAAACCCCGTGATTAGATTCGATTTCGAATTGCTTCTGGGGAAAAAATTGATTTCAGAGACAAGTCAATTTCCCCACAATGATGAATAATCATTTAACAGGGATTTAAAAGGAAATTTCTCCGATTTCTTATCCAAAACCACTTGGAATATAATTTAAATCTGTTTGTTTTTGTCATGTAAGAAATATTCTTTTAACACAAATTGATAGAAATTATTTATAGAATGTTGTTCAAAACTAATCGAATATAACACCCTATTAAGCAGAAATAGGAGTATGCAATATTATTAGTATATTATGTATCAAGTTTTATAAACGCCATGGTGCATACTATACTTTTTCTACGACAAATACTTAATACTCGTATTATTATCTTAAAATGATTTAAATCAAAAATTTCTATAGAGCGCCATCTATGAAACAATAGGGGAATCTGTGTGTCACCGTCAAATGTCAAATTTTTATATTTTATAAACATAGATTATAAAGGTTATAAATCGAAATGTATTTCTTGAAAATTGACAGTTTTTCACAGTGAAATTAAAGAAAATGTGTTATGAGCACTTTACATTGGAGTCCATGCCCAAATTTAAGTTATAGTATACTGCCGACTGCTGTCAGTACAATGTTCATATAAACTTTTCAAATATTGGCGTTGAGAAACTATTTAATACTTTTGTATTTTTGTATTGAGTATTATTTTACAAGAAAGGCACTTTATTTTAACGATTGTATGACATTTGACAACTGTCAACTTACTTAAAACTAACTTCAGCCCGTGAATAAAAACCTGTTGCTAACTTCAGCCCGTGATTAAAGCGCCATAAAGCCACAACTTGTCAATGTGTATTTAAAAGGTCACTTAGTGTCAAGGAAACATGTACGATAAAGGGCGTTTTAAAGGTGGGAGTAGAAGAAATTATATTTTAATATTATAAGCCTAGACTTTATATTTGCAAGCAAAATTTAAATTATTTTTTCTACGACCACTATGTAAAAGTCACATTTCGTAATGGCATCGTTGCTTAGAAAATGAATCTTTTCATTGGCAAGGCAAAACACGAATGTAAAGTAAATTGACAGCATCGTTTGACATACGTTTCAAAATTTGTATTGTATTTGTATATGGATGTCTAAATATCATTTATTTATCAATTAATTGTGTTTGTATAATAAATTCCAATTTTAAGTAAGTTTATTGATTTTAAGTAACTTATAGCTTAAAAATTAAAAGAATAAGATGAAAGTAATTTTAACAGCTGTCAAACACGTTTTTAAGTTATTTTGCTTTGTATTTGAATATAATAAAAAAACAAGCCTGTAAAACTTTACAAAAGTGTAGGTAACTGTAAAATTACAGTTCACTGTAGAATAAATTTATGCACAAAATTTATAACGTCAACATTATCTACCAATGAAAAAATGTCGCAAACTCCAATATGACTACTGAATTATTAAACGCCTAAAAATAGTATATACATTGTATATTATACAACACGGCCGAGAAAGCGTCTGAAAATCGTCATTTTGATTTTTTCAAGAAGAATTATTTTCTTTATTTAATTTCTCCAAAATTAAATATTTTTATGCATATAATTAGTTTTTTTTAATTGTGACGTAATATAGAGCGGTGGCCATTTGCTACAGGGGGGATGGGGATCAAAAATTCCCTAAGAAAGCGTGACGTCATTATTTATACTGTTAGATAGGTAACTATTTTATTTAATGATAATAAATTATTATTAAGATTTTTTTAATTACCACATATAAAGCCGTATGTTTTTGCAAAAATGGCGAATGCTTCGGGATTAATACGCACATTCGCTGAATAAAAATGCATGCTAGTTTCACTTACCTTTTATGTGTATTTATGGGAGATGACACCATATGAATTGACTTTGAAAAATAAAACAACTTTTGATATGCACACTTTATTGTGTATATCATACATAAAATTTGGGTTTTCTAGCCTACTCACTTAATATAGCTATAATATATATAGAAATAAATAAAAATATTTGTTTAATTATATATACAGGGTGAGGGATATATATTTAAAAAAATCAATCACCGAAACTGTATTTACGTTAAGCAATAACAATTATAATCTCTTAAAATTTCAACAAACTATTTTATACATAGAATAATCTCTTTTACTAATTTATAACACAAACTGCAATAACTTAAGAAAATTATTTTTCAATGGTATAACCCTGTATAAAATAAACAAGTAAAATAATTGACCCATTAAAATATAAAATAACAAAAATATCACCCTGTGCTCCATTAAAAACAGTCTCTTTGTATAAGACCTACATTTTTTAAATACAGTACATTTATTTTACATACAACATATGTAGTAGTCAAGCATGGATAGATACTAATTATATACCGTATTTTCATTTTAGCAGCATTCAGTTTTTAAGAATAAATTTACTTTGAAAAATGATTCAGATTCTTAAAATGTTACCTAGTCACCTTAACCAGTACAAATGCAAACGCAAATGATGCTTGAAGTTAAATACCCCCACTCTCTTTCTAGGCGTTCGGATGCAGAGGACACTGTATACGTGAAAATACGGTAATACTTTTAGTTAAACGTAATATTGGTAACACAGAAACCTAATACTGAAGAATTCAATGGTCCACAGTAGAAATGGTCAGAGGATCACATAGATAGGCATACATCAATCAAAAATCAATTACTTTAGTTAATCGATTTCTTTTAGTATATTGGGAAGCAGCTTGTACTCTATTTCCTATTACACTTATATTTTTGATGACAAATATTTGAGATGGGAATAAAATTTGATTCGGAAACACATTTGGTGATATATTTCGAGACATGTTTCTCCAACCAAATGTTATTCTGTGTACAGAATAGTTTGATATATAGTATGTATTAATTACCCTGTACAGAATGCCAATTTTCCAGCCAGCCTAAATCCTATCAAATCGATGTTTTTGTACATTGAAATCACCAATCTGAAGCGTAGTCGATAGTAGCAAACATGCTGTACACGAGCACAAAAAGGATCAGGTCGTTTTAATCTCAAATAATTCAGTGGTCAGACGTAATGGAGAGCAAGGGTACCTCAGTTTCATCGAGCGTTTGAATGGTTATGTTCCTTGCTGACTTACCCGAACTTTTTTTGGGCGATGGAAGAGGCGTAGCGATGAACTTCTTCTTTTGAGGCGCCTCCAGAATTGCTTCCGGAAGGTTTTCGCCGTTCAACCAATAAGTTGTCATCTTACCTTTTCCCTGAAAAATGGGGATTGTATTGATGGGATGGTTCTTGATGTGATGTGGTGGAATGAGATAGAACCTATTTAGCCACACTTACATAAGTTCAGTCTTTTACCTATATAGCTCGTTTGGAAAATACCAAAATAAGATACTGGTGTCTTGTCAAGTTGTCAATACCTAGAAGATAAAAGACTTCAAACTTCTGCACTGAAAAGTTGGTAGTTTTCCTGCACACGCAAGAACTTTGAAGTCTTTTATCTTCAGTGTAAATCGAGTTTTGTAATATTTCTTTAACAATTTCATTTAGCTTGTCGTTGACATCATTTAAGTGTGGCTAAATTGTTTTATATTGTAACATTTGGACTTACTTTCATTTCAATCTCGCCCCTGCATTCTAAGATGAAAGAGCCAAAAGTATCCAAAACCGCTTTGGTGATAGGACTGACGTGGATTCTGAGAGGAAGTCCATTGGACTCCATACGCGAAGCAGTATTAACCGTGTCGCCGAAAAGACAATATCTGGGCATTTTGAGACCCACCACCCCGGCAACACAGGGCCCCGTATGAATTCCGATTCGCAACTGCAAGGGATCAGTCGGTCTGTGGCGGATTTGAAAGTGTTTTACTGCCTTTAGCAATGCTAGCGACATTCTAGCTATTTCTCTGGCATGAATATTACCATTTCTTTCGGGTAGACCTGACACGACCATATAGGCGTCTCCGATTGTCTCGACCTTTAACGGAAAACGGAAAAAACATGTACACGTCAGCAACAATACTAATTATTAGGCCTCTATTGATTTTGTTTCTTTTAGTGACACAATTGACCTTAATATTTCAAGACGTATTGAAATTTTGATTCGTTTGTTATCATTAGAGATTTATTGAACAAGATTTTTATGATTTAAAACATTTGAAAATAACTATATCTTGTAAAAATATTACAATACCATTATAAGTTTTTAATGTGGTGGCACAAGGTTTTTGTTAATAAACATACGAGGTGTGTTCAGAAAATATCGGGAATTTTCGTTTTTCGAAACAAATATTTATTTATTCGTCTACATTAATGTTGTCGCCTTCAAAATAGTCCCCATTGGATATTATGCACATGTGCCAGCTCTTCTTCCAATACTCGAAACACTTCTAAAACTCGATCTTTGGAATAACCTTTAGTTCTTTCAGCGATGCGCTTTTAATGCCATCTATGGTTGCAAAACGACGGCCCTTTAAGGTTCTCTTTATTTTTGGGAATAGGAAAAAGTCAGACAGAGGCATGTCTGGCGAATATGGAGGCTGGGGCATCATTACAGTATTGTTTTTTGGCCAAAAATGTTGTTCAAAATTTAAAAATTTTAGAACGCGTTTCATACACAAAACATTCTAAAAAATTTCATGGGGTGAGCCAATCGACATACCAACATCATCAGCGACTTCTCTGATGGTTTATAACCATTTCTTCCACTTTTTCCATGTTTTTATTGGTTGTTAATGTGCTTGTGCGTTCGGGGCGTTCGTCATCTTCAACGTCTTCACGGCCATCTTGGAAACTCTTATACCACTTGTAAACTCTTGTTTTATTTATAGCTGACTCACTATAGGCCTTTGTTAACATTTCACAGAATTTATTACATTTTTTAAGCAAAATTGGATACAAATTCTTTGATCCATTTCTTTTAACGAACGAAAAATCGCCGAGGTCATAAAACACGTCTAACCTTAGCGACAAAGTAAACAATGAAAACAGCTAAAGTTTTTATCATACTTCGGGGGCATGTATACCAACATAATAAAGAAAATTTTATGACAACCGGACCCTCTGAACCCGCGAAATTTAACAATTCCCGTTATTTTCTGAACACACCTCGTACACTGGTTTAGCTGGTAAAATGTAAAAATTAGGTGCATTTCTCTTGAAAATGAAAATTTAGGTAAAATATTTAAAATAAAATCAGGCTCAAATGAAATCATTTTTTTTTAAACGGATTTTATTCTATTGAACCTAAAGTTATGATTAGCGTAGACAAATAGGTGTTAACACTAAATTCCCATCATAGTGCTGGACGCATCATTAATCTTCAAAAAATATTTTACTGCAAAAAATTTGTAGGTAATAATTAAAATTAATGAGGCAGTATTTTAATTAAGCCATGCTTTGTTGCAAACGTTTGTATGTATTTTGTAAAAACAAATTAATAATGAAGTTAATTATTGCCTTTTTTACTTAATCTGAAAAGAAATTTACTTTTAATAAAACGCTATTATAAGGCGACTGGTCGTTTATAATGAAAAATAAATTTGTACAACGCTTTAGTCTTTTTATTGGTAAAAAAATAATGTTACATGGAATATATGCAAAATGGGGTTTGACTTTATAATGCAAATTTTTTTGGCTAAATTGTCAGAAAATTAAATTTGAATAATTCACAAACTTCTTTGCATTTAATATTAACTCCGTTTGGCCCCAATTTCTGATTTATAAAAGAGGCCAATTCGATATCAATTTTATATACTGCACAATATAAAGAAGGACTTGATTTGATATACCTCTTACTAAAATTTGAAATTTTATTTTAAATTTGGTTGGCTAAACAAAAAAAAAATTCGTTAAAATATGAACGAAGAACCTTGTTAAAAACCATTTCAGTAGTTTGAAACTTGTTGTAACAATTAATAAACAAAATCTACACAAATTTGAGTGTTTGAGTTTATACGAGCAGGTAATTCAGCTTCACCAATTTTATTGCATAACTGGGTTAGTCATTAATCGATAATTTTTCCGCTGGATCAAGTTTGTTTCGTTGTTTTAAAACTTTCATTAACGAAACCATAGCAAAAATTTAACTTCTACTTAAACAAGGGTCAACTTAAAAACAATTGCAAGTATCACAATTCATAAAGTTTATTCATTAATTAGGGAATTTATTTATGTGAAATAAGATTTAAAAAAATCTCATCTCAGATACCCGAATACAACTAAATCCAGAAGATATCAGAAAGATATACTGTACTTTAATTTTACATGTAGACGGTTTTTAAGAGTGGGGGGATAATTTTTAAGAGTGAAAGATGCCAAGATACAGTTTTCGTAATTCAGCAGTAGATCCTTCACCGGCGTTGGGTGATAATTGAAGTTTTCTCTGGATTATTAATACGAGTTACACATTATTAAGTTAATTTACTTTTTTTCAGATACTTAAAATGTAACGTAATCAGTTTTAACAGTAAATTATTAATTAAAGGTGTAAAATGATTATTTGTTTTACATTTAACTAAAAGTGTTCTTATAAAAAACGTTTAAACATAATATATTCTCTTTAAAAACCTTCACCGCGCCAGAGTTTTTGTTTTGAGTGCGTTCCACCAACTTCAAATACCGACAGACAGCTGTTTCGACCTATATTGGGTCTCATCAGTTTCGGGCAACTTCGTGTAGTGGAACGCACCCAACACAAAACACTACCTGAGCTTATATACTACTCAAGTAAGCTAACAGAGGCGAGATTTAAGAACATCACGTGATCCACACTGTCTAAAGAGTAAATATTTCCAGTCAAGTTAAGAAAGTTTCTTAAAGAAACTAAGAAAGTTGAATGTTTAAAATAAAAAAATAAAATATTTCTCTTGAAAACAAAACTAAAAATCAAACTTCTTAAAATAAATGTAAATAATTTAATTAAATACAACCATTAGTTTTAAACCTTTGGATAACGTTTGTTATTGTTCTAATTGACGGAATAGAATGATCCGGATATTTAAGTGTTTGACGTAGAGAATTGCCCAACAAAGACTAGCTTATCATGTCAATTTTCCCTTGCAATGTGTAAAATATTATAACTTTAATTAATTTATGTTAAAATACTCAAAATACACACTAGCAAATGCAAAACATAACTAAATCGTCGCCTACGGCAATCCGCTTACAATGCATTTGGGGAGGGGCATCTGGGGAGGGGAGTTCGGGTTCACTCGGGTTTACTCGAGTTTATATATTTTAAATAAAATTACGGTTTATTGTAGCCCTATCTACTTTTGACTTTTTGTGACGCTGCGCGCGAATGGTTTTAAAATAAAAAAAAAACTAACCTTGTAAACATGGAAATTCTCGATGATGGAATCAAAACAGGTGTACAAATCGTTGAGTAGATCAACGACTTGTAACGGAGTACTTTCGGCTGAGAGGGCGGTGAAGCCGACAATGTCGCTGAAATAAATGGTGACTTGATCGAAAGATTCGGCCACCACCGATTCGCCGGATATCAATTGTCTCGCGACCGTCTTCGGCAAAAGTTGATAGAGCAACTCCTCGCACTTTCTTTTTTCCTCGAAATAGTCGGCTGTGCGTTCTTCAACGAGAGTTTCCAAATTATTGGCGTATTGTTCCATACGTGCCAGAAGGTTGTCCAACAGATTTCCACTGGAAAAAAGATGAAAAAAAAAATAATCAGAGGAAAGTCAACACTGCTAGGTTTTCATCTAATTGTTTTGTGGTTTCCTTTATTACTTTTATAACAGATAAACTTTTAGTAACTATTTTATTTTACAAAGTATATTACATACATACAGGGTGTCACCTAATAAATTGTTATCCTGGGCGGATGCTGGTACACGCCAAAACAAGAAAGTCGCTGACCTATCCTATATATCATTATTGTTTTTACCTGTAAAAACAATGATATTATTTACCCAAGCAAAAAGAAACAGGTGGGCGACATTCAATTAAAACTTTTAAACTTATAGTTACAGTAAAGTTTATACAACGTTATAGATAATCAACAAGCTGGGAATATGACCCGGACATTGAGGACGAACAGGAAGTACTTTAAAACCAGTAAGGATATCGTAGCAACATATTAACCAATCAAGTCTCCATTCGTTAACCCCAAATGAATGAGGTTATTACTAAAACCCTGGTTGTGGAGGAGTCCGGATTGTACTTAGTTTTGGGTCAGTTCAAGGCCCTCAAAAACCATATTATCCATCCTTGTCCTACACTCCACTAGCCTAAATCGGGCGTATGATCGGCCCGGCGACAAAATTCCAAAATAGATACATGAGCATTAATCGACGTAAAAATTGAAAGGTGAAATTTAAAATCGACGGGAAAACCACTGAAACCTCGATATACCTAAGGTTAGCAACAATGGCCCAAAAGTTCTACTTTGCTTATAAAAATGTGTTTACCATCATCTCCTTAAAGGATGACAACCCAATTGGTGACACTCTGTATAAAGCATTAGTAGCAGTAGTAAAGATTTATAAAAAAATATCTTAATGCATGTTTTATCGTGACACACCATTAGCTTTGTTACATTCTGTACATTTAATATTGTTATCGCAAAAACAATTTAATGAATAGATAAAACCGCCATTATGTCTTATTTTATTTATCTGCAGACAAATTTTACATATTTGAATTGGGCTATAAATCCATCGGCATCTATTAGACAATAATTTATTGCATATAGAAAAATTTTACGCATTTTTTATGGGTCCACCGTAAAAAAGGAAAGTTCATATAATTTTTGTATCGCTAAAAATATGCCCTTTTTTGCTTCTATATTTATTTTTAAAATTTTACCGAAGGAATATATTTAAAAAACATCCGCAAAAAAAGAAATTTTTAAGTAATGTATTTTCCTCGTGAAATTTAATGACATTTTGTATATTTATTTAAATAAATGATAAACAAGCATTTTTTTCATAAAATATGGGAAATTTTAGTAAATACTATTTATTTTTCCTTGCATTTGAACAAAAAATATTTTGAGGAAAATATAGCAAATAAACATTAAATTGTAAATAATTATATACTAATACGACTTGAAAAAAACTTATAGGGTAATATTTTTAATCGTCTTAGAAGAAATTATTTGGAATTTATAATATCGCGAAAATTTACTTTAAAATCGATTCTAGCAAAATAAAAACCACATTTCACACAATGCGTTTATAAAACAATTTTTCCTGCTGAATTTTTCTAGAAACCGTAATTTATCCCTTGAAAAAATTAAATATCTCCTGCAGCTAAAATTCTTTTATGCGTTAACTTCGGTCAATAACCTTGGCATAATGCTGTCGGATCGATTTGGCTACATACAAAAGTTCTTTCCCTAAAATTTGTCATCGCATATATACATATACAATAAATCAGTGCATAATCAGTTTAATAAATTATTAATTTCATCAGGCTTCATTTATATTGATTTTTATCTAGATTGCACTTTACCATCAATTTCTACAATACCCTGTATAATGTGAGTTCCCAGTAATTAAACTTTGATGATGAGATAATTATTCGTGCGTATTTTCCGCTTAATTTAGCTCTAATAAACTTTCTTTTAGACACATTACATATTACGTGTATTTTTGTTAGATGTGACCTAAATATTTCAATTACATTTTTTATAGGGGGTGTCTCTTAAAATTTGCGACTATAAAAACAATAAACCATCTTCATCACTGTGATTGGTTTGTTGCTTTCTATAGAAAGAAATTTTAAGCAACAATTAAATATTGAAAAAATTGCTTTTTCACCAAAGGTATGTATTTAACTATGGTTTTGCGTAAAAATCGAACAAATTTTGGACATTTGTTGAATATATTTTTTTAACCTTGTTTCTACATCTAAATGGTGCCATTTAAAAAAAAATATTTCATCCAGTAACCGCTGTGATTTTCAGGCCTTAATTAATTTCGATATTTTGTAATAACATTTTTATTTAAAAACGTATCGATTTGAAATTAAGGGTTAAAAAGTCGAAGAAGCAACTTGTTTTATAATTTTGAGTATATCACGTTAAAGTACTGATAATTAACTATTACTTGATATACAAACTTCTTTGCATGTAAATAATGTTTCTACGAGAGACATCATTTTTAAGTTAGGCCTTCAAAGGGCATAATACTAACGTGTTTTACAAAGTATGTATTCATTTATCTAGTTTTATAAGATAATGTATTATATATTACCTATTATTATACATGATATTTTTTCGCTTTTTTGTAATTAGTTATTTTGCATTTTTTTATATTTAATATAATGCTATACAGGGTGTTTCTGGAGAAACGCAAACGATATGGATTTGAAATTTTAATAGCATATACAATTTGATTTAGACTATACCTAATGTGAATAGTTTTCAAAATATTAATTTTTTTCGTTAAAATTTTGCTAAATACACGTTAATCAAAAATAGCCTCTAATTTTTTTGTTATTATGTTTGCTGACATGGGGTTGGAATTTTTGTAATATTAAAACATTGTTTAAATAATTTAATTTTTTTAACAAAAAGCTTGAGAAAAACCACTTGAAATTGGGCAAACTTTAAGCAATAATAACGTTTTTATTATAAATGTAAAACCGTGTAGTGTATGTTTTAACATAATCAAATAGAAAATTAAAGAATCTTTCGATTGGTATTTTTCAGAGACATTTAACAATTTCTAATATTTTCAATACTATTTTGCATCAACTAACCTGTGAAATTCTACATGTGGGTTAATGTGTATCCATGGTTACCACTTATTTTGTCATTGTTTAAAATGAATTAAAATATTTGATTGAAACTTGAAAAATATTGACTTTAGCCATATAGCCATTTTACTCAGAATTTTATGTAGAATTCGAAAATGTAAAAATATATGAGCTGTCCTGTTTAAAATAATAATACAAAAAGTTAAAGACATTTCCGGTAAAACTGTAAACAGTATTATTAAATAATTTAGGAAAAAAGTCTAAATCGAATAATTTACGCAATTAAAATTTTTAAATCGATGTCTTTCGCGATTCCCTAGAAACTTATAACGGACTACGTACGTAAAACACCCTGTATATTAAACGTAATGTATGTGTTATGCTATACCTAATTATTAATAAAAGATACAACAATATTTGTATAAAAATGACAAAATGTACTAAACTAAACATTTATGAATAATGCTGCTGCTAATTCAAAACTGATCCTGGCAACAGAAACATCATTTGCATAAAGAAGTCAAATAGTCAAATATCAATACTTTAACGTTCCGCGAAACCGTAGTTAAAATATATGAAAATGTCAATTATTTGTTAATTTGTTGTCCCTACATAACATTGTAAATAATTTTCGTGTTTAAATTGACATTTTTTATTTAAATGGAAATATTTCATTCTTGGGCATAATATAATATAAAAGATATTTTAAGATCATTATTATTATAACAGGATTTCAGTATTTAAATATGATAATTAACTTCATAAAATTTATTGCGGTGTTACTTATCAAATCAGTTTTTTTAATATAACCTCTACTATGGTAGTCTTGGAAAGGCGATATTTTGCGAACAGTCGCTTACTACCAAAACACATATTCACACATAATTATAATTGTTTGAGTGTCGTAGAGACGGGGGTTGCTTTAAGCTTATTGTCCCATACATACTTTGAGGTTAGGTTTTTATAACATTTGATGCAATTTTTCGATTACCCAGTTCGGCTACCATTAAAAAGGTGTACCTCTCAAACTTCGATAAAATAAACCATTTCCGAGATATTCGAGATACAATAATTATTATATCGCATTATTTAAAAGGATTAAAAGGTATATGATAACAAATTTAATTTTTTAATTGAAAAAACTAAAAAGGGCATTCCATGAGCCTCGGGACTTTTTGCCCTGACCGTCACATTAAAAAAAATGTAGTTTTTTCCAATTAAAAAAATTGTTATCATATACCTTTTAATCCTTTAATGCGATATAACAATTATTGTAATCTCGAATATCTCGGAAACGGTTTATTTTATCGATGTTTGAGAGGTACACCTTTTTAATAGTAGCCGAACTGAGTAATCGAAAAATTGCATCAAATGGTATAAAAACCTAACCTCAAAGTTTGTATGGGACAATAAGCTTAAGCAACCCCTGTTTCTACGACACTGTGTTCACTCGAACAATTGTAATTATGTGTGAATATGTGTTTTGGCAGTAAGTGACTGTTCGCAAAATATCACCTTTCCAAGTCTACCATAGTAGAAGTTATATTAAAAAAACTGATATGATAAGTACACTTTATCACCCTGTATCTTTTAAACATACGTAATTAGGAAAAATATTTATTTAAATTTTCGTCTTATTTTGACTTGCTTAATCTGCTCCTAAATTTAGGCCACTAAGTTTAGGGACACCTTGTGTATAAAAAACAAACGTTTTCTTGTTTTGTCCCGCCCCGTCCTATAACCGTTCTGTTCCAAGACCTTAGACCCCAAATTTCATCAAAACTCGTACTTTCAAAAATGGCGAATGCACCGGGATAAATTATAACCGCATTTTGTGTTTCAATTTAGGAACGGAATTTAAATAAAAATTCTTAGCGGTTATCCATATCATTATTGGTCTGGGCGTTGACGAATCAGGACATTATATATGAAAGGGAGACATCTTGCTTTTTACTTGCAAATCGTCAAAATTTATTCGTTATATAGCGTTGACGTAATGAAAAAAAACTTACTCGTTTAAGTCTTTGAGCTTTGTTTTAAGCTGCGTAAAATCTGGGCGGTCGGCTGAATCTTCGGCCCAACATTTGTTCATCATTTGGGCCACTTCGTCCTCGCAAATTGCTTCGGTAGAAACAGGACGAAACGGCTGACCATTGTTAGCGTCTGGACCTTTTTTTACCGTTTCGATGATTTCTAAAAAAAAAATATTCTTGAGAAAATACCCTGTAAAATAGTGGGTTTATTGTATACTGTATAATGTATGTTTTCCCTGGGAAAAAAAAAGAAAAAAGGAAAAAGCAATTTGTCAGGATGTACATGACGACATGTGTTATAAAGGAAGGCCCGTGCAGTTTAATAGAATTTGAAATGTAAAAGATTTTTGAATACGTCAGTCAGATGGTGAGTTTCAAAATTAATTAGGCCATCAAATTCGAAGCAAATGATCTGATCGATGAAATAATATTGTTTATTGGCAGTTAATATTTGATGATGCTGGCGTTTAATTTAAACAATAAATTATGTCAAATTATAATGCAACGTGCAATATAATACTTATATTTATAACAGGCAAACCCGGAAATATATCTTTGTAAGTACTAAAAATATCGTCATTTCAGTTACGCGTCAGAACATCTATATTACAATATGGCAGACTTTCTTGATGAAAACAATTTTCTAGATTGGTATACAATAAGAAAACAACGAATAGGTCAAAGGTGAATGGTAAATGGTGTAATACATTAACTTTAACAATAAAATAAATTTAAGAATACACAAAAAGATTATAAGATTGTGGGGAAAGTAAAAACAACATTTCGGCAGACCCGGATGAAATACAAGACCATCAGGGATGTCCAAGCAATGTACTAATAACCCAAGCCTCATTCATGAATCCCAATTGAATGGGGTCATTACTAAAACCCTGGTTGAGGGGGAGTCCGGATTGTACTTAGTTTTGGGTCAGTTCAAGACCCCCAAAAACCAACTTTTGCCCCTCCTACTCTCACACTCCACTAGCCCAAATCGGGCGTATGGTCGGCCCGGCGACAAAATTCCGGGAATGGCCTTAACCATCGACACTGTCATCTACGACCTTCTAGAGAAGATTACACAGGTAACGCTGTGCAGTGGGATACGTAGGAGACGGAAAGGGGGTAAAATAACCCTGGAAGATCAGTGTAACGTGTGGTTGATGGGGCCTGCCATACCTTCTTATACTCATACTCAAAACAATTTTCTAGATTGGTAGGTTTTGTCTATTGGATGTATTGTATGTTTTAACTGTCTATAATTTATATGATATACTACTGTGATATGATCTACATGTATTATGTATGTAATTTTAAAGATCAAAGTATTATTATTATAGAAAAAGATCTCCATAGAAAGCTCTAAACAAATGAGAGCAATTTTGCCCTTATAATTAGATTTATATATAATATTTTTGCAGTATCATAAATTATCCAGAATTGGTGATCTAATAATTTTCTGGCAAGATTCCACTCCCCATTAATTACTTTTTCCACTACGCTCCTCAGTAATATTTAATGGAAAGTTTATTTTCAAGTCAAGCAAAGCAAATTCCATCAAGTTTAGTAAGATTAGGTCTGTGCTATGCAAGCATAAATTAAAGAACAACCCTCTAAAGCCTGTAAAGCCTTTAAATACCCAAACCTGGTCACGTAAAGATACACGTGTTTTCTATTTCTCACTGATAAAGGAAAATTGATATAAATATCAACCCATTTGCTATTTAAAGCTTCCATAATTTAAAATAATTAGGCTTCCAATTCGAATAAATTTATTTTTGTTTACTCAGGACGTGCATATTATACATATTATATAAATATATCTATATATGCATGAAATTCAGTTTTAATTAATTGAATGAACATATGAAAATATGAAAATTATTAAACAATAGAAGTAAATTTAGTTCAGGCAAATTGTTGCTAAAAACATATTTATCCCGGCGCATTCGCCATTTTTGCAAATTTTCGAACGGAATAATTTTATTTCCTATCCAGAAATAGTAGGTGTTTCAGTGGAATTAATTTAAAAGGCTTATTGAATATGGTAATTTTGATTTTTTGAATGATTTTATCATATATTTGATAATAACTAACTAATGAATTTCCTAAAATTGAAGTAAAAAATGCAATTATGACATAAATTTAACTTCGACTTTGAATAACTTTTAAACTCGTTGGTTTATCGAAAAATGATAGCAGAGTTTTTCTTTAATTTGATTAAAATATGATTGGAATTTTTTTAACAAAAAATCATGTGATATTTAGCCTAAATATTTTAGTTACGCTGTAAAATGTTAAGGTATTAAATCGATCATGTCCCTTAAACGGTAAATAATTTGGATCAAAATCGATACCAACCAAATTGTCATAATTTAATAATAAATCTTGTGAATTTTAAAACGCAATACACTTTAAAGCTTTCCCAAGCAAATTTGACTTTCAAATGAAAATTTTGTAAAGCTGGCAATTTTATGTCATGCATTATATTAGAGGAGAAAAATGAGTAAATTATAACGAGGTTTTATTTATTTTTTATTTTTATGGGTTTTCATTTTTTCGACCAGGCTATTGATAAAATTTTATATGACCGTAAATCTATATAAAACATGATCCGGAAATCCGGAAAACATATCTGTATTATAATGAATTCAACTTTTGAGGTAGTACATTTTCAAACAAACAAAAAATATGCATGGAGTTTAATTAAAAACAGAGAACATTTTAAAATTAAAACATGCGTAAAGGAAATAATCCATTTAAACCTAGCAATTCTAAATCTAAGTCAGGTTTATATGCGATATAAAATTTTATCATACCATCAAAATTTTTCGTTTGACTTTTTACGTTAAGCAGCTGGTTAATTTTAAGCATGGTTTTTTAAATTAACTTTATTGCCGTTTTAAATCCATTTTGTTTTAATTTGGAACTCGGTAACGACAATCGTCCAATTTGTAAGCTAGGGAAATTTACTACGTAATTGGTCACAAATCAACCTGATACCCTTATTCCACCTTACAGGGTGTTCCCTGTATTTAAACTTTAACACAACATGTGACATTTGATTTTCAATTTTATATTATACACACAAAGAAACTTATATGGAGTATTATACTTTGTAAAAATAATGAAAAAATTATCAACACAAATTTTACTTGAATAAGCACAAACGCCACGATTAGTAATAGCATTCAACCAAATTCAAGAAGCAAAAATGGCGTAGGATGTCAAATTTCAAAATCCTACATTAATGTTGTTTCTATTGCACTAAAATAAGATAAATAATTATATCTTACTATGAAGTGGCTGATTATGGGATATAATTTCGATTTTGACTTTTCAAAATTCACTATTTTATCAAAAAAATAAGCGGTGGTATCAGGCATTTATAAGATGTCTTTAAAACATAAAGATATCTTTAAGACGTCTTTCAGACGTCTTTTTAAGATCTTCAGATGTTCAGGCATAATACAGGCATACAAAAGACATCTTCAAGACGTTGTGTGCTGTCTGGGTACTTTATTATTATGTTTACAATAAAATATATTTGCGTGATAACTACTTTACCTGCAAATTCCAAACAATAATTATAAATACCTCAAACCTCAACACCTAATCTATTCTCAGTATTATCGGTTTAATTACCAAACTTGACGCAAATTTAATTAACGAAACCATAGCTTAAAAATCATACACACACAAGGATTTATAATGCATATTGCCTTCTCTAAAGCTTTACACTTTACCCCAATATCAATTTAAGCACCCTCAAGATAAACCTTCAAAAGATATTAACCAAAGGGAGTAGGAGGAGTAGGTAAACATGCTCTAGATCAGTAGTTTAAATTTTAAAACCTAGTTGACACTTAAAATATATGGGAAGAAAACTCGATATCTCTCTGCCACATCGACAAAAAGTTTAATGGATATTTTTTTTTACCAAGGCACCATAAAACTGCAGCGAAAATATTCACCAGCAGGGTTTTGAAAACTTTAGTTAAAACAAGACTTTTCTACAGACAATGATATCTATAGAAGGGAATAGACCAATCAGGGCACAGCATTTTCCACAGCACACTAAAACTTTAGAAATCATTAAATCTTTAAAATATTTGCATTTATTGTAAAATCGCCATACTCAATTGAGTAACATAATATACGAAATAATGCCTTAAAAGTTTGTCGAGAAAACGGCGTAGTTTTTACTAGAAATGCAAGCATAATATTATTGATATAAAAATGATTGTATTTTTTTACGTTCTGTTCTGACATATCATTTGCTTGTGTGTGTAACATGCCAACTTTATGAAGCAGTAACAAAGATCTAGATAAGAAAACGGCTGGCCAGAAGTTAAAAACAACTTAGCATACATTAAATGTAGTGCACAATATTTATTTTCTAAGTTTGTACGTTATAATCAATGATGCTTCCGCATTTACGCTATGGAAATATATTAAAATTACTTCCACTCGAGAGGAAGTATAAATATATGCAGGGTGGCCCAGCGAAAACGAAACAGAGGAGTGTTTTTGCGTTTTTTTTAAACACTACGTGTAAACTCCTGTGTTGTTTTCTTTGGGCCACCCTGTATATACAGTGTGATTCATTTGAAGCGCTATATTTTCGTTACTGTTCGTTTGATTTGTACAACATTTTCAGGGTTTACTAACAAAAATACGGTCTTTCACAGGATATTTTTATTTACTAAAAAAAAATTCCGTATAGAAGTTTTTTTTTGAGCGTTTTTTATTATTAAATAAAAGGGCTTTAAGGATATTTTCTCGAAAAACCCTTGAACACGTAAACTGAGATATAAGTTAAAGTATTTTTATCCAAAATTTTATAAAGATTGGTAAAGGCGTTTTAGAGTTAGATTATTTTTACTTGTTATGCGTTAATTTTGACGAGCAGTTTAGTTAAAGTAATGTTTTTTTTAGACACGTGGTTAAGTATAAAAAAATTGTAAAAGTAAAAGTAATGAAATAAAAATAGTAATGGACGGTACCAAAAAAAAGTAATACGTCCATTAAATAAATGAGTAAAAGTTGTTTAAAGTTTTTAAAAGTAGATGGAGTTAAAAAAGAGAGTGATGCCGCATGCACATGTGTTGTGGTATTTACTTAGATGCGTTCTAAAAATAACTTTTAGAGAATTTTTTTTAA